GAGCATGTGCGCCGTTACAAGATGCATCGAATAATACCACATTTTAAGGTCTCGGGTTCATTGGTGATCCCTGAGGTCATTTCAAGTGACCCAAATTACGGGTCCGGTTTTTGATAGATAACTTCGCAACAAATGGTCGCAGAGCCGCGATTTTAGCATCTTTGTGTTTGCCTAGCTCCGGCGCGTCGAATGGTATACTGTTTGTTCTGGTGAAGTCAGCTGAAGTCGCTGACCTCGGGTCAGCACACTGCCGTGTATTTGGCTCCGCGCCCCGACCGGGCGGCCCAGCCGGCAGCCAGCCCCCGGGCATCGCGTGACCGCTCGAGTCCGCGGCAAAGCCAACCAGTGCGGCGCTGGACAAACAGCGCCGCTACAGAGATGGTTAACAGTCGGGTCAGGCCACGAAGCTGAGTGAATGAGATCATATTGCACATCATTCGATTCGCAATGTCTTTCCGAGTCCATTGGTAGCTTTCCCGTCTCTCTAGCTCAATTTGATCGAGAGTTATGGACGAAAAACGCTTATGACCCTAGTGACGTACGAATGACGTCACGAAAGATCAACAATGCAAAAGTGAGGCGAAAATGACTTCAACTGAACTTTCAGTAACCAGTGATGTCACTAGGCAGCTTTACCACACCATTTGTAGGCTCTTTTCCGAAATCACAATTCGAGACCATTACGGTGACGCAAAATAAGTACATTTATAGAAAGAACACCTTCCTAATTTTTTGCATACTATTTTAAAATGATCCAAAAATGTTTTTAAGTAAATAAAAATTCAAAAAAATTTGGTCCCAAAGGCATAAAAATGCAAATTAAAGGAAACTCGAGGTGTTATATATCAAAAATAGTATATATTTCAAAATTTTGAAAATGCATATTATTCTTTGTTTCAATGCAAGTTTAATGCCGTATAGCATTTGGCATTTGGATTATCCGTCTTAGAGTTACAGCCCGCCAAACTTAGGGCTGCAACGCAAGATTCAAAACATGTTATACGCTATAACTAAAAAACCACTCATCTGATAAGCTTAAAATTGTTACAGGAGGATTCAGAGCCCCTGATTACCCCTTAGACCAATTATCGTTAAAATCCGAGAGATGAGGGTGTCAAATTCGAAAAAAAGTGGTACGATCTATCGTGGAATGCCCCAAGGACCAGTCGTCAGCTCAGCGGTGGCACCGCCAGCGGTGCTCGACATTGATATGACACGGCACATCGGCCGACCCGTACAGGGGTGGACGCAGGGTTAGAACTTGGCACCCACAATCCAGCATAGAACATACAAAACTCCATGAAAAGCCCAGTTTTGGAAGGTTGATCAATGAGAGCTGGATCGCCAACATATCCTTTCAGCTATCCGTCCACTGCTGCCGCCGCTGCAGAGAGCCGGTGGCTGTTGCCGCCGGCTACAAGGGGGGGGGGCGTAGGGGAGGGGGTCTGTCGCCAGCGGCATGCCGGTTCGCGCGGTCCACGGCCCGCTGTGCCGTCACGGTGGCGCCGGCCGACCGGCCGGTCCGTTAGAAACGGCCTGGCGCCCAGCCTGCCGGACCCGCAGGAAAGCAGCGGTCCCGACCAGCACCGAGCGCGGCCCGCCGCTGGACGGGAAGGTGGGGCGGGACACAGCCGATATCAGGGAAGGAAAGGTGGACAGGACTGAACAGGATATGATATTGGTGGCGTTGATTAAAGAGCGCCATGACGATTAAGTAATGCAGAGTGTGAGGATATAGCAGGATGCGAGAACAGCAAAGAGAGGAGGGCACGGGAGAATGCAGCACGCATGGATCGAAACGAGGACGGCGAGCCATGAGAAAACGAAACAACATAGCAGCGCGATGGGGACTTGGGACCTAGTAAAAAGGTCCAACATTCCCAATAGCCGATGCTAGCATGGTGCACTCATATACCGACTACTCGCTGATGTGCAATCCATAGGCGGCGGAACGGGGGGGGGGGGAGGCACCGGGGCACCGTGCCCCCCTTTGATTTTGGCATTTTAACATTGGCCCTATGGGCGTTGCAAGGAAAGAATGGGACCAAAAGTCGGCAGTGCCCCACCCCCTTATTTGAAGGTGTTCCGCCGCTACTGGTGCAATCTGTCGCGATCAATGATGGATGATACAACTTCGGGACTCCGCGGCACAACCTGAAGCCGCAGCAGTGGTGCTCAATGGTTTGGCTCGAATGGGTCAACGTGGTCCGCGCCCTGAAGGATCTGTGGTTGGCATGAGATTTCAGATACTTTGTTTGAACGGTCTGCTGCATGACAGTGAGACAGGGCCCTGATTTCAAGGGAGACGTACTGGCGCCTGATCTGACAACCTGACCTGACCTGAATGACAGATCAGCGGCAAGTCCGAAGCTGTTTTAGAGGTACCTGGGTGTTAATTGGACACTGGTATGACGTGGATGCAATGCGAAAGGAATTACAGATATGAAGAAACCGCAGGCAGCAAGATGTGCTCCAATCCTGGCGTGACGGTACCATCTGTTGCGACCTTGAGCACCGTCTGTCCAGTGACTGGACCTGCCTCCCCGCCGGGTCTCCAGTAATAGGACCAGTAGCGGCGGCACGCCACACCTTTCCACCGTTCCGCTCCACTCGTAAGCACCGGTCCGGTGGAGATCGGTGCCGGCGGCGGCCGGCAGCGCGGCGGCCTTGCTCCGCGCGCGCCGGCCACTCCACTCTCTGGACACAGAGCGGCGCGCCGTCCCAGGTGCGGCCCGGCCAGATGGGGTGATGGGCAGATAACGGCCCGGGCGCGCCGAGTGAGAGTGCCCGACCGACCGACGGTCGACGGTGGTGCAACCGGCGATCACACCAGCCGCGCCGTGGCACCGCGGAGGCGCGCCGAACCCATGAGGAACGGCCTGCAGTCCAGCGCGGCGGCAGCGACCGCCGGTATAGCGGGCCGGCATGCACCGGTGAAAGTGTGAGAACGATGCACTCAACACCATCGCGTGATGCTCGGTCTTCCCAATACCTCCGAGCAAAAATTAACACGAGTTTCAACAATACCATTCGCGGTTAGAGCGTCACACGCGTGCCTTTTCGCGTCACGATGCATCGCTTCGGACCTCGAGCAGACGTCTGTGATGGACGGGAGTCGACAGCGGGTCACACTATGTGACCGGCACTGCACCCGAGCCGGCCGGCTGGCCGGGTCGTCTCGGCGGCGGGGCGGCCGTGTTTATCTCGCGGAGCGCTGCTCCGTGTCCCCGGCCCGCTCGGTGGTCGCCACATCGACCCGGGGCCGAGCGGAGAGCCGGCCGAGAGCGGGCCGGAGAGGCGGCGCGGCCGGCGGCGAACGGGTGGGACCGAGAGGGGGCGGCTGCTGCCCACACCCAGAGGGCATCGGCTCAATACACCGGGAGATGTCAGATGACCCAGGCCGATTGCATTACCGTCAGGTGCTGACAAGGGAATATACATATGCATGGGCAAGGCAACTGTCGCATAGTATGCGTCTCGCATTTGACTGAAAAAAATGGCAATGTAGGGAAATGCTAGGCATGGCAATTCAGTTACAGTTAGGAACGGGGCATATTTGTTTTGAATCCCTCAATAGATGTTTCTAGCACCTAATTGTTGTTCAGCATCAACAAGCTTACTGGAACCTGATTGGCTTTTAGAAAAAACAAGGGTTTGTTGAATTCGGCACCAGCTGAGCTACATAATTCAGCACCTCTTTCATTCCATATTTACATAACCTTTTTCTGACCCTTTTCTCGGATTCGTTTTAGGCCACCATACAGAAAATTTACATTCAGTTCATGGAACACACTGGTTTTCTTTTTTAGGGGAGGGGGGAGGAATGTAGGGAAGTCATATGAAAAGCACACAACTCTCGCAAGGGAAGCACAAAAGTCTTGCCCATTGAAGGTTAACTGATGAGTAGTAAATAGGTGGGCGTGTGGGTCGGCCGGCTCAGTGAGCGCCGTGTTGCTTACCGGAGGGTCCGGCCGGCTCAATAAGCACCATCTCGGCAGCGAGGGTGGCGGCGTGTCACTGCACCTCAGCCACCCGTCCCATTTCCAGCACACCGACACACGTCTCGTCACCCACCGACCGAGCCGTGATCACTGACGTCCACCACCCGACGGACACACTGACACGACCGGAGAGGCGTCGGTCCCGCCGACCACTGCACCGGCGGGCTGCGGACGGCGGCACCGACCCGTCTCCGACCCTGCTGCCACCTGTCGGCCGCGCCGCCAACCACGCCGTGTGGGAGGCTACCTGCTGGACTGCACCATCGATTTCGACCGACGGCCGACGGCCAACTTTCCCAGCAGTGTGTGTAGGGGGGAGGGGAGGGGGGGATGCGGCGGCACTGTCGACTCCGACGCCAAGAAAGCGTAAACCATGGATCGAGTTTCCGTGCTCGCTGTCAGCCCGAATCAAAACAGGACAAATAAACAAAACTGGTCCGCCAGCGTTCTTCACATGGTTCAACTCATCGCAACTCAGGCAGAGTCGAGAAAAATATATCAGTGAGGTTGAAGTTTCACATCGAATTGTTGTGAGGACCAATAGCTGATTCAGCTTTACCACAGGGGAGGACAGGATAGTATCGGCCGCCGGGCAGCACGGGACGCCCACTTTATCTCGTTAAATATTGACAGTTGAAAAGCAGCTGGCTATCTCCTTGATTGGTGAGGCGCCTGTAGCAGATCTCGCGCGTGGTGGTCTTCCATTGAAGTTCGCTTCACTTATGCAATACAAGTTTCATTACAATATATTCGTATAAATTTAGCTCAAAGGTCGAATATTGCTACCAGCCTGACAATATATTTAATGCTAGTAAACCCAAGGATAAACCGCTATAACAAATATTCTGGGCTCCACTAGCAATCAAACATTTCGTCTGTTGTTCCATCATAGAGCACAACCCTTCATCACCTATCTGCCTCTGTGCATAAAGTGCGCCTGTGGTGATGCGTATTTAGTGTGATGTGCACGTGCGGGGAGATGCGAACTGCCGTACTCACCGGCGTCGTCCACGTCGAGGGTGTCCATGGTGGCCGGCCTACACAGCGCCGCGGTCCATCGGCGGCGGCCTCATCCTGGGGCACACAGACACGGACCGGTCACAGAGGGTCAGGTGGGACGGCACAGCCACTGGTCCGGCCGTAGGAGCTGGCCAGGTACAGGTAGTGACATCTATCGACAATGGATGGAGATACGCCGGTGTGGTGTGGTACCGAGCAAACAGCAACACTGATAAGAAAAAAAAAACTTGCTGTTACGAGAAATGTGCATTGTGCGGTTACGTGTGTACCTACGATGCTGGGCTCACAGAAATTTCGAATTCAATACAGGACGTCAACCATACAAGTGTGGATTTAGCAAATGTGAGTTGCCTCGGGTTCTAAATTGAAATTGCATTTAGACGCGCGGTCCAGCGTGCGCTGCTGAGACCCATCGCCGTGCTGGGGTGCAGGGTACGGCTGCCGGCGGGCAGGGAGCGGCCGGTGGCGCCCGCCGGTATTTGTTATCCCAGCCGGCGCCGGCCGCGTGCCGCTCCCCCGGGAGTGGACGGCCACGGCGCGCCCGGCGGACCCGTGCAGCATTGACATGCCTCGGACGCCGCTGCAGCGCCCGCCACGGTCCACAGCGGCCCAGCCCGCGGTTCAGGGTGTACTCAAACTGCCCAGCGGGGTACTCAGACCACCCATCGTTCATATACCGAATAAATCAGAGTTCATCCGTTCCGTTGTTTCCATCCTCAGGATCCTTCTCCTTCACGCATCAATTCTCTGTTCCGTGTTGGACGGGCAACTTTATCCCAAGCGGGAAGTTCCCCTAGGAGCAAGCCCGTAGCCCGGTGCGGTGAGTGTCAGGGGGCTGGGTGGCCTGTCCACTGGATGGGCTCAGTCCCGACGAATTACCAGGGTGTCCGTCCAGACCGATGTCTCCCTCTAATTCCTTTTACCCTCCCGGCTCCAAGACGGTGTCGTCAGACCGAAAGAGCTACCCATGCTACTTAACCCATGCTACTTTTGGGTAGACAATACAAATATTACCCATAGGAGAGAAATTGTTACAAAGGAAATCAGAGAGTGTCCCATCAACTTGAGTCGCAAATGAGGCCTTTTGATCCTGGAAATTTTGTTCTTATTAATGTGGAGACTGGAGAACTGATTTTGTTGGAGAATAAATACACCACGACCAGAAATCTTCAAAGTAGGCATACCAATATGTTATATGACATAAATGAATTTGAGTTTACAACATCAAGTACATACAATCCAGCAATTTCAGCATGCATCTCAGAAGGTGATGTATACCTATAAAATCTGGTTGGACACTGTTCTCCACCCAGATTTAATCTCCAGGACCTAAACTGAACATAAAAATTCCAATACTGCCCCAGACCCCAACTCTGACAATTACCTAATTCTTGAGGGCACCCCAACTCTGACAATTACCTAATTCTTGAAGGCAGTTAGGTTGGACATAAAAATTCCAGTTTTCCATAACTGGCCCATTGTTTATGTGACAAAAAATGAAACTTCACAGCTGTAAATACAAAGTTGGGGACGACGGTGAAAACAGGGTGCCTGGGGCCAAGATTACTTTACTACTCCCCTCCCTGGGGCGATCTGAGCAAGGCTCTTGAAATTCACTCGCACAAACCACGCGACATTTGGGGTGTGGAAGGCATACAGTCTTCAGAGGGGGAGAAGTTGACTTTTCATAAACGGGTGGCAGCATGTGAGCCGCCTGCTATTAGAATGCTGAGGTTCCTGTAAAATTCACGTGATTAGTTGCAACCTTGGCGCCGGTGAAGAAGGTGTAAGCCAGCGCTACCGTTACCGGTAGTACCTACCTGTGTACCAACTGACAGCAACAGGGCTTGCACAGAATTGGAATGAGAAGTCTAATTGATATTATCATAAATTTGCAGGTTGAAGTCTAGTGACTGCTTCAACCTTACTTATCGGATATGAAAAGAATGAAGATATTAGTCTGAAAAAAATGCACCAACTGAAAATTAAGTTGAGTTCCAGTTGCAAATATGCCAGCTTCCAAAACATCTCACCTTTTGCAGTGTGCCACTAAAAGGTCATATCATGATGTTGAATTAACCCAATCAATGTCCAAAAAATGTTTTTAAAATGCCAAGTATCAGCAATATTCATCAAATTTAAGCAATTTTACATATAAGTGATGGGAATGCACATTGCACACAGCCAGCGCATAACAAAAGCAGTAACTCAAAAATCTGTCAGCAGAAGACTAAGAAAGAAAAATTTATTAAGAACACATCAGCTACAATGCCAACTTCCGTTACATAACAATACATGTTAAAAATTCAATGGCGCATATGCGGCATTCAATAATCCAGTTTTTCCGCTTGTGGTCCTTTTTTCGCATTCTCATTGGTCAGCTTTTGCGAGTGTTGGCAGCTGTTCCTAAAAACAGCTGACAGCTTCATAACAGGCAAGATAACAGCTAAAGTAACAGCTGGATATCAAATAACCTAAATAACAATAGGCTTGTACTTTTTAGGGCTATGGACGGCGAGTGCACAACTTGAAATGGTATTGAAGCAATTTAGGTGCGTTTGAACAAAAGAGGGACATGTCAGTGTTCTTTAATTGGATCTCTGTGTTTTCCTATTTTGATTTCTTACTCCAGTCCAGTTGATATTTCAATTTTGACATCCTGCCGACCAGTAATAACATTTTAATTTTGATCAAAATTGTTAAACTTTGATGTATTCAATATTTTCAATTAATTTGCCTTATGCTTCTGTTTCCTGAAGCTGACCATTTTGTGTGTTTTTGTTGTTTCAGAAATGCTATTCTTACAATTAAATTTTGAACTGAATATTGTGTCACAATTCCATGGAGGCTCCACCTGCTGTCATCTCCACGGACTCTGAGTGGTATTCAGAGTATATAAAACACACTGATAATCCTGAGATCCAGCAGCTTGAGCGACAACTTATTGAATCATCCTCCAAACAGCAAGTCGATCAGGATTCCACAAAACATACTGAAGATGGAAGCACTCAGAATAGCACTGCTTCAAGTCCTTTGAAGAAGAATCATCTTTTTACTGATGTATGTACATTTAAAGATCAAATAAGTGCCTACTGGCAATGTGAATTGGCTGTGCAATTGCATTCCATGATGGAATTTATGCCCATTTTATAGAAAATCATTACCTATTAGCAAAACTATAGTTGCTTGGTCTATGTTTACAAGCCAATAGCTTGGCTCCTAATAATACACTTTGTGAGTTGGGTAGGTCATCATTATCTACATCATGCATGTGCATTCAAAAGATAGGTACTCAGTTAATTCAACTTTTCAAATAGTTCATAACAGATCTACTGGTGGTTTGGATGATGTAATGACCCTTAGAGCTCATACAGAAGAGTAACCATACTCTGTAGTTTGTGATGGATCCTTGCCCTGTCATATCTGTCTTCTCTCGACCAGACCCGGCCGCCGCCGGTGTCCGCCGACGATATTATTCGCTCCACCGGCGTGACCGAGGAGGTGGCAGCCGTGCCGCGCCGGCCGGCCACCGCCGGAGGAGGCGGCTCCAGGGATGGCCGTCCCACCCGCCGGGTCGCCAGGGTCACGTCGTCGGTGTCGGAACGGATACAGATCAGCACGGTGCGTATTAGTGTATGCAGCTCTTTCACTGGTTCGATCGAAACTCGTATTTTAGGTTATCGAAATTCAATGCCAGCCTTGCTTTGTTCATGAAATTGTTCATTGGCTTACCTACTTACGGTACATTGATCCAATATTTCTCGCGCAATCATGGCTATCGCCAGTACATTGCTAAAAATATTTATGGTCTGTGCAGGCCACGCAGTCTATCATTGTTGAGTACGTTTGAGATATGACACATCTGAGGTGGTATTGTCTCTATGCCACTCTTCCAGTCTGTGATGTTTTATTTGTCTCCTCTGTGCACAGCGCGAGCGACCCGCGGGTGCGGCGGATACGGGGTCGACACAGGGCGCCGGTCGGCCGGCGGAGGGCGGACTGAGCCAGGGCGTCGGCCGGCCAGCCGTCTACCAGGACATCATCCGCTCGCTGCAGGGTCTGGCCGACCAGGACGTGGGCGCGCCGCCGGCCGAGCCGCCGGAGCCGACCGCCCGCACCGTCCGACTCAGGTGACCGACCGGGAACCGGAAGTCGGGACTGGGAACACGGGAATCCCGACCGGGAGCTGGGACTGGGAACACGGGAGTCCCGACCGGGTGTGGGACTGTTTGTTTATAGGAGCCAGTAATAGTATCTACCGCTGCTACGATCGTGATTTGTATGACTTTGCTTTCAACCTTCTGTGCTTGATATCGTTTTAGATGAGTTTTTGATCCTATGTTTTTGATAATACGTTTATATGAAGTCACTTTTTACCGCCCAACAGCATCTCGAAAACCTTTTTGATCACGCCTCCTCTCTACGACAGTTCCGCTGTGGTGGGTCGGCCGCGGCCGGGACCCAACACCCGACCCGCTCCCTCCGCGCCGCACCAGAAGCCGGGCGTCAAGAAGACGACGCCGGCGGCACGAGACGATGTGACCCAGCGGTATCTAGCCTTTATCGACGAGGTAAGACTGCCGCACTACTCCGTCAGAGTGCACAGAAGCTGACGAAAGATGGCATGTTATTGTACGATAGCGTCAATTCCAGTGATACAGTGTTGCGTTATTTTTTTGTTTGTTGATGTGACACCCCTCTCCGGTGTGCCCGCTGTCTGCAGCTGATTCAGGAGAAGCAGGACCTGGCGGGTCGGTGTGAGACGTTGGCCTCCCAGGTGGCCGCTCTGGAGGAGCGTCACAAACAGCAGCTGACCGCCCAGCGCGACCGGCACAGAGAGGAACTGCAGGTGAGCAGTGCGCGCGCGGTCACTGGCGGAAAACGACAGCAGCAGTCTCCGGTAGTTACTGACTATATCTGCCAACCGCTGACAGTCACTGACTTATGACTTTCTAAGCTACAACTGCCAGCGGCTGGCAGCTGTCGACTAGGTATATGCGGCCGCTAAGTGCTAACAGTCGCTGATTATCTCTACCAGCGGCCGCTGGCAGTCGCCGGCTATCTCTTGGTACCGCTGGTTGTCAGTTCAAAACCCTCGGTTAGTTACACGGATGCTCATTTTATTATCTTTTGCCTCTGTCCACAGAGCTGCAAACGCTCCATGTCGGAGGCCGAACGCAGCAAACGGCAGAAATGGATGGAGAAGGAACGCGAACGCATCAAGGTATGTCTGCCAGACGGAGCTCACAATTAGTTTCCGATGTCGGTCGTCTACCTTGTGCGCACTTTCGAGGGCGGTGATTGAGTACTTCTTGTTTTATCATGTGGACATTGTATGTGTCTTTGGCTGGCCGAATAACTCGGAGCAGCTTCAGCTGTCAGCTCTCATCTCGATACAGTAGGTTTCGGTTTACATCCTCCAATGAACGCTCAGCACATGCATTTTTTCTGGATTGGTGCAGTATAATAAAGTAGACCAATCGTTTATTTTTTTTTGTGTTTCACTCATATGTTTTGAGATCTTCAAATTCTGCTATCATTGAGTTGTCTTATTTGCCTTCTTTGAAGCTGTACTTTTTGGGTAACAAACACTAATTGCCCTGACGACTGACGAGTTTCTTTTAAAGAGGCATTCCCATATAAAAGTATATTAATAGGACCGAGGGCAGGCCAAGGTCCTAAACTAAGTTGCATTTATCGAACAACATGGAAAGCATATTTGCGAAAAAACCAAATGTACCTGTAAAGAAGCTTAATCAAACACAGTGTTTTTTTCGTGGTTTCATTTTTACTCTTGAATTATATTGTATATCACTTAGATGATTATGGTATAGACAATGGGAATGTCTCTTTAGTAGTTCCCCGTACCTATCACCTTACTAGTCGCTGTCTGACGGTTTTGGCATTGCCTGCTACCCTTCTTCACTGACCAGGATTTCTCTGTGGTTGGTAAACACATCGGCCAGGTGGGTAGATGTCTGTTACCTCAGTGTCCGGCCGGGTAGCTCAGTTCTCCCAGTGGCTGAGACCCTGCTTTGTCCTGTCGTCCCCAGCTACACCTCTACACTGGCTGACTCGTGGTTCATTGTGGCGTTGTAGATATATTTGTGCTATCGTCGCTTTGTCGCTTTTTCAAGACTGATTGACGTCGCCTTACGACGTACGCATACTTGTTTGATTGGGGGATGTGAGCTGTGGTATTTCTGTAATAACCTATCTCAAGTAGGCACACCAAGCGCATAGCTATTATTGATGCCAGCGAGGAGCGAGGACTTCCCCATTGAGTTGTGTCTCATATATTTTCTCAGAACATTGGGCTTTGTACGCTTCGTATCAACACTGATTGGGGTTCCGCGGGAACCAATATGAATCATTGTTGCATGCCCAATGCCCCCTGCTTATAAGGTAGGATGTATTGCTGGCTGCTGCCGAGTATTTTAATGCTAGCATCGTGCTCATACAGGTTTCATATTGAAATGTTATTTCGGTTCTAACTATGATACGGGTTTCATATTGAAAATATTATTTTGGTTCTAACTATGGTTTATATTGCTATCTAAACTACGCGAAACAGTTGAATGCTAACCGCAGGGAACTATTTGGAGAAGTTTTTCACAATTATCACAGCCGCATGACCATATTTTAGCAAGCTATACGATTATCATTACCTTTTCTTACCTTTTTTGCACCATTTGAAGTTTTTTTTGCAAGATACCACTTACCCTTTTCCGAATGCATATGAACGCTTTTTGCACGTTTTCAATTCGTGTGTGTATATTACTCACATTTTCACCATTTTCAGCCACTTTTTGAAGCAATATGCTATTCATGCGACCGCAATGTTCACCAACATTGAACACCATTCCCAGATGCGTAACATGTACCAACAAGAACTAAGATGACGATTAAAATATAGTATCACGATCATTTACGTATTAGGTATCAACTGTTTGTTTATCAGCAAACTCCCATGTTTGTTTGCTTGTCTTGTGTCGATGCCTGTTTGCGTAATGGTATCGACCTATACCTAATACTAGGATGTATTTCGTCCACACTTGTCGGCTTGTCTCCCCTTCTATAATTGTCATATTGCGGTGATTGGAAAAGTAATACTGAAACTCACCACTCTGCTCCGGACGATAATCTTTTAGTTATTGTGAACGGACTTGTCGTGTTTTAACGCAGCCCGTCTGAACCGGTGCTTCAGCTGTTTACGGTACATTTAGTCATAGCCATATGAGTCCACCTTACCATTTTGGTTTTGTATGGTAGTATATGATCGATAACATCATTGTCTCCCTTCACTCTTTTCCTACAAATCTGTGTAGAATGCGCCAATATGAGCTTGCAAATGGACACTCAACTACTCGTCCAAGAAGATCAGGGTAGAAACTACTGAATTGATTGCACAACCTATATCTAGACATCCAGTTCCGATAAGAAAGAAGCCTACTACCCGTCATTCTTCATTTCTCTTTTCTTTACAATCGCCGTTGTATTCCTAGGTTTGTCAAAAGTTTTATCCGCACCGTGTATAAACTATGTGCCGACTTTTGACCTTCCTCCTAGCACCAAACTGCCGAACAACTGAAGCTCCATTTGTTCGGCGTGTGTTCCCCAGGAGACCACGGCTCGCGGTGTGCAGCCTCAGATCGAACAGATGATGAAGCAGCACGCGGAGGAGACTGCACGTATCCGGCAGCACTACGAGTCTGTGCTGGCTGGCGGTAAGTAGCGTGGAGGGGTCGGGCAGCAGACAGCGGCGGTGATGAACTACTATCGTAGGCGCCTTTAACCTAGGGTCAAATGTGCTCGGGGTTGTAGATGGTGTGCCTCATACGATATATTGTTTTGGAGTTGATTTTGTCAGTGTTTCTGTAATTCACTAGTCATGTGGGCATTTTGGCAACTGGTACTTTTTCCTGTAGCATATGCCCCGTCTTGTAATTGTTTGCTTCGAGTTCCCATTTCATTCCTGATCATGCTCATTCATTCAGTCAACTGACATGACATAATCTCAGTTCTGTAGTGCGCCCCGGCCCGGCACCTCGCAAGCCCTCCCCTGGGACATCTCATCCACATCTCACACTCTGCGCCGTTCTGACCAGGTCACAGCGGCCAGCTGGACGAGATTCGCGGCCGGCTGATGCGGGAGAAGGAGGAGGCCGTGGCCACCGAGCGACGTGACGCCGCAGCGAGGTACGTACCGGGGACTGGGCCTGCTCTTTAGTCAGGTCGGTCACTGACACCGGGCAGGGCTCGCCGCGGATGGGGACCGGGGTCTCACTCTCATGCCTGCCATCCGTACCGAGAGGGTACCTACCAGGGCTGCGGAGTCGACTGATTTTCGGTAACTCCAACTCCGAGTCCGGCTTCCAAAATTGACTCAGACTCCAGTCAGAACTGTCGACTCCGACCGACTCCGACTCTGACTCTGCAGCCCTGGTGCTTACAGGCTGCACCCTTCTTATCCAGCTGTGGTGAATGACAGGGGTTGTATGTCACAGAGTAGATATGTGTACAATATGTGTGTCCACGTGAATCACAAACGCACGATGTGTGTTCGGCTGCTTACGTGCGACAAAGTCACAAAGGGCTGATGTATCTTTTTTGGTTCCGGTGTACACTATCGTAATTAGTGCCCTGTACACTATATAGAGATTGACCAAGACAGCTCAGCTGTGGACGGTTTTGGATTTTGGGGGAATAAATCATATTTGTGCTCTGATGTTATGCTTCACGTTGCTTAATCCTTGGTGTGAATGTGCTTGACGAGGTCCTGCTTTTGGCGGGTTCCTACCGTTTGAATCCACTCAGCTTTTCACTCATCACTGACGTTCTTTTCGATCATTTGCACAAAAAGATACTTTCGGATGTATGTTAAAGGTATATATGGAGCACACGTTGAGTTATATGAAAAAAAGATACTGAATCGACGTTAATCGCAAGGGTTTGTCGCATGAGTACCATAACGCATTAATTGGTGTACAAAGAGAAATGTAAATTTCAACTCTTTTAAAGGCTTATTGTGAATAATGGTTTTATGTCAACCCTCACGCCCTGCTGAGTATTGTGTTCTATTGAGGCTTTGCGGTATTGTATGTGACGCTGGTCGGTGTAAGGGAAGACACCGCTCTTTTACGAGTTTGTTGTTTCCTTTTCGCTATGTGTGTGGCACAAAGGCGGGCAACATGTCTTATTGGGTTTTGCACCGCCGTCTTTAATTAAACCCTTTTTCATGTACCAAAGCTTATGCTTTAAAGCGTCTTCTTACACTGCCAGACCATCTCGTCATGGCACGATACTCTGTCATTTATTCCAGCTTCCTCCGCTAATGTTTTGTGTTCATTCTATCCATTGATTCATCACAGCTGGTCCTCGTTTACTACTGTTATCAGTCCGTAAGTTTTGCCAACTATCTGTTGAAATCAACAGTAACTTGTTGCCGACAACAGCCCGATAGTTGTAGCCGTTTCTTGGCGGACAGTGTGCGCTATTTGTATGTGTGCTAGCCGATTATGATCCGTATGTGTGTTCGATGTTATTTGTTACGCTTACTGGTGACTATCTTGCCTTGCCCACGTTCGGTGCACTCATTTTCGATTATTCATGCATTGCTTGTGCTAATTCCAAACTCAGTATGACGCTGTTGCCACTTGCCAGAGTTGATTTTCCAGAATCCGAACACGCCAATCATTACCCTTTGAGGCCCACAGGCTCCATATTTTATACCTTCTCTTCGTTCTTTACCTTTTTCAAATAAATATCTTGATATTTAAAACATTGCAAGCTAGGTTACGGTACAAAGGCCTACTGATATTTTTGAAACAAACTTTTCATGCTGTTTTGATTTAGATATCCCATTCTGGCATCGTGCTGTACTTAATTGAAAACGCTTTACCCGTAAGCATGGCCTGCATGAGTTGCCATTTTGTACTTTGCGTGATTACCTTTGCCTCATCAACTCCATTAGATGTAGGGTCCAACTTCAGATGACCACTGATAATATTCGTGCTCAGCACGTATGTTCAGCACCACTGCAACTCCTGCATGCGCAGCACCAGCCTGTATGCAGTACTACAAAGTGGGTGTTCTATGCCTCATATTTTGCTTTGCGACGTAAGGCAATCGAAAACAAGAATGCAGCGTACCTGGTAGCGTTTATATAATTTTGTCGCTTTGTGGTGCTCTGTAGCATCTATCGCTCATTGGTCTAAAGTAGTAGGACCGATGATGTTTCGCGAGATGAAAGCATGAGCGTTGAGTAGTAACGGAATCCGTGCACGCGTTACGCCTATGTTCTTAGAAGTCGTTACGGTGTAATCCAGTCCATAGGGTATGATCAAGTCTGTCCGAACCTTATTGGGATGAAAGACTAGACATGTTCGAGTCCGTAATTATTGGCATTATTTGAATTCGTCACTGTCATATGATAGTTAAATGAGCCATTGCAAGGCATTGTTTTGTATCGTTGTAGCGCATTGCTAAGTTCTATCTGGAGTTGCTAATCCTGCAGTTAGACAAGCACCATGTATATCGTAATAAACATTACTACACGTACGACGGTAGTAACGAGCCACCGTAGTAATACTGTTCTGCTGCCTGGATTATGCGCCCTACAAGCCCATGATCCATCGAGGACGTCATGTAAGGTCTCAAATTATAAACTTAATCCACAGTCGTTGCCGGCCAACTGGACCGGCTCATGTACCATTCTCGACCTCCCACTACGTCAGACATTTCCCTCATCAGTCACCATGCCGTCACTGTGTAACGTCTGATATCCCGTCCTGTCTGCCGTTGGCGCCACGCTGACACACCCCTCCCCTGGACGGCGCGCTGAGCAGGTTCGAGCGGCAGGCGGCGGAGCAGGCGGCGCAGCACGAGCTGCACTCGGCGCGGCTCACCGCAGAAGTGCGCGAGCTGAGGACTCAGCTGCAGGCGGCCGGCGCGGCGGCGGCCGCGCAGCGCGAGGAGGCGCAACGGTAAGGCATACAGCATCGCGAGGGGTCGCAACGGTGGATGTGTTTGGAGGATGCAGCAGTTGCGCATATTGAATAGTAATTAGTAGGTAGAGCGGGACTTTCCGCACAGGAAGTGTAGTTGGGTGTGTTTGATAACGGCTGTTCTAACAGGTATTGTAGGCGTGCTATGGAATTATGTTGTACCATGTCTGTGACGCATTTCGAACTGACCGGTACCAAAATTAGGGCGACTTCGTTAGACTGGGAAGTGGGAACAACGGAGTCTCACAGTTTTCTGTAATGCCCCGACTTATCCATGTATGTACCAACGGAATGCGAGCATGCTCAGCCGCGATGCCTCACATTAGTCCCTACCATCGTCCATCCGCTGGCGGAGACTCCTCATGAGGCGACACAGGACGGTCGCCTTATAGGCTTATACAGTAACGATTGGTTGACGATTGGTTCAACATGTAGTAGTTGAACCAACGTCACCTTAGCTGTTTTTTTTTTGTGTCTTATGTATTTATAAACCCTGGTCAGTGGTCAAACTGTCCCTCGTTTCCCCTGTCTGCTGTCTTATTACCGATGCATTATGCGTTCGTCGTGTCCCTGACGCCGCCGTGCCACCCCAGGGAGGCCGAGCGGAGGGTACGCGAGGCGCGCGACCACGCCGAGGAGGAGTTTCGCGAGGTGCGCCGCCGGCTACAGGACGAGGCAGAGGTGAGAGGCGCGCCGGGCGCACGGACGGACACACGGTGCCGGGAGGGCCTGGTCGTACATACGGGTATAGGGATCGATGTGAGGCGGTAATTGCAGGATACATTACCCATTACCTCTAACATATGACCCATTACGCCCATCTGTCGATTCAGAGGAGTTATAATTTCAGTATAGTAATATTTTTTTTCGTGATCTCTCAGCCATTGAACATGTCTCAAGCTGTTCACATCTATGGAAGCCAGCTGTGCATTTATAGAGGTTGCAATGGCCGATGCTGCTTTGTACGCTCTGACGACGCGCTGACGGCTCATCCGGCAGACCAAGTGTCGTGAGCTACGTGACCGACTGGCGAAGGAGACGGAGGCGGCTCTGGCGCGGCAGAGAGAGGAGTTGGAGGCGGCCGCGCAGAGGTGAGAGAGCGCGGGTTCGGTCACGACTGAGCTGGGCCGACTGAACAGCCCGAGCGACTCCGGCCGTCAGCCGCTTTGTGCACAATACCAGTACACATAAAAGTGCGCCTACCTTAGATGCTTAGATGTGCCTGTTTTGAAATTAGTGAGGCTGGTGGAGCTATGTTTGATTTAAGTCGGTATGGACTAGGCACTGGTAGGTCGAGTTCGGCGGTGACTGGCTGAATTTGCTCCAACATCAGTTGAAGCGTTTGCTTTTTTTCTATTTTCTCCATCAATGGCCCCGAATACATGGACAAGTAAATACGTATTACGAACGGATTTTCCTATTCGTTCAGGATTGTAATGCGTTTGTAATACGCATCTGAATACTCATGTATCCCGCTCAATGACGGATGTAGATAAACAGAGACGACGTGTAACCATTATGCCTCCGCCCGACCCCGTCTTCAATCGCTGTCAGTCCTCCGGTTCACCCGGCTGTCTCGGTGAGCTCCGACCCGTGTGACCCCGCCGTCTGACCGTGCCCCCCCCCCCGCGCCCCGGCCGCGGCAGCCGACACCAGGCTGAGCTGCAGCGACTCAAGGACGAGCGAGACACCCGCCTGGAGGAGGTGATAGAGCGTCTGGAGCGCGAGGTGCGCCGCGCCGAGGAGGGCGAGGCAGAACGGTCGGCGCTCAAACTCAGGTTAGCCGCGGGAGGCTGCTGATAGTTGCGGGTGCAATGGGTGTTATGACTGTCAGTGTGCTGGTGTGATGGTGAGCCCGTACATACTTGGATTTGGGATTAAGTTTTTGGATTTGGTCATTTGATATTCGAGTTTTCTCAATATCATGGACTGTAACTTTTATATTGAGCATGGTAGTGAACATGAAAAAGAGTCAAAATTGTGTTCGTTGTTCTTCGAATCTCCCTCGTAAGTCGTATACCCAGACTGAAGCGTTTACCATCCTCCTATGCGTCTGACCAGCCCGTTGGGCTCTCCACTAACAGAAAGCTGGAGGAGAAGCACGCACTGGATCTGCGCGCGCTGGAGAGTTCCGAGGAGCGCTTCAAATCCAAGTACCTTGACTGCCGCGCGCAGCTGGCCGAGAGAGACGAGCAGCTGCTGGAGCTGCGCAGCCGCGTCACCCGAAAGGACGCCGAGATTGCCGAGATGAAACAGGTTAGAAGATGCGACCGAGCAGAGGGCAGCAGCTTTTGGTGTGAGGATAGAAGAACCGCAGAAGAACCGCTATGGATGGTTGTTTTAGGTTCGAGAGCGCCGGGGCTGTTCGAGGATCTAAGAGGGTTTCAGTGGAGGAGGACTGGTGTGGAGGCTGACGGGACCGGGTACTGAGATCGCCGACTGTCTGGACTCCCTTCCGTCGTTTGGTACACTGCTGGTCAGAAGGTGTTACTTCACACTGTCGCTCTAAATGACTGGTGATCTCGTCAATCGGTCTGTACTCTGTCCCGCTGGTCTCCCGATGGATAATCTGTCTCCCTGCGTGACCGACACCCGCGGCTGCTCCGTCTGTCCCCCTTTTAACCAGCCTTCCGCTGCTCTCTGTCTCGCCGGCAGACGGCCGAGCTGATGCAGCAGGAGCAGCAGCAGCTCGGAGAGGTGATCGAGTCCGAGTTCCAGAGCCAGGTGGCCGAGCTGCGCCGAGCCGCCGATAGGTGGCAGCAGCGTCTGGCGGACGCCGAGCGGCGCCATCAGAGCGAGCTGGCCGAGCAGCAGCGACTGCTGGAGAGCTGCCGCCAGCAGCGGGAGGCCGACCTGCAGGAGCTGCACCGACAGTCAGTACCTGTACACAGACATACAGACAGACAGACAGACACATAGAGCTGCCGCCAGCAGCGGGAGGCCGACCTGCAGGAGCTGCACCGACAGTCAGTACCGAGTACCGACACACACAGACACAGAGACAGACAGGCAGACAGACAGACAGACAGACACAGCTGCCGCCAGCAGCGGGAGGCCGACCTGCAGGAGCTGCACAGACAGTCAGTACCGACACACAGACACACAAATACGACTGTGACGAGGGTGATAACTGAATACGCAGTGAGGTAGTGTCTTAAGCTGCATGTTCTTAACGTGAGCTCAGATAAATCGTTCGCAAAAATATTACCGAGGGTGATTGGGGGTACCGATCGTTCGTCGCTCGATGACGACGAAATACTCGGCCTTTATTGTGTCTTTAACTGGCACCACTTCCTTGCAACCATCGGTGATTAGATTAGATGCATGCTAACATCGTAAGTATTCCCTTTCGTGTCAGCACTTCTAATCAACGTGTGATTGTGTTCTGCAGAATAAAGGAGGCACTCTCCGTGAAGGACCAGAAAATCGAGGAGCTGTCTGCCGCCAACCAGCTGAGTCAGAAGAAGATGAAGCAGCTGGAGAATTTGCTGGACAAGATGCGTCTGGTGGGCTGCCGCTGCGGCGGTGGCTCCGGGAGGAACTAGCGCCGTGTGGTGTTTGTGTGGTGGTGTTTGGTGTGTTCGCTGAGAGCTGTTGTGTGTGTCCCACACCGCGTGTGTCGCGCCGAGCGCTGCTGTTTTGGGACTTGTGCTGCAGCCTCTAATATGTCGAATGGTGTTCGGCTCGCAGCCTACTCCATGGTGGTTCACGCAGTGATAAGTGTGGTGTGTGCGTTTCACTCCAGTGTCGCCAGTAGTCGGGCCGCCGAATATCCGACGGGGCTGGCCCGGTGCCTCGCCGGGAGCTGTGGTGGGCTGAACCAGCGGCCCGACTGACCCGCCACATGTGCCGTGCTCCGATGAGCCCTGACCACTCCACACATTAGGTGTTTGTACATGTGCGTTCTGCGTCCACAGAATGTGTCCAGCCTTCCGTCCACAGAATGTACTCAGCCTTCCACCTTCGTCCACAGAATGTGCTCAGCCTTCCACCTTCCGTCCACAGCGCACGTGCAGTGAATCTAGTCTGGTCCCCGTCGGCGGGCGGTGGCGAAATCACTCGCTAGTCTTTGTTCTAGTCAGACGTATAAGCCTACGTCGCAACGCTTGTTTGGTGTCTCACCACAGTGCCAGCGTGATATTTCTCACACTGCCAGTACCATTCGCTGTGTCACTGCTCCGTCCAGCTGATGCTACCGCTAGATCCCAAAATATTTACTTTATTTATTATGTTATGCCAAAGATTGTTTGTCATTTATCCAATAACTAATCATGGTCATCAGTCATAATGTGTAGAGTGCCATCTCCATTTTCCAGAGTTTGACGTGGGGTGATGCCATCTCCGCGGCGACTTTTACCATCCCTTCGATGATTCGTGTGGTGCATGATTCCTGAGTTCGAAGAGACTAGCCACTAGCCAGTCGAGCCAGTGGAACATGACAGTGAATTCGCGAGTGTATTTCTTACGTGGTTTGCAGCATACCAATACATTAAATGAACTTCGAGCAATGTCAATGTTTGCACTTCGGGGACGATAGACTTGGCTCCTTATTTGCCAGGAGTCAATTTTTTTGTTGACTTTGACCTTCATGGTTATGACCTAGGTGAATCAATATCGCGATCAAGCTGGAGTCTGACGAAGAAGCAAATGAAGGCGGACGTACCGTGATGCAGCCGTGATGCGCGATTTCGATGTTTGCGTCGGAGATTCATAAATTGCAGCATAATTACAGCAAATGGCAGCAAAATATCAAATTATACGGACATATCGAATAAAAGTTCTTTTAAGACAAAACCTGACCTAATCTAACGCTCTACTGTTGACCTGCAAAATATATCTACCGCCTACAACATAGTAAAACACGCATCGACCCACCTACAATCTCTCTGATAAACTTTGCTGCATTTTAGGGTAGTTTATGTTCTTTCTTCATATGAAAACTGGCGCATATGCTACATTAGTGCTGTTCGATCCCTGTTTTCTTTATCAGCAAGCGGCTGGCTTGCTGCTATTTCTTGGCTTCTCATTGGTCAAATAAAGGTGGTCGGTGCAGTCGACCAATGACAGGCTAAAAAGAAGGCCAGCACGCTGATAAATCTGTGAAAAGTCAAGGCCTTGCCTTGCCCGTTGCCAGTTCGCTAATGCTGAAGGCAGTGTTTTTATACCTTGGCTGAAGCTTAGGGGCAGAAGGGTTATATAGCCTTGGGCCGAAGCAAGGATATAGAACTCCGGCCAAAGGCCGAAAGGAACAGAAAGGAAGAATCTCGCTTACTGTTACACACAAAGGTTACAATATTTGCAACAAAATGCTATGAAAAGGAGAACCACCATTGGTGATGTCCTATTTTGCACCCTTTAAAGACTCAAGAAATCTACAAAACAAAAACACGAAAAAAAGGAACACCAGAGGTGGATTTTCATGGGCTGGGGGGCAGTCAGCACAGTGGCTGGTGGGACTGGCCACATCGGACCGTCCACCGCATGCAGCTGTGACGTCAGAACCGACTACCCGTCTCCTACCCCCACGCCTGTTGGACGCACCGCACACACCGCACGCAGCAATGTGCGGTGCCCGTGAACATATAAATACCCCTACAACCTACAAACCTACCAGCTACCAACCTACAACCTAAAACCTACAAACCTGCAACCTAACCTACAACCTAAATTCCTTCTACTTGGTTGAAGGGATGTAGCTGCCCTACAAAAATTACCGCATGTAAATCGGTCAAGTGGCTGCTGAGATATAAGTGTCCCAAAAGCGTGACCATGGCCGGCCGGCTGGCCGGCTGCTCATACTCAGAAATTTTCGTTATTCTACGTAAGACTCCGCTCGCTTCGCTCATTCTGTAATAACAGTTAATGCACATGGCATGTCAACCCAAAGCATATCTGTTGTAGTGCGTGGAACATAGCAAAACAGATCCAACAGCAGTCCTGCTACGCTAAGACAATTTTCTGGAATAACATGCCACCCAATTTCTTTTTCAGGTTAGCTTCTTGTTTGTCTGGAAGATAACATAAGAAGATTAAATGTGGATGCCATTGAGATATAGCAAAGTTTTTCTTTGCCAGCACTGCAGAATGGTAAGGCTTAGTTTGTAATATAGGTATACATTTATTATTTCACAATGTCTTTTTGCGAAAAAAAATTGTTAATCTCTAGGTAAATATTTTTATGAACACTGTAGATGCCGTTTCTATGTCGGCGGCGTTATTCGTGACGGGCACGAGCTACACGAAATAAAATTTTGCTGAAGTAGAAAAGTAGGACGGAAATAATTTGGAACAAGTAAAATAGGTTAGAACAAAGGTTTTGAAAATAAGTATCGAAACCGCACGACAAGGAAAGAAGAAGTTAAGTGATATTTAAGTTTACTTGGTGTAGAATAAGATAAGCCTTTCATGTAGCCGCGGACCAAAAATCGCTTTTGACGGTGGTTGTGGTTGAGAATGTGTGCGTGAAAGAAGAAGAACCTGTGAGAAGGACGGTGATAAGAACCGGTGTGAAGTGTGCTATTTTGTGCCTGAGTTTGTATTTTATTTTAATACCGAAATATTACGACATCCCGATCAACTTTAGTTTGAAATAAATCAGAGTAAAATCACTCAGCTCAAGCCACCCGTAAAGCATTATCCAGCGCCTACATTTAGTCAAAAGCGATTTTCTACGTTTATGATTCTTACTTTTAGTCAAGTTTAAGATATGAAGATATGAAGTTTGTTTAACGTAAGTATCATTTAACGTAAACAACGCAAGTGTAAGTCAAAGTACATAAGAAGATGGGAGCTGACTCTCCAAACGACCTACCGTTACGTACGGCAAAGTCCCTACGGGAAGAACTCAGAAAAAGAGGCCTGTCGACAAGCGGCAACAAGGCTGCTCTGAAAGAAAGACTGGAGAAAGCTCTAGCTGCCGAAGAGCAAGCGGAGGCAATTGAATGCAGAAGCTCAATGTCACATGCATCTCTCGTTTCAAGTTCCTCTACCTCAAGCCAAAGAGCCCAAGAAACTCTTAAGAGGGCAGAGCTAGAGGCCAAAGTAGCTCTACTCGAAGAAAAAGAACGACTTCTTCGTGAAGAAATGGAGCTTAAGATGAAACGAGAGAGGCTACAGCTGCGAGAAGAAATTGCGCTTGCTGAAGCAAGAGAAAAAGCACTTGAGATGAGCGCGAGTGTCCTCAATGAAGAGACCATTCCAAGACGACAAGGCTCAGCTGCGAATGGCGATGACAATGACGATTCGCAACGAGAACTGACAGCTATTCAAGCACTGTTAACTCAACAGAAGAGAACTCTGCTACCCCAGTCGCAGATTCAGGCTTTCCGAGGCGATCCTTTGGAGTATAAAGGATTCATCCGCGCATTTGAAAGCAGGATAGTCAAAAGGACAGAAGACTGCGCGGAGCGCCTGCACTTTCTGGATCAATACACAGACGGAAAGCCCAACACCATAGTGCGGAGCTACATGCACATTGATCCAGTAAAGGGCTACGCTGAGGCTCGGAAGGCTCTCGACCGAAAATACGGCGATGACTACAAAATATCTAAGGCGTACGTGGAGACGCTGCTCACCTGGCCCGCGATCAGAGCCACGGATATAGACGGGCTGGAGGACTTCGCTATCAAACTGAGAGGCTGTTTGAATGCTATGGAAGACATCAGCAGTCTAACTGAGGTAAACCACCCAAAGAACCTGCAGAAGATTGTTGGCAAGCTGCCAGCCGCCCTTCAAGAGGGCTGGCGCCGGTTAGCCTTCTCTCTGACAAGACAGGACGCGAAGCCCAGCTTTCAAGATGTCGTGGAGTTCGTGGAGAAGGAAGTGGAAGTGGCGGCCGATCCCGTGTTTGGAACCGCTGAGATGGCTGCTATCTCCAGTGGAACAAAGTCATCACCTGTAAACAGAAGAGAACAAGCTGTAAAAGTGAAGAAATCGAAAATTCATGTGACGAAAACAACGGAAGATGCAGCAAACGGCGAACTCCGCCGGCTCTGTCCGTGTTGCAAGGAAGGTCACGACCTGGAAGCGTGCCAGAAGATGCTGCATAAAACTACCAGCGAGAGACTGGAGCTGGTCAAGAAAAGTGGACTATGCTTTGGATGCCTCCGATACGGGCACAGCTCTAGACAGTGTCGCAAAAGGAAGACATGCTCGAAGTGCGGCTCTCGTCACCCAACTCTGCTTCACATGGACTCAAGAAATTCAGAAGAAGGAAGACCCGGTCCGCTGCCCGAGCCAAGAAGTGAAGTATGCGGCGGAACGACGACGGACCGAGCCGGACCTGTCATGTCCATACTACCCGTGCTGGTCACGGGCAGGAACGGAAAAACAAGCCAAACGTACGCCTTTCTTGACAGTGGCAGCTCGGCAACATTCATCACCAACGCTCTCGCTGAGAAGTTGAAGCTAAAGGGAGAAGAAACGTCACTGGCGATAACGACCGTGGAGCAAGACGAGCTTAAAATCAGCAGCCAAGCCCTAACCGGACTTCAAGTATCAAGCCTGGACGGGAGCGGCAGCGTAAAACTGCCGTGTACATACACAATCAAGAAGATCCCTGTCACGAGCAGCGATATACCGGACGCATCTGTCGTGCAGCAGTGGCCTCACCTCGCTGGCATCAAGATTCCGGTCGTGGAAGCAGAAGACGTCGGCCTGCTGATCGGATGTAACTGTCCTCTCGCCATGGAGCCCTGGGACGTCGTACACTGCGAAGACGGCGGACCATACGCCATCAAGACCCGCCTCGGCTGGACCATAGTGGGCCCCAGCGACCAGAGAACCAACATCACCAGCAGCAACTCCATCAAACTGAACCGTGTCGGCGCCAGCGCTAAAGAAGATATAGCAAGAATGCTGACTGATATGTACAACAGTGACTTCACGGAGAAGGTCGGCAGCGAGCCGAGTCCGTCAGTCGAAGATAAGCTTTGGCAAAAACAAGTGAATGACAGCATCACTCTGCGCGACGGAAAGTATGAAATAGCTCTACCACTGAAGTACGAAGACACTAGCCTACCGAATAATCGCAAGATGGCTGAAAGACGGGCCGAAGGGCTCAAGAAAAGACTCGAGAGGGACGAAGGTCTACATCAGCGCTACACTGAGTGTGTGGAAGAACTCATCCGAGAAGGTTACGCTGAAGTTGTCCCTCCCGACCAGCTCCATCGACTTAACAAGACATGGTATCTGCCCCACCATGCCGTCAGCCATCCTGCAAAGCCAGAAAAGACGCGAGTTGTCTTCGATTGCTCAGCAAAGTACGGCGGCGTGTCACTGAACGATCAGCTGTTACAAGGACCTGATCTGACAAACAGTCTGCTCGGTGTACTGATAAGATTCCGACAGGAAGAAGTCGGATTCGCCGCTGACATCAAAAGCATGTTTCACATGGTCAGAGTGCCTGAGAAAGATGCAGATTTACTGCGGTTCCTGTGGTGGCCTAAAGGTGACACATCCCAGGAGCTACAGGACTACCGGATGAGGGTGCACCTTTTTGGAGCCAAGTCATCGCCAGCGTGCTCAAACTTTGCCCTCAAGAAAACTGCAGAAGACATAGGGACCGAAGACCACTCGGAAGTGAAGAACACGATAGAACGTAACTTCTACGTAGACGACTGCTTGAAGTCCGTGCCAGACGTAGATTCAGCTGTGAAGTTAACCGAGTCGCTCCGCTCAGCATGTCAGAAGGGGGGTTTTCACCTCACGAAGTTCGTTTCGAATGACAAGTCAGTCATGGAACACATCCCAGAAGAAGACAGAGCGGTAGAAGCAGCCAGTAAAAGCTTACTGGAGACGGACTCAGCCGAAAAACGTGTTCTGGGTATCCTCTGGAATGTCTCATCAGACACGATCGGAGTTCAAGTTCAGGACATGAGAAAACCTGCAACAAGAAGAGGCATCTTATCGGCAACCAGCTCGCTCTTTGACCCTCTGGGGTTCGTAGCACCCGTTCTGATGGCTCCGAAGATCCTGTTACAGCAGCTCTGTCAGCTGGACCTGGGATGGGACGACCCCATTCCTCAGCACCTGGAACAGAAGTGGATAGAGTGGACGCAGGCTCTTCATCACCTTCAGGACTTCAAGATAAGACGGTGTTACAAGCCCCCAGGCTTCAAGGCCATCACTTCCTGCCAGGCTCACTATTTTGCCGATGCAAGTGAGACAGGATACGGCGCAGTAGCCTACTTGCGGATGACAGATATCGAAGGGAAGACCCACTGCTCATTCTTGGCTGGAAAGGCAAGAGTAGCACCCTTGAAGACTGTCACGATTCCACGCCTCGAGCTGACAGCTGCCACGGTAGCAGTACGTCTAGACGCACAGCTCAAGAGGGAGCTAGAAGTAGCTGTAGAGAGCACTACATTCTGGACGGACAGCTCTACCGTTCTCCGTTACATCAAGAACAGAGCTAGCCGTTTTCATACATACGTGGCCAACAGAGTCCAGGTCATACATCAGCACTCAGACCCAAGTCAGTGGCGATTCGTCGATGGCAAGTCGAATCCGGCTGATGAAGCCTCCCGTGGGGTTTCTGTGGAGAAGTTTCTCCATCGTTCGAGATGGACATCAGCACCGGAGTTCCTGTGGAAAAACGAAGAGCACTGGCCTGTGGATCTGAACTTACCTGTCCAACTGGACCAGAATGACGCAGAAGTGAAGCGACCTGCGATAGTTTCGGTCACAAGCACCTCAGAGAAGAACCCCACAGACAGACTTCTACTGCAGTACTCATCATGGTACCGATTGAAGCGAGCGGTGGCGTTCTTCCTGCGGCTGAGACGCCTCCTGAAGGCCAAGGCAGAGCGGGCGCTCTCGGCTCTGCAGACGAGGACAGCAGCACACGACGGGAGCAGATCGAGTGCCTCGAGTACATCGGCCAACGAAAAGAAGAAGCCGAACAAGAAGGGGACAGCTGCTCGCGCTGATCAGCCGACCACACCAGCTCTCCTGTCTGTGGAAGAAATTGACGACGCAGAGACGGCCGTGATCAGCTATGTTCAATCACAAAGCTACAAAGATGAAATAAGCAGACTGAGAGGGATGCAAAATGTCAAGCGCTCCAGCCCGATAAGCCGCCTCGATCCCGTTCTAGACCAGAACGTGTTACGAGTCGGAGGGCGTCTCGGTCGGTCTACACAAGCATTTGAAAGCAAGCATCCGGCTATCATGCCGGCCAAGTCACACGTAACGGATCTCATCATCCAAGACGTGCATCAATCAGTGGGTCATCAAGGCCGTCAGCATGTCCTAGCTTCACTCAGAGAGAAGTTCTGGGTGGTGCACGCAAACGCAGCTGTTCGGCGGGTCCTGTCCCGCTGTCTCACATGCCGACGACTTCAAGGAAGACCGCTGACGCAAAAGATGGCCGATCTGCCCGTGGATCGAGTTACGCCCGACCGGCCGCCGTTCACGTTCTCGGCGGTAGACCTGTTTGGCCCCCTGCTCGTGAAGAAGGGAAGAAGTATGGTCAAACGATATGGTGTGCTGTTCACCTGTCTAACGACCCGAGCGGTTCACATTGAAGTGGCTCACACCCTCTCAACGGACTCGTTCATTAATGCCCTGCGCCGATTCGTATCCAGGAGAGGTCAAGCTGAAGAGATACGGTCGGACAATGGAACGAACCTCGTCGGGGCCGAAAGAGAGCTGCGTGAAGAGATAGACAGATGGAATCTGCAGCAGATCCATGAAGCAATGCTTAAGCATCACGTGAAGTGGAAGTTTAACCCACCTGGCGCTTCTCACCATGGTGGAGTATGGGAGCGACAGATTCGCTCTGTCAGGAAGATACTGAGCTCACTACTGCTCAGTCAAGTCGTGGACGAAGAAGGCCTATCGACACTGCTGTGTGAAGTTGAGTCGATTCTCAATAGCCGTCCACTGACACCAGCGTCTGACGATCCACTGGATCTCGACCCTCTGACGCCCAACCATCTTCTTCTCCTTCGAGCCGGTCCTCGCCTACCGCCTGGTGCGTTTAGCGACAGCGACAACTACACCAGAAGAAGATGGCGGCAGGTTCAGCACCTGGCAACAGAGTTCTGGAGAAGATGGAGCCAAGAATATCTGCAGACTCTGCAGCACAGGCAGAAGTGGACGAAGGAAGAAAGAAACCTACAAGTCGGAGACGTAGTTGTCATCGCAGACAAGAACGCTCCTAGGAGCACATGGAGCATCGGGCGCGTGACACGCGTCTTTCCAGATGCGGGCGGAGCCGTTCGTGCGGCGGACGTGCAGACGAAAAGCACAGTGCTGACGCGTCCGGTGACTAAGCTGGTTCTCCTCGCGGAAGCAGGAGAATAACAACCGTCGAAGCGAACACTAAGTGACGCTCGGGCTAACGTGCGCCGACGGGGGCGGGGGTGTAGATGCCGTTTCTATGTCGGCGGCGTTATTCGTGACGGGCACGAGCTACACGAAATAAAATTTTGCTGAAGTAGAAAAGTAGGACGGAAATAATTTGGAACAAGTAAAATAGGTTAGAACAAAGGTTTTGAAAATAAGTATCGAAACCGCACGACAAGGAAAGAAGAAGTTAAGTGATATTTAAGTTTACTTGGTGTAGAATAAGATAAGCCTTTCATGTAGCCGCGGACCAAAAATCGCTTTTGACGGTGGTTGTGGTTGAGAATGTGTGCGTGAAAGAAGAAGAACCTGTGAGAAGGACGGTGATAAGAACCGGTGTGAAGTGTGCTATTTTGTGCCTGAGTTTGTATTTTATTTTAATACCGAAATATTACGACATCCCGATCAACTTTAGTTTGAAATAAATCAGAGTAAAATCACTCAGCTCAAGCCACCCGTAAAGCATTATCCAGCGCCTACAAACACTGAATCTGATCCTCACACATCTCAGTCTCACACATGGAGGAGTTGACATCCTCTCTAAACTGCAAACAGCTTTGAAAAGCACCAGTAATCATGAGGAGAGTACTTCAGACATTTTCTCAGTCAGGCCAAAGGTCAGGTCACCTGACTCCTGAGGTCATCAAAGATTTCTTAATCCAATTTTGACTTTCAGTTCCCTCCTTTTACAACTTAGGTACCCCTTGCTAGAATATTGTGGAAAAAAGCAGTTTATAGCTCTTAAATAGTTATTTTGCTTGTGTTCTCAGGTTTGGCTTTAGGTCATTGATTTCACATTCAGAGGGCAAACAAATCATTAATTTTATGAGTGCAATCATCATTGGCAGCTTGTGATCTGTCTGCTACTGATGCATCTTTGTCTGTCTGACCATCATCTGGTGGCGTTTGGTGGTGCTGACCGTCGCGTGCCGCGGAACTGGGCGGCGTGCGGCGGCTGTCGCTGTGTGACCGCTGTGTAACCGTCGCGTGTCCCGCAGCTGGGCGGGGTGCGGCGGCTGTCGCTGTGTAACCGCTGTGTAACCGCTGTGTATTGTGTAATCGGCTCGTGTCCCGCAGCTGGGCGGGGTGCGGCGGCTGTCGCTGTGTGACCGCTGTGTAATCGGCTCGTGTCCCGCAGCTGGGCGGGGTGCGGCGGCTGTCGCTGTGTGACCGCTGTGTAACCGCTGTGTAATCGGCTCGTGTCCCGCAGCTGGGCGGGGTGCGGTGGCTGTCGCTGTGTGACCGCTGTGTAACCGTCGCGTGTCCCGCAGCTGGGCGGGGTGCGGCGGCTGTCGCTGTGTGACCGCTGTGTAATCGGCTCGTGTCCCGCAGCTGGGCGGGGTGCGGCGGCTGTCGCTGTGTAACCGCTGTGTAACCGTCGCGTGCCGCGCAGCTGGGCGGCGTGCGGCGGCTGTCGCTGTGTGACCGCTGTGTAACCGTCGCGTGTCCCGCAGCTGGGCGGGGTGCGGCGGCTGTCGCTGTGTGACCGCTGTGTAACCGTTGCGTGTCCCGCAGCTGGGCGGCGTGCGTCGGCTGTCGCTGTGTAACCGCTGTGTGACCGCTGTGTAATGTAACCGCTGTGTAATCGGCTCGTGTCCCGCAGCTGGGCGGGGTGCGGTGGCTGTCGCTGTGTGACCGCTGTGTAATCGGCTCGTGTCCCGCAGCTGGGCGGCGTGCGGCGGCTGTCGCTGTGTGACCGCTGTGTAACCGCTGTGTAATCGGCTCGTGTCCCGCAGCTGGGCGGCGTGCGGCGGCTGTCGCTGCTGCGCAGCCAGGCGCTGGTGGCCGGCCAGTGGACGGGTGCTGACAACGGCGCCACGTTCGAGGTCACCAACCCTGCCACGGACCAGGTGCTCGGCTCGGTGCCCGACCTCGGTCCGGCGGAGACGGGCCGCGCTGTGGAGGCCGCGGCGCGCTACCAGACCACCTGGGAGACCACGCCGGCAAAGGTACCTACCCGCCTGCCTACCCACTGTCTGCGCAGACAGCACAGGGAGCTGGAAAATTATAAATGCCCGCATACAACAAACCACAATGTAACTGATTTTGACAATGCTCCATTATCACCTATCTTAGCGACAGCAGAAGAGTGCTAATAGTTATCGTTGCTCTTAACTCTTCAGCTTCAGCTTTATGTACAGCCACTCAGTCATCGTTGTGGCTCGATTTCTGCGCTCGTTCTTCCCACTCTTCCCCCAATGACTGCCTGACGCGATTCTGCGCGGCCGGTGCTCAGAGGCGCTCCCAGCTGCTGCACGAGTATTTTCGCGTGCTGGAGGCCCACAGCGAGCAGCTGGCCGAACTCATCACGGCTGAACAGGGGAAGCCGCTGGCTGAGGCGCGTGCCGAGGTGGCCTACGGATCCGCCTACATCGAGTGGTACGCGGGCGAGGCGCGCCGGATATACGTGAGTGGCTCCGTGGGGCAGCTTTGGTGTGGGTCGGTGGGAATTTCACGACAATTATAGATCGATGAGCTGGGATTTGGGTATGGCTGAGTGAGGCGGGACTCAGTAAAATGATGCACAAAACTTGAGTGGCGGTGTTCTTAGCTCGGTTGTTTAGGAGTTGAGGAACCTTGTCTCCGTTTAGAAGCTGTTATAATATTTCGCGCCTCTCGTCTGAAATGTCATCGCAACTTAGAAGAGGCATCGTTTTTGTCCCCCCCCCCCCCCACCGAGTGTGTATCGGATCTCCCGTCTGCCGTTCATATGAATACCGGCTGACGTGGTGCGTCTGGCAGGGTGACTATGTGGAGGGAGCCCCCAACAAGGAGACGCTGCTGATCCGTCAGCCGGCAGGGGTCGCTGCGCTAATCACGCCGGTACGTACGGCGTGGATCACTGAACACGCAGTCACAAACTGACGGGACCATGGAGTGGGTTGCGCAGGATGTTGTAGGGGGGCACGAAAGATATGCTAAGCTAAGCACATGGCAATTTAGGGACACAGATGGTACAAGGAGGGCAGACTGTTAATGAGTGCGGCGCAACGCGAAGAGCCTGATCGCATATGATAAGACGCTTCGACGTGGATGATTTCCGGGCATCGGCGGATAATTGACTCATAATATTGCATTTCCTAGCTCATCAGTGAGCTTTAGCTGCTTTCCGTGTGTGCGTGTTGGCGTAAAGTCCAACGCATAACCAGTGTGCTCTCAGTCGAGCAACCCCGCCCCGCTCTCTCGTCAGTGGAACTTTCCGTTCGCCATGTTGGCCCGTAAGCTGGGCGCCGCGCTGGCCTGCGGCTGCGTGGCCGTGGCCAAGCCGGCCGAGGACACGCCCCTCACGGCGCTGGCCATGGCCGAGCTGGCACAGCGCGCCGGTCTACCCGACGGCACGCTCTCCGTGATCACCAGTAGTCGCAGGAACGCGGCACCCGTCGGCGCGGCGCTGTGTGCCGATCCGCGCATCGCCGTCATGTCGTTCACAGGTCAGTGGTCAGTCGGTAACCGACGGGAACGGGTGAGGGAGGCTGCTGCTGCAGGCGTGGAGGTTTTCAGACATTAGGGCAAAGTTCTAAGTTTTGCAGATCAGGATGGTATCAATACTGACTGGTATTACCAACACTTGCATGAAGTAGTGATATAAAAATGCGTCAATTTCGACCATCATCAGTGCAGTGACGCCACAGCACATCACCCTCGACTATCTGTGTGTGACCAGGCTCGACGGCCGTGGGGAAGCTGCTGTACGCCCAGTGTGCACCCACTGTGAAGAAGCTGGCACTGGAGCTGGGAGGCAACTCGCCGTTCATTGTGTTCGACTCGGCTGACCTGCAGAAGGCCGTGGCCGGCTGCATGGCCTCAAAGTTCCGCAACGCTGGACAGGTGAGGTGACGGCTGGACAAGCGTAACGAGGCAGGACAGGTCTGACGGCCGGCCGGACCGGCAGGCGTAACGGGACAAGACAGGACAGGACATGCCTGGCGGTAGGAGAGACTGGTAGGCGTAACAGGACAGGCCTGATGGCCGGACAGGGCTGGGGCCTGTAGGCGTGGAGCTTGGGAATCTAATGTCGTGCAGGGCTGGGGAAAATGCTCAAGGCTCAAGGGAAGAATGGCTTCGTTTTTTTAATGAGGAAAAATCATTGGTGTGTTAGGAGTTATCCCACGTTTCGTACTGGCCTGGCAGCGCTCGTTGAGTCAACAACCCCTCCCCCTTCTGTCCAACAGACGTGTGTCAGCACCAACCGCATTCTGGTGCAGAACGGCATCTACGAACGGTTCGTGGCCGCCCTCTCAGAGGCCATGGACCGACAGCTGACGCTGGGTAACGGCGCCACCGACGGCGTCAACGTCGGCCCGCTCGTCAACGACGCCCAGATGAACAAGGTAACGACGGACGGGTTTAATGGCTGTCTTTACTGAACCACTCTACACTCAGTCACTTGTAGCGGATGGGTCAGAATATCCTAACAATTGTAGGTAAATCGGTTTCTTTGGAGGATAGTAGTCAGCAGCTTACTCAAGGCGTTGAGCTGTCAGTGCTGACCGGTATGGTGCGGTGGGCGGGAAGCTGAAGTACACCTCTCCACCGCCAGGTGTCAGGCCTGGTATCCGAGTCAGTGCGCCAGGGGGCGGCGGTGGTGCGCGGCGGCGGCCCGCACAGCCTGGGCGGCCGCTTCTTCGCGCCCACGCTGCTGCGGGATGTCACGCCCGACATGGTCTGCTTCAAGGAGGAGGTGTTCGGACCGGTGTCGGCCTGCGCCAGGTGCGACTGCGGACCGCAGGGGGGGGGGGGGACTCTGGCCGCGGCGACCGCGGTGGGGCTGATATTTGATTCGTGCTACCGCTGAGGTGTGCCTGTTTTGAACTACCGAACACTAGTCCGTCATATGGTATTCGACTATAAATTGTTTGGCTCGAAGCAGAGGACGTTCTGTATTTCGTTTTCCATTCGTTGAACTGCTCAATCGCCACAATCTTAAAAATGGGTCCGCCCTGCTCGCTTATTGGCAGCTCTTTTTCACTCACACTCGCGACACTTCACTTCACCACCCGTGTGTCACCCCGTCTCCTCACCCACATGATACCCGACCCGTTCACCCTTGTGACACCGCCCGTGCCCCACTGCAGGTTTGAGACAGAGGAAGAGGCCTTGTCGATTGCCAACAATACGGACGCCGGTCTGGCAGCGTACATGTTCACCGAAAATATCTCCCAGGTGGGTGGAATCGCGCGGTGCCTTGTCCTAGACGATTAATGATTGAGGGGGTGAATAACTGTGTGAAAAGGGAGAGATGGAGGGGGAATAAATGAGAAGGGGGCAGCTATTTCACGAGGTGTATGTATAAAGAAGGTCCTTGGAGGAAGGCAAAGGAAGATTGGCATCCACAGGAGGTGGATTAATCGAGGCCAATGGCACAGACTATCCACCGCGCTGTACGATCGATGCAGGCCAACAAATAATGACCGCACTGGTCCTCGTAACCCCAGTAAGCGACTTTGTGGCCCGGCTGACCCGCTCTCTCCGTGTGTAACTGGCTGGTCGCTCCCGACAGGCGTGGCGGGTCAGCAAGCGGCTCCAGTACGGCATGGTGGGTGTGAACGAGGGTATAGTGTCGCAGCCGGAGGCCGCCTTCGGTGGCGTCAAACAGAGCGGGCTGGGCCGCGAGGGCTCGCGCCACTCCATCGAGGACTACACGGACATCAAGTACATCTGCTTCGGCACCCAGTGAGCCGGCAGACACCCGCGGGGGTGCCGGGGGTCTCACGGCGGCAGCTCCGAGCGCCGCAGCGAGGTCAGGGGTCCGACCAGCCGGCTGGCTCCGGCTGGGAGGGGAGGGGGGAGTTGTGGTATGCTGTTGGTCTTCCATTTGGTTTCCCACGGTGGTGACAGGCCGAGTTCAAATATTACATCCCCGTGTTCGCGGACCCTCAGGTGGGACGCCGCCGATAGTTATACTTGCTAGCTAGACTGAATAGTGAAAGTCCTAACAAAGTATTGACTTTCAGGGTGTAACTATGGCTTCGGGTATATGTTTCCTTATCTTACCGTCGTTACATAGTCATAGTCTTTGACGATACCATTCTTATGAAAGGTGTGGACGACAGGGAATTTAGCAATGGCCCATGAATCAGACATATACTTGGTGTTGCGCAATGATTCAGGCCTCTTTGGGATGTTCTCTAGATCTCATAGCTTATTGTTATGGTTAAGGCAGTTGTTTGCCCATGTCCTGCTCAGATATCTTCGGGGTGGTTTTGTGATTAATTACACCGTGCTTCCACGGGGCAATAATTTTAGCAGGCATACGAGTATCAGGTTACGTTATAATCATGTGTTCATTTGGGGTATCCCAACGACTCTATCGACGGTGAAATAATACCATTGAAGGTGTTGTCTGTTGTTGAATGATCGTTTAATTCTCTTGCAATAGAGCTGGCCAGCTAGCATCCTGTTGGCTCCAGATGTGATATAGGTGTAAAATGTAGCCTATTATGTTTAATATTTCCCAGCCATGTTGTGAGCTTTTCCTGTGATCTGAAGAAGTTTTGATGTGTACAGTTCATCGGCGCTGTGTGCCATTTTGATACTCATGGAGTTTACATTGATCATGTTCGACTTTTGTTTGTTGACTCAGACCTCAATATGTCACGTCAATCCATATTGGAGACATGCCAAGGGCAGCGAATACTATGCCATGAACGGACTTAAATGCATATAAATATAATCCATGTAGCCTATCTAAAAGTTTTTTTTTTTGTATCAAGTTTTAAGCCGACAGACTCTAGTGCGAACAGTTTTGGTAACATGTGTCACATGTGTTACATGTGTCAAAGGAAAAGTCGAGCTGTGCTCCCGAATCAGGAGAGGCGGGACGTGGAAACGTTAACAGTCTTCCAACTCAGTGCTTTTGTGATGTGTCCCAACTTTATCAGTTTTCCTTGGCCCCTGAAGGCCTCATCTCATTAATACAAGGGGTTTCTGCTCTCTCCTTTTGGTATTTATTTAGCGAGATATATATTAGCGCGCTTCGTAACGGATTAGGAATACCAAAGGTTGTGAAAGAGTGAAGATGGATAAGCAGTTGGATTAGGCGTCGCCTAATCCAATGTAATGTCGTAATGTCGGCTGTCGCCGTGTTTCGTGCTCTTGAGAGTTGAGACGGTCCGGATCAATCAATCGTGGATTTGAAGAAATAAGCGCCTGGCAACTTAAAAGGATTTTTAGTGCAATCATTTTCATAGAAACCGCAGGCATCTATAGGCAGTTTATCTCAGTAAAATTTGATTCATGTTTGCCACTTAGCCGTAAAAAATATCTGGCAATTTTTGGCAGTGGCTTGCTCACTGCTCAGCAAGGGAAGGTTGTGGCAATAAAACGAGGCATTGCTCATTTTTGATTTCAGTTGATTGTCTTGTGCCTTGTTATATAATCAGTAAATCCTTCTCAGTGTATACCATCTGTGCCATGCCATTCATGAGAGTTACGAGCGAGGTGTCGATGGGGTACTTTGGCACTTAGTTAAACCGAATAATGGCAGCATTTTAAGGAAAATCGAAACAGGATGAAGCGTTTTTGGTGCAGTTGCGACAAAAATGGCTCACGATGTTTTTCACGAAAAATGTACATATACATGCCCACCAGCTTCATTCACATTTTTGAAGCCGAAAGGTTGAACCTAGATAAATACAACAATGAGATAAATAAATTGTTTCATTCTGTTTTCTTAAAGGTACACAGTGTAAATAAGAATGCTCTGTAGCAGCTTGAGACAGGTAAGTACCCATCTTGTTATGTTCATTATTTGTATTAGGACCTACTTTGAAAATGTAAGGAATAAGGATTAACTTTTGATTTTTATCCGTGACACTAAGAAGGTCTGCTTGAATTACGTTTTTGTTATAGGGATTAATGAACTTTTTTGAAGTCAGTCCCGACTCCTACTCTGATCAGGCTGAGAAATGCAGCTGGCAGCATGGATGGATGTTGACAAAGCGGATTGACTGAATAGCACAATGATTATTGGGTATATGTCAAGTTTACGTCCTAAGCACATATCAATGATAATTGTTTCACATTCCTACGTATTTTGACGTGCTGAATCCAAAAATCATACTTACATGTCTCGCAAGAACAAAATTATCACCAATACACTAAGCAATTACACCTTCCCACAACACACGATCAAAACAAATCGAGAGGAAATTGAAAGTGTCCAGCCTTGCCATTTGTGAAAAATATTTTGTCCTTTTTTAATGTCGAGAAATAAAAACATTCAATATATTATAAAAATAAATAGGAAATATGTAAAAAATATTTATTTAAAAAGAAATATTATTATTAGAAATAGAATAGCAAAACAACAAAGGGGAAATGTTGGGAACCGGGGTTATTGGCTGGGGGGGGGAGGAAAGGAAAATCCTGAGAACTGGGGGGCGATTACTTGTGCAAAGTTGGCCAAAATCAAGAATGATATCTAACAGTTGCTATTCAACTGTGAATAATGACGTCATAATATTTCTCGCGGCGAAGCAGCGCAGTGCCGAAGGCAATGCCTTAGGAGAGATTACAGGCAAGAGTAAATCAAATATTTTTAGGTTAAGTGGTTATGTATCTGGCTTCAGGCCGAAGGCCTGAAGCCTGATGCATGACCACTTAACCTAAAAATATTTGATTTACTCTTGCCTGCAATCTATTCCTGCAAGCAACTTTTTCCTTATCCCCGGTAGGCAAAAATCAGTAGGTTAGGTTAGGTTAGGTTAGGTTAGGTTAGGTTAGGTTAGGTTAGGTTAGGTTAGGTTAGGTTAGGTTAGGTTAGGTTAGGTTAGGTTAGGTTAGGTTAGGTTAGGTTAGGTTAGGTTAGGTTAGGTCAAGTCAGGTAAGGTTAGGTTAGGTAACAATTAGATTTGAGGCAAGAACCCCGATTCCTAAAATTTCCCAAATATTGTAACCATTCTTATCGTATTTTTCTCCATCCCCTCCCCACAAACCCCGGTTCCCGACATTTCCCTATGACGTCATTTTCATTTTTTCTCTCCCCCACCCATGAACCCCGATCCCCAACATTTCCCTGTTTTTCTAACCCTCCCCACCCAATAACCCCGGTTCCCAACATTTCCCCTTTGTTGTTTTGCTATTCTATTTCTAATAATAATATTTCTTTTTAAATAAATATTTTTTACATATTTCCTATCTATTTTTATAATATATTGAATGTTTTTATTTCTCGACATTAAAAAAAGACAAAATATTTTTCACAAATGGCAACGCTGGACACTTTCAATTTCCTCTCGATTTGTTTTGATCGTGTGTTGTGGGAAGGTGTAATTGCTTAGTGTATTGGTGATAATTTTGTTCTTGCGAGACATGTAAGTATGATTTTTGGATTCAGCATGTCAAAATATGTAAGATTATGAAAGAAATATCATTGAAATGTGCTTAGGACGTAAACTTGACATTTACCGAATATTGCTGCTAATTTTCACATTTGTGCCTGAATGACGCCTAATGTGTAACAATTCATTCTGATAGATTGCCCTTCACCCTTGTTTATGTAGATTGAATATGTCACTTCACCTTTATGACAGTATTTTAACAAAAAGCAATGAGTCTTTACAGATAACAACTGATTGGTATGCTCAATCAGCATGACACTCATCCTAAAAAATCAATCTGATCACCATGGTTCTGTCATCTGTGTCAGGTATCTGCACGCCTGGTAGCTGGTGAAGTGACCTCAGCAGAGCTGACTGAGCGATGCCTGGCCAGGGCAGAGAACACTCAAGACCTGAATGCTTTCATCACAGTCACCGGTCAGATGGCTCGCAGGCAGGCAGCACAGGCCGACCAGAGGCGACACAAAGGTGGGGTAAACGCTGGGTTCGCCTTACTGGGGAGGGTACTTAAGATTATGCAAAGGTGCTTGTTTCGACTTCCGAACATAGCTCTTTTTTCTCTGATGTATGCAATTGCCAATGAAAGATGCCTTTCAGCATTGTTTGATAATCTTAAGCAAATGATTGGCCTCCAGGTCCATTCTTTAAGTTATTAAATGGTTCAGTACAGGCATGTACTAAAATTGTGTAGATTTATGCAGTTTTAACTGAATGTCTGGTCTGAGTTTTACCATTATTAAATTGTACCTAGTCCCAAACACAGACAGCTCCGCCTCACTAGTCTATCCGCTGTTCCACCACCAGGCCAGTCGCTGGGCCCGCTGGACGGCGTGCCGGTGTCGGTGAAGGACAATTACTGCGTGGAGGGCGCGCTGACGACCTGCGGCTCGCGGATGCTGGCCGGGTTTCGGCCGCCGTACACGGCCACGGTGGTACAGCGGCTGCTGGCGGCCGGTGCCGTACTCGTCGGCAAAACCAACCTGGACGAGTTCGCCATGGGGTGAGACGGGCGGCCATGACATTGAATATCATGCGGTCTGTGTCTGGGTGTCTATGCGGTCTGTGTCTATGGTCTGTATCAGAAGTGTGTTTATTTAATTCCTTCTGGATCCCTCTTCTTGCGCGTATGATATTGATGTGTCATTTCTAATGACTGCTACGCTCTGCTAGTTGCTCACGGCTGTGGATGACATTCCATTCATCCGATCGCCCTGTTACAGAGTTGGTACGACGGACAGCTACTTTGGCCCGACCAAGAACGTATGGGGCTCCAACGTCAAGTACAAACTGCTGCCCTCATCTGGGTGAGTTGGGCTGGCCTGAGTGCCCTCAAGTTTCACGGAGGGAGGCACGCTGCTGGGACTGCTCGCATTGAGTTAGGTGCCTACTGTGTTTTAGGAAGAAAGTGAACAATTCGGTACATTAATTGATTCTTCCCTGAATCGATGCCATAAGGACGTGAATATCATGTGACATTTGACTCGCACTCTAGGTATCAGTCAGTGGTAGTTATGCGAGACACTAGCTGTTTTTCTGCAGTTGACGTCGATCGCTCGGCTGTTTCAGGGAGTCTGACAGCGCCGACGACCCACCACTGCCACCTAGTGACGATGCTGCGGACTTCTACATCCCCGGTGGGAGCTCAGGGGGCAGCGCTGTCGCCGTTGCATCCGGAGCAAGCTTTGTGTAAATTACAAGTTGCACGTGGTAATTTTGAATGTTGAAATTGGGTTAGCTATATTTATATGTAGCTGACTCGTAATGAGCTTACTGTGTCTTTCCAGCTTCAACAAACCAATTCGTACGCTACTCAATAGTCAATAATCATCTTTTCATCTGTCTGATTTGTGTTTCTATTTCAGACTTCTTAACATCATTGCAATCCCTCCAATGCCGATTGACTTAGGATCAGCTCGCATTGTACTTGATTCGAAAATTCGTTTTCCTTATTTGCACAATGCATGTCCCAGACTGGGCTAGAAGTGAATCGCGGCTCCTCTCCCCTCACGGCAGCTCTCTGGGCTAGATACAAGCGACCAGGACGTGCCCTCACTCCTCCACAGGGCTTTGGCTGTGTTCTGACACGGCGGGCTCTGTGGACCCTCCCCTCCTCAGATCTCTGGGCAGCTCTGTGGCCCCTGCCCCCCCCCCCCCCTCACCTCGGGTCACTGGGTTCTGACAGGCGGATATGCAGGACCTCCCTCCCCAGGTCTCTTGGCAGCTCTGTGACCCATGTCCCCCTCAGGTCACTGGGCTCTGACATAGGCGGCTCTATGGACCCTTCCTCCCTTCCTCAAGCAGTGTCCCAAAATTGAGTTTTGTCTGGGGTGTCAGAGGGGAAAATTACCCACCAAAAAGAGGGGAGAGAGTGGAAAACTGCTGATTTGATTAGATCCAAAAAGAGTGAGAAACGCCATAAAACATGGATTTTATTCTACAGGGTGTTTCACTAAAAGTGTCAAAAAGTAAAAGGTCATAATGCACATAATAACAATGTTTTCTACGGAAATTTGCATACCATTTCATCCGCAATTGTTGGACATTTGAATATATAAAAACGATAGCACCGTCACTCAAACCTATTCCACATATCCGCCCCTTCTTTTGATGCACCGTTTCGGCACGTGTCCGGAGGTGCCTCACAGCCCGTTTTCATCTTCAGCGTCCAGACTGTCGGTAAAGCCTTGAATGGTGCTCTTCAGCTCCCGAAGTGATGCGACTTGAGTCTTCCTCAGCTCTGCGAGAGCTACTGACCAAAACCAGAAGTAAAACGGTGACAGATCGGGGCTTTGCGCTGGCCAGAGGCGGGCGGCGAGGCAGCTGATTTTTCGGTGCAGGAACTTCTAATCCAGCCAGTTCCTGGTGGTTACAGCCATTATAGTGGCTGTTTTTGATAACTTGTAAGGCCTTGACTATTTCTGATGTTGAAATTAGCTTCTTGTTATCTTCAAAGACCCTCAAAAAGACCCTGACCTTTTCAACGGTTTCCGCCGAGAGGTGGGGGACCCCGTCTTTTTTGGACTGCGACCGGCATCGAAGGAACCCTTTTAAACCTCTCAAGAAGCCCTTTGAACCTTTTATAATCTGGAACGTAGCGAGGTGAGAGAATAAAACGCTTCCTGAAAAGTCGGCATACGGTTTCAATGTTTCTGAGGGCACCAAAGGTAAGTGTAATTCACCCCTCCTGTTGAGGTGTAAATAACCTGTTCTTGTTCTGCATAAGGAAAAAAACGACTAGTAACTTTGGCCTCCTGCCCTCGCTCCGTATGAGTGAAAAATATATCTTAAATGGACAAAGCATAAATGTCCAAAAATTTGCAACCAAGCCACGTGCGCGACCACGTGATTAGCATATTTTATATAACTTTAATAGGCATTTACTTTTTGACACTTTTAGTGAAACACCCTGTAGGATGTATGTAGAATGTTTGATGCTAAACCGGGCATTCACACAACCGCTCTTTCTAGAGGTAAAAAAATCTAGGTTTTCTTGGTTGGGAGTGGAAAATTGTTCTTAAAAATTGGTGGTGAGTGGAAAATGAATTTCCTTTGGATGTCATTTCCCACCCAAATCGACAAATTTTGGGACAAGTCTCCGGGCAGCTCTGTGACCCTCCCCCCCCAGGTCCCTTGGCTCTGACACGGGCGGCTCGGTGTCCCCCCTCCCCTTTCCCCAGGTCTCTGGGCAGCTCTGTGACTCCTGCCGTCCCCTTCCTCACAGGTCCCTGGGCTCTGACACGGGCGGCTCGGTGCGGAACCCTGCGGCGCTCTGCGGCCTGGTCGGCCTGAAGCCCTCCTACGGCCTACTCTCCCGTCACGGCCTGATCCCTCTGGTGAACTCGATGGACGTGCCCGGCCTGATGGCGCGCTCGGTCGCCGACGTCGCGCTCGTCTTCAGTGAGTGAGCACTCGGCTGGAGGGTGTGGGTTAGCAGTGTGATCAGTCTGCGCGAAGTTCGGCCCCAGTGGGTGAGCTCATGAAGTGTTTGAGCCTCCCTATTGTGGTAACCCGTGTTTGTGCTGCGAACGATATTGTACGAGCTGGACATCAAGGCCGTAAATCGTCCTGAGGTTAATAACAACATAAATGTCTCTTAGTCTTGTGTAGATAATTCGCATCTGTTGCCTTCCATCCATAATTATCTGTTATCGGCGATACATCATCTATCAGAAGACCTGTTATACCTCGGTTGCCACTCAGTGGCCATTCACTAACCAACAACGGAGTCCCCTCGGACTTGATGTCGGCCTGTACCCCAGCTCTCAACGCTCTCTCGTTCACTGACTGGCGGTTGTCACCCTCAGACCTGCTGTCGTTCTGTACCTCACCCAGCGCCCCTTAACTGACCGGCTGTACCCCATCCCCGTCAGACTTGCTCTCTGCTCCTGACCCGCTGGACTCGACGTGCGTCCCGGAGCGGCGCACGCCGGTCTCACTCAGTGACGGCGCCGGGACGGTGCGCGGCCTGCGCGTGGGGTTACCCGTGGAGTACCACTGCCCCGGTATGGAGCAGGAGGTGCTGCAGGCCTGGGAGGAGACGGCCGAGCGACTGTCGGCGGCCGGCGCCACCGTCACCCAGGTAAGGAAAAGAGGGCTGCACGGACACCAACACAGAGACACTCACATATGTAGGTATCGTGATATCGGCGGGCGGCTAGCAGCCTGTCACAGACACACCAGGGCATGTCGAAATACGGGGATGTCTTGCCACGGACACTCTTACCAGGGCATACCGTGGTACGGAGTACCTGTCAGACACTGCCTTCCACACAGCGATAGCCAGACTTGCACTGGGCAGGGAGTGTTCATGTCGATGGTATCCCACAGTAATCACAGCATGACTGCATTAAATACGCACACTGTCTTACCGTCAATGGCCGGTGACCTATCGATCATTACGTGTGCTGTGTCTGGCAATAACATTCAGCACTCCTTTCCCTGTGATACCGAGCTCTGACCACCCGCAGCGGTGTCATCCGTACACATTTCGTACTCAGTCGCAGCCGCCGTCACACGACGTGTTATTGGCCCCATAGTTTGTCTGCAGCTTTTGGTACGAGGAACGCACTCTGGGCATACCGTGCCAGCGCTGTGAGCTCCACAGGGCTCCTGGAGAATGACGTTCGTTGTAGTTATAACACCGAGTTTTTGTGTGTGTGTGTATCTTCACAACTAGTTTGCCAACACATTTTGTCAAGTTACATTGTGCATTATCAATGCACATATAGGTACAGACAACTGGTATATGAACAAGGAATACGCGTTTGTTTGCGTGGCACCGTGTATTTACACTTAACAGTTGGTTTTCACTATCACCACCGCACATGTTGGTGCCCTAATCGCATGTGATGACTGATAAACGGTGAGCGTGTGTGTCGCATGCCATTAGTATAACGCCGGGCGGGAGGGACCATGATGATACACCTTCGGTCATGATTACATGTGGGACGCCTCACTGCGTAGGGAACGTAATCTAGCTGGTTATGGTCTCATCTGAGTCTGATTGGCACTGTTTTTGATGGTCGTATACAGCGGGACTGACGGAGCGTCATATGCCTTACAAAATATGTCGGTATATCAGACGTCTAATCAGACTTTGTAGTGTAACGATGAAGCAAAATACGTGGGATATATACACTGGGAGTCCATTGCTCTTCTGTCCCACCGCCATTGATACTAGGGTCAGATCAATATCCTACAGTCAGACAATACCCTGTTCACCCGTTCATCCCCGCGGTGCGATGGTCCAGCGCGCGCCGGTGCCGGTCAGCAGTGGATCACCTCGCACACCTCCCGGTAGGAGGGTGGTGGCTCCTCCTCCTGGGCTCGCGCCTGTCGCCGACCCGGGTACGGCGGCGGGCTGTCGCGGCGCGGAGAGTGACCCGCCGGCGCTACCACCGCCACCGCCGCGGCCGGTTGGAGCTCCCTGGGGAGGGTGCACCGACAATGGGTTAGAGGTCACACTGGCCGCGGCTGAGCGGGCCATGGGGACTGGGAGGGAGCTTATGTCGGCTGTCGCAAGCGCTCTATCGTGGGTATTGATTGCTTATTTTAATGACGTATCGATAGAGAAATCGGCCTCTGTAATGTATGTACGCTCCTGTATAGGGAAACAGTAGAAGAGCGCCTCTGCCCCCGTTAACCGGCACGCCGTGTGTTGACTGACCTGCTGCGTGCTGGCGGTGAGGGCGCTGACGGCGGGCTGGAGGCGGTGATTAGAGTCGCCGGCGGCTGCCTGTCCTCCCCCGCCGCCGTCTGGGAGTCCTCGTCGTCGCAGCACGGCCCCTCCACGCAGAGCCGCGTCATGGCCATCGTGAAGAAGATGAGGCCGACGAGCGCCGCCAGAGAGCCGAACACCACCACGGCTACAGTGCGCAGCAGGAACGAGAACGCGCTCTCGCGGTCCGGCGGCGCCGGCTTGGGCAGATGCGGGTCGCTGTACTCGACGTCCGAGATGACGCGCAGCAGCTGGCTGCCGAGCCGAGCGCGCTCCAGCAGCTGGTCGGCGGTCGACGAGCCGAGGGAGCCGCCGCCGGCGCAGAAGTCGCCGTAGTGCTTGCAGGTGCATCGCACGAGCCGGGCCATGCTGGAGCCGCCGGCGGGCAGGAGGTGGTCGCAGAGCGGGTACCGGCCCCACGGGATGTGCAGCAGGCTGGCCGGCTCGGGCAGACGCAGCGGCGCGGGGGACGGCATCGGGCCGCCGAGGGCCGACCGCCGCCCGGCACTACTTAGAGCGGTCAGCAGCGCCGGCGGGACACACCTGCCGGCCTCCGGTCAGACCACCCAGCCGACTGACCCCGGCGGCCGAGAGGAGCGGAGGCTGCGTCTGGACGGTCTGCGCGCCGGGGAGATCGATACGACGGCCGGGCCGACAGGGGCCGGGGGCGGCCGGCCAGATTGGCGGCCAACGTCGCTCTCGGGGGGGGGGGGCGTTGAGGGGGGAGGCACCGATGGTGAGGGGGGGGGGCGGTGTCGGAGACGGTCTGTGGTCAGTTCATGGCGACGCTGACTGACTGAACGTGTGGACTGCAAGGTTGGGGACGTCAGCAGTTATTTGGGTAGACTTATTCGATGTCATCTTCGTTATCATGGCTATATCATGGCTATATTATCGTATTTCGTGTAATTAAAAAATAAGCTAGGATGGAATAATATGCATCGCAATTTTTTACATTCACGTCACACTTGTTATGTGGAATTGAAGTTAATGGTGCGAACAGCTAGTTTTGGTTTACCAGTGGTGGCGGTTCCAGTACCTACGCCGTATGTCGTAAGCCCACAGATGGGAACGTACAGGACTGTGCTTACGCACCTCATTGTATGCCTGCTGCTCTTAGTCCTAACACCCGTAATATCCTATCTGTGGTAGTGAATTACGTCGTTATTAACATCTTTCACATCCCGGGCGTTGCTTGGAACAGAGTTAACGAAAGGGCTGTTTTTCCTGCTTCATCGATTTTCGATACCGACAGTGACTCATATTTCATCAGGCCCCAGCTCCTGAGGCCCCTCTTATTGAACCAACACTGTTTGGTTTTACGCTTGATGACCCGCCGTCGATACACCCTTAAGCCCAACAAACAACACCGTTTGTTCCCCACATCAGCCCCTCGCCCGGTTTCAGGTGAGCCTGCCGCACACGCAGCACTCGATCGCCGTCTACTCGCTGCTGAACGCCGTCGAGGTGGCCAGCAACATGGCCCGCTACGACGGCGTCGAGTTCGGCCACCGCTCCGGCGAGAACGCCTCCACGGAGGCCATGTTCGCCGACTCGCGGCGCGCCGCCTTCAACGAGGTGGTGCGCGGCCGGGTGCTGGCCGGAAACTACTTCCTTCTCAGGAGGTGAACGGGTGCCGGCCGGGTCGGGAAGCGGCTTCTGACCTAGCGTGTCTGGTAACAGCTGCGAGATACAAGAAGGCGTTGTGGGTGGTGCCACCTGCCGTCGATAGCTATACATGTTGGGGATGAGTAGTTGGCGAACAGTGATGATGGTAGAAACCCGAGGGTCGTCTATTCAAGGAGGTTAGAAACCAGAGGGTCGTCGATTGAAGTGATTGGCTCGTTATGTGTATGCGTCGTTGAGTGCCGCTAGGTCATTTTTGTCACATACGAGTGCCTATTCAGATTTCAGTTCGCTTCACAGTTCCCCAGGGCGTCCGAATGATTGCGCCGTTTGTATCGAATCTCTCACTTTACGTTATCGCTGGCTGTTTTGTAGATCCTCTCCCCACCCTCCCTGATGCCCTGACCCCCTTCACTCCGTCCCGTCTTCGGCCCTCCGCGACTCCCACCGCCATTCCGCAGATACTATGAATGTGTACGTGCTGCCGGAGTCCCTGCCATCCATCTGACGCCCGTCTCGTCCACAGACACTACGAGGACTATGTGATGCAGGCGATGCGGATACGCCGGCTGATCGCCGCCGACTTTGAGCGCGCCTGGCGGTCCGGCTGTGACCTGCTGCTCGCTCCGGTCACCCTGTCGGACGGCCACCGGTACTCGGAGTTCACGCAGCGTGATAGCCGCACCAACACCGCCGCGCTCGACTACTGCACGCAGCCGGCCAACATGGCAGGTCAGTAAGGACGGCGACTGGGCCTCTCGGGGGCAGTCCGTTCAAACGGCTGGCGGCCGGAGCTCAGCTGGTCAGTCGGCTGGCGGGGACTTGGGGAGCAGTTCGGCCGGCCGTCAGCCAGGACTTGCCTACCGGTGGGACCGACTTGGGCTGAGTCCGCAGGCCGCGAGGCGATGGTTGCTGGACGGACGTCCGCCCGTCTGGGGTAAATCTGGCGCATTTTTGTACCACAACCATCAGCCCAGCGGGTCTGGAGCGGCGTTTTTAGGCGAAGTCTGGACTCAACGAAAACAGGCTTTAATTCCAATAACGTTTTATTAAAAATACTAACATCATAAATAACAAACGTCAATAAATAAATAAATAGCTAAATGCCACAGAATATCAACGTTGGGCTGACAGAACTGGCACTAATACTGTACGTCATAACTAACCTGAAATACGTGTCTTTTGCTTGTAACTAACGCCGCACACTGGTAGACGACGTAGGGTCCGAATTTGCTGCAGTCTCCCCAGGCATTTGAGGAGGTACTGCATTTGCACACCACACCCGTCAGACACTACCAATAAATTGATTCATGAATTCACAATGAGTATTCGGTGAGCTGCAGCGTTGAACGTTTCAATATTGCTTAGTGTGATGGCACTTGTCCACCTATCGAAGTCTTCCTGCTGTGTTTGTGTGTATATCAGTATTGTGTGCCTGTGACTGTGAGCCCCTTGTGTGTGTTACACGCGTTTTGGCGGTGACCGTGCTTGTGACTGGCTGCTACAGGTGTTCCGGCGTTGACTGTGTGTGTGGTTGTGTTCCAGGTGTTCCAGCGGTGACGGTGCCGGTGCGGCTATCGTCCCGCGGCCTGCCCGTCTCTCTGCAGCTAATGGCTCCCATGTTCGGCGAGCAGCAGCTGCTGCAGACTGCCCACTGGCTGGAGAGGGCCGTCCGCTTCCCGCGGCTATGCGTCATCGACTGACGGCCGGCCGGCCGGCGGCAGCGGCCGGAACGAGCCCCACTCCAGCGGCGGCGGGCGCAGCGTGTGCCTCCGCTCCGGCGGACTCCACAGCCGGGCAGAGGAGGAGGCCGGCTCCTCGGCTGGCCACGGCGCCGGCCGCCGGCCCCGCGCCCGGTGCGATAGCGGAGCGGGCCCGGCCGTCGGCTCGGGCTGCTGGTACAACGGCCGGAACGAGCCCCCGCTGACGGTCGGCGGCGGACGGAACAGAGCCGGCGCGGCGGACGGCGGGCGCTGAGCGCTGCCGGCGCTGGCCGCTGTCACCGGCTGGAAACCGCCCTGGCCGACCACGGACGGCGACTGAAAGGAAACGTGGGTGGGTGCCGCCTGAGGGAGGAAGACGTTTTCGTCGCTGTGTGGCTGTGTTTGCGTGGTGCCTGGACCTGAAGACCTGACTGGTTGGTAGAAGTACTGATGGTTGTCTGTGAGCGGTCTGAACTTATCCTGGGCTGTCGAGCGTGACTGCAATGTCTCCGTGTCCAACAGGGGCCTGAATGTTTCCTGCGTGGTTGGCAGTGGCAGAAAGCGATCTTCACTAGATGGTGGTGACTCGAATGTTTCTCGCGTAAAAGACACCGGCATGAAAGTGCCATAGCTGGTCGGCAGCGGCTGTAACACCGTCTCTATGGTCGCCAGTGGCTGTAGCGTGTCTGCCGCCGACTGGAGCGTTTCCCGCTCGCCGGCCGGCGGCGGTCCCGGCTGCCACATGGCTGTCGCTGGCGGCTGCCCGGTCCCCTCGACAGCAGGGAGCGGGATGCGCTCGGCACCCCCTCCTGCCACACTGGGCGGGAGGACGGTATTCCGGTCGGCAGAGGTCGGCGGCTCCGGGGTCGGAGGTGGGGTCAGCATCGGCTCAGTCAGAGAATCACCGCCAGTGACCGGCGGCTGGAGGGTCTCTGGAGCCGTCGGTAGTGGCTGGAACATCCCACTGCTAGTGGCGGCCAGATATTGCTCGGTCAGCTCCAGAGGATGAAACTGGAAACCAGCGTCTCTCGTGGTCTGGAACTGATATGGGTGTTCTGCCTGATCCAATGCCTGAAGCGGATAGTCCGTCGGTTCCAGGGACTGAAACTGGTCTCCCTGCTTCAGAGGCCGGAACTGAAGGTCCGCCTGTTTCAATGGCTGGAACTGTTCGTCAGCCGGCTGCAGCAACTGATAGTTGAGGTCTGCCTGGCCCAGAGACTGGTCAGTCGGCTCCAGGGACTGAAAATGCTGCTCTGGAGACTGGTTACTCGGCTCCGGAGACTGAATATGCTGCTCTGTCTGCTGCTCCGTCTGCTGCGGGGGCTGGTCGGTCGGCTGCAGCGGCTGAAACTGGTGTTTCGCCGGTCCCGGCGGCGGGAAGGTCCCGTGTCCGCCGGTGGTCTGCGGTCCGTCGGTGGCCCATCGTCGCGCCAGCAGCGGCTCCAGCGACTGGAGCGACTCCGCCGCCTGCTCCGGCGGCCAGCCGCTCTCCTCCGACGGCGCCGCGCCGGCTGACGGATCGTTGGCCGACTGTGAAGAGCGGGCAGCGTGTGGGGTGATCGGTCTGGATCGGACGGCCCCGGTCAGACGGCCGGGCCGTGTTCAGAGATAGTCGCCAGTGGGTCAGTCTCGGTCGGGCAGCTCGTCAGTCAGTCAGTCAGGGTATCGTCAGTCCTGTCAGCCAGTCGCTCAGTCAATCGACCCGTTTGTCCGCTGGTCCGGTGCTACTGGGACCCTGGATGATGACGGGTAGTGATTATGTGCGTTAGTCGTATTTATAGCTAATTTGTGCGCAATAAACAGTGTTGTGATGTACACCATTGTCGTTTTTACCCTCAGACACGCACCTAAGTTTTCTGACACCCGTGTAGATATGAAGTAATTTCAGTGACTAGTCTGCCTGTCAACCGTTAAACCGAAAACCAAACCCGGAGAGCTTGGTGACACGCACACTGTATTTGATCTCGCTTCGACGGACGCATAAACATGACGAGCAGCACTACACTCGGCGGCGGACACGCGCGCGCCTGGGCGCATCCTCCGCGGCGCTGAGCCGTCTCTGGAAGCACTCAACTGGGCGGGACAGGGCCGACGGTGGCGCCGCGCCGCGGACCGGCTCGGAACCAGCCGACGGTAGCTATCACAGGATGGTGCGCGGAGCGCCGGAGCGGGAGCTCGGAGTGGGTTCACGGAGTTTCCGCCCGGAGCAGAGGCAGGTGGTTGTACTGGACTGGAGGCGGGCCACTGTGGTCGAAACGGAATTGAACGGAACGGAACGCGCCTGTGGAACTGGGAGAGTGCTGGACGCCGATGATTCAAAAAACGTTAGATCGGGAAAACATCCGCCAATATACTGTCAGTCATGACTGAAGCAACCCAGTTTTTTTTCCTCCAGCTCAATGTCGATGAGGCAGCTCCCAAGCTCTACATTCAATCGAGTGTGGAATGGAATCATGAACCGGTATCACGACCGAGTACAGACATAGGTGGCGCAGCTGCGCTTCAATGGTGGACGCCATCAGCCACCAGAATTATACCTACGAAACATATCAGTCATGGACAGCCAGGCAGGGCGAATATACAAGCCCAGGAACAACAATGCTGACCGCATTTCTCGAGAGAACTGGCCATATAAACAAACAATAGTCAAACGGATGAAAACAGAAAATAGACAATTCGTGCGAAAACAAAGGCCCTTGGAATGTTTAGGCCACTGCACGGCTACGGACGTAAGACTTGTAAAAGCTTGGACAGATGACCGATTTGAAGGATATAAATGGGCGAATAATAACACGCATTAACACGCATTAACTAGCAGTGCAACATAGTTTTACATTACCTATCATTGTCTTCAACTCTCATTTAGCGGAGTTCTTTCGCTGAGCCCTCGCGGGTCCAATGAGACTGTGTCCTTTTCGTCTGTCCTAATGTGCAGCACCCTCCCTCTGATGCGTGCCGAGCAATGTGTACTAGCCGGGGATATACTGATAGACTGAACTGATGATGACCTGACAGACTGACTGACGAGCTGCCCTGGAGGCGACCCTGGCCCGCTGGCCACAGGATGACCGTGTTTAGCGCTGGGAGAGGGTGCCGGAAACTAGGTGAGGGTCAGTGGGTGATTGGCAGACTGAGTACCTATCCCACAGGACATCAGGTAGGGCTGACCGCAGGTCGCTGGGCGGGCGAGGGGACTCATGTACGAGGTGGGGAGGGGGTGGTGAGTAATAAATAGGCAGGGCGGTGACGGGGCGAGGGGAGGTGGCAAAGAGCTGCCGACGAGGTAGTGTGCGGGGATGGAGTGTGTATGTGAAACAGAGGTGGGGGACTGAGTATGAACGGTGAGGACAAACAAACGAACAGTGGAATGGTGAAATGAGACGCGGCGAGACGAGGGGACGGGGCTCATGGACACGGGTACACACAGCGATATTCTGAGTATTCAACAACACCGGCGGACGACGGCTAATAATGAGGCCGGCAGCCGGCGGGCCGATCCACCATACGGACGAGTACATGTCAATCTCGTGCCCTGGTATCACATAAAACGCGCTGGGCCGCCACTGCAGCCGACTCGAGATGCACGGCAGGGTACAGCCAGTCAGGAACTCAATAGAAAAGGAACGGTTTAACTAACTCGATCCCTTTTTGTTTACGTGAAATGTGGTTAAAAATGTACGATTTTTATCGAAGCAAGAGCATGATATGATTTCATAACTTTATAAATTGCTATGCAAAAACCAGGATATGCCTGTTACTTCAGCTCTGAGATGACTGTTCTTGATCAAGTTCCTACGATGACTGAACAATGTTTGCGACTTTTACAATTATAGTCCAAGCTGAGCACCAGAGTAGGTATAGCATAACCCGTCACTGGCTGCCCTCGTGTACCTCTGAGCCGACTGCAGCTGAGCACTGCCGGCCGGCGGACGACCCAGGGCCCCACGCTGGGGCCCGGTGGCTGACCCAGGATCCTCCGCAGGGCCCGGCGGACGACCCAGGGCCCTCCGCAGGGCCCAGCGGATGACCTGGGGCCCAGCGCTGGGGCCGGCGCACACTGATTTGATTTGTCATTGGCCTCACGGCGGCCGGTCGCGCCTGGATGGGTGTCTGTGACCTCACGGCCGCCCCGGTCACTGCCATACCAGTGCCAGGCTCCAGGCGGCGGCCAGCAGGGCGGGCGCCGCGGCGGAGGCCGCCAGCGCGCCGGCGCCGCAGCGCAGACTGTCGGCGTAGTAGCGCACCGTCTCGGGCACTGGCCGGTCCGGCTTACACTCCATGTCCTGCGGCGGAGATAGGGGCGCGCGGTCAGACGCGGAGCTCAGAACCTCACAGGCTGAGGGACGGGTCAACAGATGGTGAGTGGTGACACAGCCGACAAGGCCGTTCTCCGCAGTGATCATACTTGTGCAAAGATAATTGTTACGTAGACGCTAGACTTTAGGAAACAGTGCACTGCCCACAAACACCCTAACACAACTATTCTGTCGGCAATGCGTAGCCAGCCCGGCTGCAGCCGCAGAGGCTGAGCCTACCGCTGAGTTAACGGCGGTGGCAGGGGAGAGAACCCAAGACGTCCCTCTGCACTACCTACCGGACAGATCTGAGAGCAGCGCGGACACCTACCGGACAGATCTGAGAGCAGCGCGGACACCTACCGGACAGATCTGAGAGCAGCGCGGACACCTACCGGGCAGATCTGAGAGCAGCGCGCCACCTACCGGGCAGATCTGAGAGCAGCGCGGACACCTACCGGACAGATCTGAGAGCAGCGCGGACACCTACCGGGCAGATCTGAGAGCAGCGCGGACACCTACCGGGCAGATCTGAGAGCAGCGCGGACACCTACCGGGCAGATCTGAGAGCAGCGCGGACACCTACCGGACAGATCTGAGAGCAGCGCGGACACCTACCGGGCAGATCTGAGAGCAGCGCGGACACCTACCGGGCAGATCTGAGAGCAGCGCGGACACCTACCGGACAGATCTGAGAGCAGCGCGGACACCTACCGGGCAGATCTGAGAGCAGCGCGGACACCTACCGGACAGATCTGAGAGCAGCGCGGACACCTACCGGGCAGATCTGAGAGCAGCGCGGACACCTACCGGGCAGATCTGAGAGCAGCGCGCCACCTACCGGGCAGATCTGAGAGCAGCGCGGACACCTACCGGGCTGATCTGAGAGCAGCGCGGACACCTACCGGGCAGATCTGAGAGCAGCGCGGACACCTACCGGGCAGATCTGAGAGCAGCGCGGACACCTACCGGGCAGATCTGAGAGCAGCGCGGACACCTACCGGGCAGATCTGAGAGCAGCGCGGACACCTACCGGGCAGATCTGAGAGCAGCGCGGACACCTACCGGGCAGATCTGAGAGCAGCGCGGACACCTACCGGGCAGATCTGAGAGCAGCGCGGACACGCAGATCTGAGAGCAGCGCGGACACCTACCGGGCAGATCTGAGAGCAGCGCAGACACCTACCGGACAGATCTGAGAGCAGCGCGGACACCTACCGGGCAGATCTGAGAGCAGCGCGGACACCTACCGGGCAGATCTGAGAGCAGCGCGGACACCTACCGGGCAGATCTGAGAGCAGCGCGGACACCTACCGGGCAGATCTGAGAGCAGCGCGGACACCTACCGGGCAGATCTGAGAGCAGCGCGGACACCTACCGGGCAGATCTGAGAGCAGCGCGGACACCTACCGGGCAGATCTGAGAGCAGCGCGGACACCTACCGGGCAGATCTGAGAGCAGCGCGGACACCTACCGGACAGATCTGAGAGCAGCGCGGACACCTACCGGGCAGATCTGAGAGCAGCGCGGACACCTACCGGGCAGATCTGAGAGCAGCGCGGACACCTACCGGGCAGATCTGAGAGCAGCGCGGACACCTACCGGGCAGATCTGAGAGCAGCGCGGACACCTACCGGGCAGATCTGTGAGCAGCGCGGACACCTACCGGGCAGATCTGAGAGCAGCGCGGACACCTACCGGGCAGATCTGTGAGCAGCGCGGACACCTACCGGGCAGATCTGAGAGCAGCGCGGACACCTACCGGGCAGATCTGAGAGCAGCGCGGACACCTACCGGGCAGATCTGAGAGCAGCGCGGACACCTACCGGGCAGATCTGAGAGCAGCGCGGACACCTACCGGGCAGATCTGAGAGCAGCGCGGACACCTACCGGGCAGATCTGAGAGCAGCGCGGACACCTACCGGGCAGATCTGAGAGCAGCGCGGACACCTACCGGACAGATCTGAGAGCAGCGCGGACACCTACCGGGCAGATCTGAGAGCAGCGCGGACACCTACCGGACAGATCTGAGAGCAGCGCGGACACCTACCGGGCAGATCTGAGAGCAGCGCGGACACCTACCGGGCAGATCTGAGAGCAGCGCGGACACCTACCGGGCAGATCTGAGAGCAGCGCGGACACCTACCGGGCAGATCTGAGAGCAGCGCGGACACCTACCGGGCAGATCTGAGAGCAGCGCGGACACCTACCGGACAGATCTGAGAGCAGCGCGGACACCTACCGGGCAGATCTGGGAGCAGCGCGGACACCTACCGGACAGATCTGAGAGCAGCGCGGACACCTACCGGACAGATCTGAGAGCAGCGCGGACACCTACCGGGCAGATCTGAGAGCAGCGCGGACACCTACCGGGCAGATCTGAGAGCAGCGCGGACACCTACCGGGCAGATCTGAGAGCAGCGCGGACACCTACCGGGCAGATCTGAGAGCAGCGCGGACACCTACCGGGCAGATCTGAGAGCAGCGCGGACACCTACCGGACAGATCTGAGAGCAGCGCGGACACCTACCGGGCAGATCTGAGAGCAGCGCGGACACCTACCGGGCAGATCTGAGAGCAGCGCGGACACCTACCGGGCAGATCTGAGAGCAGCGCGGACACCTACCGGGCAGATCTGAGAGCAGCGCGGACACCGGATGGCGCCCACGTGCAGCCACGAGTTGGACAGCAGGCTGATGTCGATCTCCTGACCTTCGTGAAAGCACGTGTACGTGTGGTTGGCCACGGTGACGTGCACCCTGAAACAGCACACCGATAAAGCAGTCGTGTCACGCCAGCGCCTTGATATAGTGCTACTCGCTAGCTAAGCTGAGCTCCATCGAGACATCACTATGCACCTCGTCGAACGAAGATAGCTGCTCGTGCAAAGCATTTGAACAATAATATCGGTCTCAGGAAATCAGAGATCAGAAATCGAAACACCATTAAATTATTTGAACCACCAAAAACTGCGACGAGTAACGGCAATAAATACCATGAACTATGAAGGTCGTTGAAGTTGACAATACCCAACCCGGCGGGCAGCCCCGCACCTCAACTCCTCCCCACCGTCGCGGCGCGGCGGAGCGGACCGCGTCCCCGATCCTCACCTTCCGGCCAGACAGGCGTGCCGGTAGCAGCCGGAGCCCCAGTGCTGCCACTGGCGCACCTTGTGGCACGTGCGCTCCTCCCATAGCCGGGTGTGCTCGAAGCACCGGCTGCTGGCCGCGTACTCCTCCAGCGCGAAATTCCGGTCCTCGTCTGCCAGAAACGATAGAGAGGGTGTCAGGTTGGGTGGTGCCACATAGAGCGCGTCCGCTTCACCCTCCAGAGAACACGAACGCGACGGGCGCGCAAACAGCCGAAATGCTGATGGAACTGCAGCTTATATGCCCACCGGTCCAGAGCACGTAATATACAGAAGGCGATGATGCATGAGCGGGAAATACGCAACAGTGAGCTATATTAACTTCAAAATTCCGCTCGTGTGAATGCGATTAAGCCGGAAGCGAAGCATCCACTTCATGTCACTTCCAGAATGAGAATCAACAGCAGGATGTCTGTGTAAGTTCGCTCGCATTACCGCCCGGCTGCCAGCGGACGTCCGCAGTGTCGGGGCCGGGAGTGCGAGCCGGGGACGGTCACCTACCGGGGTTGTTCTCGGAGAAGGAGCAGTGCGAGCCGCGCACGATCACGTTGTTTGACTTCCAGGTGAACTCCTGGATGTAGGGACAGTAGTCGGCCAGGATCACTGAGCCGCCGTAGTAGCCGGTCCGGGAGGAGGGCACCTGTGGCACCGAGTCAAAGTTCTGGTACCTGAAACGGGACGCCGTATGACGTCAGAGGTCTAGTGTACGGTACCCGGTATGCCGCCAGAGGTCTGGTACGTTACATGGTACACCGTCAGAGGTCTGGCACACACCGTCCAAGGGAGACGATACACGGACGTGATCTGGTAATAAGAGACACGAGTACACTGGCATTGAGTTGCCGTGTCACTCACGCAAGCTACATCCATGCCGTACTATTTCTTACTGACCTGGCCGGCAGGCGGTCCTGGTACTGCACCAGGTTACCTCCCCCCCCCCCCCTCACACCCACACCCACTGACTGACCTGGCCGGCAGGCGGTCCTGGTACTGCACCAGGTTACACAGCGCCACCGAGTTGCGATCTTCCGTACACTCCGTCTCCAACGGATCCCGCTTCACCTTATTGCAGAACGGGTGCGGCGACTCGTTCCTGGCGGAAAACAGAGGCGGTTGTTGACGGCAGCCGGAGTTTGGTACGGTTGGATGACCGTCGCCTAGGCAACGAGTGCGTCATAACACGGTGATCCGATTTTGTTAGGCATCACAATGACTGTGGTGAGAGGCAGTCGATCCGTCAATAATAGCAGCGATAAATATAGCTGCACAATGCAATGTGATAACATATCCAGCTGTCCGTCTCCTCTACCCTGTCCTGCTTCCATCCCACGCTATCCTTCACTCCTCTCTCGTCATCCTCCACTGCTCTCCTCTCTCCGTTCGACTCACCGGGCAGCGCGCATATCCATCCAGTGTTTGCAGCTGTTCATGGCGAACTGACAGCCGAGGCCGCGCCCCCAGCGCAGCGGCTGGGCCATTTCGTAGTTGGGCAGGTACCAGCCGGTGTCCTCCATCAGTGCCAGCGTCAGCCGAGAGTACACCGGGTTCTGCGTGTGCGTGCCCGTCATCGCCTCGTTCTGAGGATAGACGAGGGAGGGGGCGAGATACCGGGCGTGATAGTGGGAGAACGATACAGGGGGGGGGGGGAAGGGGGTGATGTGATGGGAATAAGATCCATACGTACAATTGTTGGCGGCTCATGCGTCAAATTCGTGGATGCAAGGACGGACGACCAGACGACCGAGCGTTAGACCGTCGCGGTGAGGCGATGGATGAGTGCTCAATTACGACTAAACAGTAAAATCAATGCGTGATGTAAGGGAGTCAACTCGTCACGGCGCAAATTATACAGCATTACTCTGTCGAGGTCATGACAATTGATTCTCTCTAGTTATGTTCGCAAAGCCGGCGACAGCCCTCAAAGACTCGCCCCTTCCAGTCGCCTTCCAAGGAACTGACCTCGAAGAGCCGCTTTTCCCAGTGGGTGAGCGCTGTGCCCTCCTCTCCCTGGTCCTCCAGCTCGGCACCCTCCAGCTCCGGACAGTCGAAATGGCGCCGCACCTGGACCGAGCGAGACACATTTACAAACACAGTAAGTCACTACACAGACATAGTTATAGCTCAGCCCACTCACCAGCGGGCGCCGACAGGGACTGAGCATATCATAGACACGGTCATAGCTCAACTCCTCACCAACTATGAGCGCAACTGTCGCACTGACCGAAGCCGAGGGTGACGTGGAAGATGGCTGGTTTACCATACCGATCTGATAGCACTCGAACCTCACATTCTGCCGTAATGAAGGGGTTTCTCACGGGATTGTTATAACCGGCACATTAATACAACCGTCACGACGTACTTTTCCCGGATGCTTTGCAGAGCTAAATCATCATGGCCATCTCACCTACATACAGTAGTTATACACCCGGGAGTCCAGCTCCTGGATGACATCAGGAAAAACCCATATGAGTAATGCACACTGCCTATCAAAAACGACACCTCTCAGCCTCTAATCCATTGCTGAAAGTTGAAACACCAACTTTCACCGTAAAGATGGTTTTCTGCTCCCACCCTACCTGACCGTCTCCTATCCTCTCCAATCCCGTCCTGTCCCGTCCCGTCCCGTCCCGTCCCATTCACCTCCCATCCCATCTCGTCTCGTCCCGTCCTATCACACCCCATAACTTGCCACGCACCTCCTCGACGACCCGCGGCGTGACGACCATCTGCACTGTGCGCGTGACGTTACCCTCGGCCGTCAGCCAGCCGGGCCGCTGGAACGTCTTGATGATCTTGTCCGACCACTGGCGGGCCTGCAGGCTGCGGCATAGACATCGCACGGTTAGTTAGGTCAATGGGGTGATGGCTAAGGTCACGTCAGGTCATCGGGCCGTAAACCAGGGTCAGATTACTGAAGTGCCATCCAGGTCAAATGGCTGAGGTAAATACGATGGACGAGCATAATGGACCGGATGACAGGCAAAGCATCCACCCGGCCGCGAAATGATTTCGACTGTGACAAATGATTTCGATCGTGATGATCGAGACAAGGTGTATGCAAATTGCAAACAGCCCAATATTACTCAATTATCAGGTCGTGTAATGCTTGACATACTGCCAAGAAGTAGAGCCGCGGCCTGCGACAAGCCATAATCAAAATAACAAGTCGGCCAACGAACCCTAAGTTTACCTTTTGCCGGCCAGTATCTGTTTCAGGTACTCCAGGACTTTGTCGGGATGCAGGAATTGGGAGCTGCGACATGGAGAAATGAAAGGAAATGTTAGGCAACTGTATACAGGGTGGGCCAGAATAAGTGTAACACTTTCTGACGTCGGTTTCTCAAGACTGGTAAAAGATATGGAAATAAAATTTTGATAGCTGGTAGAAAAACGTTTGCAAATCATATAGTAATATTTACCTCGAAAAAAAAATCCTAGCAAAATAAGATTATCGTCATCAATAAAAAACAACATTTGCGTGTTTTCTTTTATTTGCGCATGTGCTCAAAGAGGGCACCTTTGCCTGCAAACACATGTGCACGCGTTCGAGGAAACTGGCTCCCACCCTCTCCGCGGTGTCCCTCCGGTATATGGGAAGAACCGAAGGTTCTTGCGGAGGACTCTTCAAAGACTGCCGTCCGTGCCATCCCCAGCTCCTGGCAGCGATGCCGGATGGAGGTCCTCGGTGACTCACTAACGGATTGACGGACCTCTCAATCCTATCTCCATCTCCTGTCTCCTCAGGTGTACGACCAGATCTACCCTTCGCCTGCTTTAGGACACTCCCTTCCTTCTCAAAATGACTTACAAATCGATGGATCTCCGCGTTCGAAGGTACCTGTGATGAGTGACAGCCGAACTCCTGCCGGAGACGACGTTTAACAGCTACGCACGGTTTTGTTTCATACCATAAATGGATGATTTTTACTTTTTCTTCTGGTAAGAAAACCATTGCTGATAGAGAGGTAATTCTTTCTCCTATACTCATTTGGCAGACTGTTGGCTTTCGCATTTTTACAAAATATGTCTAGATTTGAAATATTAAATACACAGAATGTGCGTTAGAAACTGTTACACTTATTCTGGCCCACCCTGTATATCATATTCCGTCTTCGATCCCCGCCAAGCATGTGAGAGCTCAGAAAAGCCAGTAGGAGTACGGTCCAGGCTTTCTGTAATATCGAGGCCCCGCAGTGGTCGTGATAACTCATTGGGTTATGACGTTACGTACCGGAGGGTTACATCGAAATAATCATTGCCAGTTTGCCTAAACTGGAATTCGGATAACAGAACAGGTTGTCTTACGAGTCGGATAAGATCCCCTCAGCTGCACGCAGCTCGACTGTCGAGTAACCACACGGGATTTTGACGGATGGGATGTCAGGAATCTGAACATTGAGCAGGCTTGTTTCAGTAGGTACCGGAAAGTTCTCATCAACATACAAAACAGTAAGCTTGGAATAAGTGATACGGCAGAGAGTGATAGGACAGCGATCATAAAATGGCAACACGGTGCGCATATCTCACCTTCCATTAAAATACTTAAAACACTGAGAGAAAGACTGCATCGAATGTTTCCATAATCAGTCAACCATCAATTCACCCAAGTCAGCTACTTGGTTACTCACGCCGGGTTGAGCAGCGGCTTGCCGGTCTCGCCTCGCTCTGTGAGCGGGTTGCCCTCCTTGTCCCGGAAGAAGGCGTACAGGCTGACCGAGAAGCCCAGCGCGTGCAGCATCTCGTGTTTAACGGTGGATATGAGCGTCTGCAGCTCCTGCTGCTTGGTGGAGATGCTGCTTGGACACAGGTTGGCGTGCCCGGCGATCGGCCTGGGGGGGGGGGGGCGGAGCGGCCAGTCAGAGAGGGCTGGGGGGGGGGGGCAGGGGCGGGGCAGGGTCTGACCAGTAGGGTAACGATCGAGAATGGAAGGGGTGGGTTGGAATAGAGAACATGACAAGGCCGGGATGAGGCGGAAATATACATACACGGGTCAAAAAGAATAATGGTCGGAGTCCGAAACAAGGAACAAATTGGCCGTAAATCAGGTCACGTGAGAGTTACTGTTAGCACCGGGTCGGTACCCGGGATGATCACAGACTGACCTGAGTTTAATTATGCTCAGGTGCTCAGGTGCATCGTGTGGTGCTTAGGGCAGGTAAGACGTAGGTGACACATTAAGGGGTGGAATACAAAACACAAGTAAGTGAATGTGAATGGGGAATGTGGCACATCTGATACACACTTGGCACAGAGAAATGTGACGGGGTTGTCATGTGATACGCCAGAAACAAGGCCGTCTCATGTCAGATACACAAAAGATAATCGTATGACCAGGATCACGGACTAAACAGTGACATCATCCGCAACAAACGTAGTAACCATCCAGTGCACACACGGCGACAGAAGAGAGCATAGATAAACAGAAAAGAGACTAAAAGAGAAAGTACCTAGTCCAATTCACTGGTCACTCGTCCCAAGGCCAGGTCCCAGCGGCTCGTCACCCGCCCCCAGCCTGACGCCGCTGACTTGTACAGCTAATATCACTGTCCGTTCCCACGAAGCCCCACCAACCGACGTTGCCTGTCTACTGGAGGCGTCCCACCGTCAGGTGTAATCGTGAGACGGCACCAAACCTCACCATAACACCCCGTCTGATAGACAACCAGACGGTACTGTGACCCCCGGCTCATTTGACTGTCCTGTCCCGCATTCCCACCCCCAACTCGACCTGTCAACTGTCCAGGCCCCCAGCACTCATACCCACCCATCCAACCAACCACCTGCCCAATGTCCAACTACGTGCCTCCCCTCCCCACACTGTCCAGTGTCCACTTTTCAATCTCTGCCCCTTCCCCCTCACCACCGACCTGTCGAGCGCCGCCTCCTGCTGGCAGTGGGCCGCGTATGCCACCGTCATACCCCGGTGGCAGCGGTCCGTCTCCAGGGCAGAGATGTAGAACACAAAGTCGGCGCCGGTCAGACCGGGCCCAGTGGCCTCCTCAGCCACATGACAGTCGCGTCCCAGCCAGTTACAGACGCGGCACGCCTGCCGGACACCGCGCACACACGCTCAGACATCGGGAAGAGAAGGCTGATAAGGGGTCTAACTTCTTTACGATCGATAGTCACATGTACTTGTTGGTGATTTGCAGTTTGGGCATAAATGAAAAACTTGTTTTGAAATTTAAGTCTAGATTGAGCGGGCACCAAAGCAAACGCGTCACTCAGCATGATTTAATCCACACCAAAAGTAACGCATTTCAAGTGAAAGCCTTGCAGCATTGCTTATGTCATTGTCCGTAACGAAATATTCAGATGCGCTGAGCCTTCAATGGCGAATTGTGAATGCCCCAATGATTCAGGCACGCGCCAAACCCCGCATTACACACCCGGCCCTATCGACAGCGCCCGTGTCGGTCGGGTTTATATGGGCCCGCTGCTCACCTGCAGATGGTCGGTCGGCACGGCTACCTCTCCACACATGGTCACATTTTCACACTCACTCTTACAGTAAGGCAGTGGATCGCCCTTCTTATAAAACACTTTATTATCGAGACACTTCCTGAAACGAGGAAAATATACAAAGTTAACGATGCTCAAAACTGAGTAGCATAATATATGTGAGCTGAACTGCTGCTTCGTACAAACATATGGTTAGAACATATAGTTCAATGACACTGAACAATTTGGAATACGGTCCATCTAAATCTTTCGTCGACATACAAGACAAGGGCCGTAATCACGATTAAAATGAAATTACGATTAGGTATTAATGAAAATCACGATTAAAATGAAGCAGTATTTAGCAATACTTGCATTGCTCATCTAGACATCTAATGATGCGACCGTCGATTTCCATCAGGATGGAGACTTCGCTATAATATGTGTGTAACGATGCTACAAATGACTGTTTTCATCATGACCATGAACGAAGAGAACGAGTAACAAGAGCAATCCACATAATGATATAAAAGAAAAGGACCGACACATATAGAACAAGACGCAAAATGTAAGCTGAGGAATACGATAAGAATGGAGACAATCGGTGGATACGTTACCTATTTAATCTAATGACGTTTTCTACTCTTCTAACTCGTAGCGCCTTTTCCCAGTATTGTACCGCCTGAGGCAGTACTGTATTCTGCAGGGCAGGCGACATACAGTCAGACAGACACATCGAGTTTCAGGAGCATCAAGGTATTCACGACTGTTAAGTGTTTCATCGACCATCACACTAACACAAATGAGGCATATAACGTCATGAGAGCTGTTAGGCACAAAATAAGGTTCGTGCGACAGCACTGTGGCTTAACTAGGTGCATGTGTGTTTGTTCTTTAACCACCAACGGGCTTGCCACGAAAGACAAGCGAGGTGAAGCGGATTGTCAGCTAACACGGCAGTATAGTCAGCAAGTCCGTGAGTGTGATTGATTAGCTATAAAGGCCGCTGTAATGTACTACCACAGGACGGCCGAACAGAAGGCAGTGGGGACAGAAGTCGCGATATTCAGTGAGATATTAGATATGTGACAGATGGGAGCAGCAGCAAATGTTGGGTAGGTGAGACAAAATGTGGCCCGCAGATCGGGATCTAGGCACATTACGGATACGGAGACCAGACGGTGATTTAGGCAGCTTACGATGAGCCGACAGGGATCTAAGATGGTCCACTGTCCAGTGTCCCGGATTCAGGCTTGAACTGGTGCAGGCAAATGACATCAACGGCTAAGATAGAAGCCGTCGATGTACCAGAGGGAACACGAGGACTGAGGAGACGGACAGAAATGAGATGAAAATTTGCATATTAGAGATCCTACAGATCTGACAATGCATATCAAGTTAGCATAGAGTTACTTACATTAATGAGATCGAACTTCTCCTTGCTTAACCTGCAAAAGAAGAACAAACGGTTAGCTAACAAAGAACAAAAAACATTTTGCAATAACGTACAGACGCACCCGATATAAAGAGGCCTATGACTCGATGCAACAAACGGACAAAATAGAACCCATACACCTGCGATCACATAAACAGGGTCGTCTTTTACCCAAACACGTACGCAGTTTCTCTAATTCACATGTTGGTGTAACGATGTTGTTCAACCCCGTCATTTAGATGACTTGCAGTCAAACACCAAAGCATGACCTAGCAGAACGTTTTGCCCAGCCCCACAATTTCACGCGACAAGGCGATACACACGCACGAAGTCGGTGGGCCAGATTTCATGCGTTGCGGTACAGCATAAACACAGGCGTTTGTCATCAGCGCCATCTAGTGACGGCAATGTATTACGTAATGTCTGCGTGCATGACTTCGTTCATGCCTTCACGTCGCAAAGAACATGCTTTCCGTCCTAGCTTATGCACACGGTTCAGCCGGGTAAGAGACAATCTTGCGGTTCCATGGATCAAGGCCACCATTGTTATCTCTTCCGAGCCACCCTTAAACCATCCCCATGGTTAGATATGACCTCGGGAAACCTGGGACAGTGCTGCCGACCTTCCCATGTCGATCGGGGCGGTCCGTAATTGGATTACCGTCACCATCCCGGGCAGCCGTTCACAGTCTCCCCACTCAGCAGTGGGCCGGGCGCCACCGTCTGCGGCCGCTCCCATTGCCGGCTGAACAGAAGGTACAGCAGGAACCACAGCAGGAACCGGGCACATCCGCCGGAACCATACCAGTGACACAGACCGACACCGGTGCAATGGCTCGAACTACCAATAATCTCAGAGCTTAGCAGCGATTCACACATCGAATTCGACAACCTGCCCCGCATTCAATGAACCACGGTAAAGCGAGCGCCTTCCGACCGATTGGGCATAAATGGAACTGCATCCGGAATGCATCAAATCCACTGGTGTAAGACCATACCATCGAGTGATTCATTTAGATCGTAATAAGCAGCGTAAGCAGCTAAGACTCACACTTCCGGATGCATTGGTCCAGTATGTGCTCCGCTTAAGGTCAATCATGTGAAATCATCCTTAGTAAAGCTTCACACTAGACGGTCATTATCCAAGAAAGATCGGCCCGCCAGTCGAGGGCATCGATTTGACGGAATCACGGAAGCGCGAAAGCCTGAAGTTCCTTAACTCACGTTGCCGTTGCGATTTGCAGACACAATATTTCGAGGATATGGATATGGATACGGAATGCTATGACTTGGCTCCAGCTACCAAGCAAACGAGTTCCTGCGAGACGATCATTTACAAATTTTACAAACACCGGCCATAACGAACAGTGGGCGGCTCAGACCTCAGCTGTGGTCCTGCAGCTCGGGTACATATCAGCTCAGGTCCTCAGACCTCAGCTGGTTCCCAGCGTAACCACAAACTTTCTAAATGAGCTCCAACCGCTTTTCAGAACACAGTCTTCAGGACTCTGGCGCGGTCTGATGTTCTTCCCTCCCGATCACTTCAAACGCTGTACAGCGCGTATCTTGTTCGCGGTAACCACGTGCAATCACAGGGATCAGCTGGATACGAGGGGCGAAAATAATATCTGAGCGGGCTGTTTCAGGCCATTGAATAGGCAAGTTCATGGACGACTTCAGTCGTTTTCAGGACGTCGTCTCAACGGCATGATAGCACGACAGGCCGTTAGAGCACTCCGGTACTTTTCATTTAAAGCAGTAACGTGATTTCACAGGTACGCAATACCGTGATATTCAAACTAGCTCCCATCAACGTCCTATCGCCGACAACGACGCCCCACCCAAGATAACTATACCGACGTCCCGCCACCATACTAGTGATGTCAATTACGGAAAATCGGAATACCGATACCAAACCAAATACCAACCAAAACCACGGGAAAATACCGAAACCAAACCAACTTGGGAAACTGAGGGAAATACCAACTTTTTACCGACTTCTTAGCCTCTTATACATTAGTGAGGGCTTATGATACCAACAAAATACCAAACACATTACGATTGAAATACCAAATACCAAGTTGGTATCGGTTTGGTATCGGTATACCAAAAAGTTGGTATCCGATTGACATCTCTACACCATACCGTCCCGCTGCCGCGGTCCGGTGCCGTGTGCGGCGGCCACCCTGGCATATCATCACACCGAGTGAATGACGCGTCGATCTGGCGATTGCGCCGCCGCGCCGTGCCGGGTGGTGCAACTTTCCGTTAGCGACCACACACCGTGCAAACAAAGACAGCGGCTCGAGGGCGGTTATGATCGAAACCAAAAGTCAAATCGAAGGCTGTGGGATGAAAGCGGCTGGCGGTGTACAGGTGACTAATTTTGACTGACGTCAATCGGTGGTCATTCGACTAATTGCAACAGAAAGATCGTATTGATATCTTACATAAATGAGTGATCAGTGGTCCGGTCCGTCTCTCACTATCATGAAGTGTAGCTAGCGATATTGATATGCGGCGAGATCACACACAGGTTTTAGCAATCAATCGGATTATCGGAGCTATAACGGCTGATGCGATCCGCGATCCAAGCGTCCCCGAACTCAGCGACAGCGATTAATCAATCACCGATAGCAGGATTAGACTGGTCACCGCTGACGCACCACACAGCTCTCTCCGCTGTGGGACAGGTGTCCGAACAGTGGCACAGGTGCTGCTCCGAGGTCGCCGCCGAATAGGCCGCGATGACTGGCACCAGGGCCGTCCGCAGAAGCTCCCACGGCGCCCAGCATCTCCGCCAGGCCAGGCATGATTAGAACCACGCGAATCGCCGACATAAAAACGCTGCCGCACTCCGCCGGCCACATGAGATTTACTTCCGTGAAAGTGTCATACTTTCGCCCATTCAAATTCGACAACGAGCCCAACTCAACAACTGGCATAAGGATTCTGACCCCAAAACGGCCGATTCTGCCTCATGCGATGTCTCGCGGGGCTGCGGCCGGTGCCAGGTGTCGATGGCGTGTGCGTGCGCCGACCGCACCGGCCGCCCACAACAAGGACTCACGATCACCATCTGCCCAGCTATTGTTTTTGTCGGCCACCGGTACACCGCCGTTCCCTGACGTGATTAGTGCGTTTCACTCGGAGAAACACAGGCGCGCGCGTCGCGTGGCCGACCACAGAGCACCTCAGAGGTCACGGAAAGGAGCCGTACCGACTCGGAACTGGTTTATGGCCGGCGGAACGGCCACGAACTACCCAGGGACATTGGGTTCCTGTGAATGACAATGAATTTGCACGAAGACACAAACGCAATGAATATCACATGAGATATCTAATGTTCAGACAAAGTCCTATGCAACTAAATCCCACGATTTCCCGGTCCCACGAGGCTCATAAGACCCAGAAAAGTCGACCACCCCATACACACGGTCTCAGTCAGTTTCAGCTTTAATCATTATCGCCGACGTACTGACAACTGAATATCGGATCAATGAAATCAGACAGTGAACATAGCGACCAGAGTTTATCAATCTGCCACAGACTGCTTTAAATAATGAATGTTATTTAATCCGCAGCTAGAGCTCAAGGATTACACCGGGAGTTTGGAATGGCTCCGCTATCTTATCATCCCTACCTTAGAATCATGTCGATAAGGCCGTGTCCCTGAGCGGCAGTAATCTGGCGGCTCCACCACCTGTCATCTGGCCGGCTCTATGGGTAGGTATCCGGTAGCAGCCAAAGCGGCAGCTCTATCCGCGATCAGCTGGAAGGCCGTTGCGGTGGGAGAGACGTGACAGCGGCCGGGTTCGACGAGCACCACTTTCACCGGCACAGCGCCAGCCGTGGGCGGCCGCCGGGAGGACGGGTGCACGCTGCACGTGCTGGCACACGGGTCAGCGGTCCGTGCCGTGCCGGGTGTGTGCCGTACGGGGTCACACGTGGTGGGACACAGAGCGTGAGGATGCCCGCCCCGCCGGTCCAGTCGAGATGGAATCGCTGGAGTCGCTCGGGTGCATGCCTCTGGGCCGGTCAGAATGAAAGCCGGGCGATCCGGGCGCGCCGTGCCCGATACGGCACGGGGACGGCCGCGGTCCGTGACCGGGGCCGGGGGTGGCGAGGGGCGCCGGCCAGCCGGCCGTGGACACAGCTATTTCGGTCCGACAAGTGGGACACCGCACCATGGACAACAAAAAATCGCCGGCTGGAGCTCGGTCGGACAGTTGGACGATTGTTCTGGACCGCTCCGTCTTACAAGGGGAGCCATTGGAGGCAAGCAAAAACAGCGGGAGATCCCTGATAAACACACAAGGCCCGGTGCCTCGCTCTTGTTTATCAGCGACGCTGGCAGTCGGGAAAGAACACCTACGATCTCCAGCGGCGACTGATTCCTCCGGCGCTCCTCTGGGCGCCCACCCTCGCAGTGAGGCGGTATATACGAGGTGTGGCTAAAAAGAAACCGGACTGCTCGTGCTGGCCATAAAGTACGGGACCAGAAGACTAGCGAGACACTTGGCATTAATCTTTAGCATATTGTCGTGATGTGTGCCAAACGGCATCTCGATATCGCAATTATTCTCCTTTCCACAGCTCTTTGTTTTATCGATGTTCGGCGGCCTTGTCATCGCCAGGCTTCTACAATGAACTTCGAAAAAAGAGGGAACATCACGTTCCTTGCCAGACTGGAGAAAAGTCCAACAGAGACGCTGAATCTGTTCAAGGCTGTTAATGGGGAGCAAGTCATGTGTAACATGCAAGTGTTTGAATGGCATACGAGGTTCAGCACTGGTCCTGAGGATGTCGGTGATGACCCCAAGGTCTGGAGGTCCATCAACGTCCGCGCGCATGTCGAAGTCGAGAGTGGAGACGACATTGATCGTCTTTTTCGATCATAGGGGATTCGTTCACCGCCAGTTCGTGCTGGAGGTGTACCACAGTCGACCAGCATTTCTACAAGGAAGACCCGGGACGCCTCATTTCACGAGTCAGGCGCACCAAGTGGAATTTCTGGGAAGCCAAGAACTGGGTGCTCCATCACGACAACGCTCCCGTGCATTCTGCCATTAGCGTCAAGCAGTTCTTTGCCGAAAAGTAGGTCGCGGTGCTCAAGCACCCTCCTATTTGCCAAACCTCCCTCCCTGTGACTTTTGGCTGTTCCCTGAAATGAAAAACGTCGTCAAGGAAACCCATTTTGAATCGGTCGAGGACATCCAGACCGGAGTGACCACCGTCAGCGTCATCAATAAAACAAAGAGCTGTGGAAAGGAGAATAATAGCGATATCGAGGTGCCGTATGGCACACATCACGACAATATGATAAAGATTAATGTCCAGTGTCTCGCTAGTTTTCGGGCCCCCTACTTTATGGTCAGCACGAGCAGTCCGGTTTCTTTTTAGCCACACCTCGTAAGTACAGTCCCTCCCCTTTACCGCCCCACCCGTCCCTCAAGGGGAGCGTCGGGTGCCGGCCGGCGGCAGTTCCAGCTCGGGCAGCCTCCAATCTGGATCACTGTGTCGGCCGGGCGGCGGAGAGCGGCGCGGCGGCGGCGAGGGCGGCGCAGCCAGCCGGAACGGCGGCACACTTACGGCGACGGCGGCGACTAACCAGCCCTCCTCGAACATCAGCGAAAGGGCGCCGGCACCGGCAGAGCCTTACGTCATAATCGCCTCTATCATGGTAATCGGCACATATTACATGCCCCGGAAGACATGCCGCAAAAGCAAGGCGTCTCGTAAGTTCCGGGAACTCTTACAAAACGGAATGGCGGTGGAGAACAAGGGCCCAGAGACGTCCAGTCAGAAGAGACACACCTTAAATTGCTGCACGGGTTGTCAAAATATTGGCTAACATTGCCGGTTGACAGGGAAGACAACTAGAGCAGAAATGAATAAAATGACAATATGTGGAAAGAATGCGACACGGTAGGTGGCGAAACTCACCTGCTAATATCAGTATGCGAGAACAGACAAGAGCTCGCAGCAGGAAACTATCGTGTACGCGACTCGATTCGCCCGGCATGCCCGAATACCTTCAGATGTTCAAGACAGACGGGAAGAGGTCTAAGACACTACACAACTTCCGACAAACAAAACTCATAAATACAGCGACCGGTTTTATCAGCATCGAGCACACGCCGACCTTCAAAGGTCCAGCTGATGTAGGCCAGTTTAGACTTAAGAAGTACATCGTTAGCTACAGATCAAATCAGTACCGGCTCACATCGGCGAGAGGCCAACCTGTCATACGATACTGCAACGGAAGTGTTATTAGAACTTCAAACCACAACCGTATAAATTGTATACGATAATCGCCCACATGGTGGCCGATTGGCCGCCAATGAGTTGGTACATATCCAGCTTTGCGGGCAGGCGAGCATAGAAACAAAGCATGTAAAGCCATTATGCAGTACACAACACGACCGGGAACCTCTGCTAAGCTGATAAAATATAGGTATACCATATCACCCTTAAATGTTGTTTCAATCAGAAAGAGCATGCAGGCATATAATCATTTAGGCCCAATCAAGCCTAACTTATTGGTATCAAAACGGTCGGCAAAAACGGTCGGCGACTGTGACGACTGCCATTTATGGCGTGAAACATGACTACCGTCTGGTAAAGCGATCACGCACGCCGTGTAATCAGGTTCACTGTCTAGTGCCCGTCATATGAGACACGGGAGCCGCCGCCGATACGCCTTCATGACCGCTGACAGACGAGACAAAAACACTCAACACGAGGCGAACACTAAAAACCCGACAGTGGACCTCGGCCATCTCGGCCCGTCAACGCATCTCGCCGTCCGGAGAACGCCGCTGACATCCCTGACATGTATCGTACGGCTTCACTGCGGTCGACTCGACAGGATGACGCAATGACTGGCCTGGCGGCATCCGTGGTGTCCGGGACACGCGTGTCACCGCTGCAGCCGTCCCCCCAGGCGGTAGACGGTCGGGCACAGACGGAATACCGAGCAACCGGTGAACCTGGGCACGCAGCATGGTGGGCGGGGGATCGCGTGTTTGGCCAAATGCTGAGCGGATGTTTACTGCATATAACATGCAGATTGCAGGTATAGGTACTGTATAAGTGTAACGAGGTTCGGTGCATGTACTCGTGTCGTATTCAGGCGTGGTCATAACGATGTATGACAAAATGATGCACACGAACAGGGGCGACATGTGATAGTGTGATAGGGCATTCAGTCCTTCTCGCCGCAGAATCAGTAATAATTACGAGCGAGCGAGCGCAGCGAGCGAAGCGAAGTCTTTTCAATATAACGGAAAAATCTCAGTATGAGCGGCCCGGCCCGGCCCGGCCTGTAACGCTTTTGAGAGGCTTATATCTCAGCAACCGCTGGACCGAATGGCCTGCGGTCTTTTTTGCTGGGTAGCCCCATCCCTTCTACCCCGTAATTGACTACTTTTGATGCATCTCAGTGACCGCCGTGGCACGTGCCACGTGAAAACTCAAGGGTGTTCAAGCAGTTTTGCAAAAGTAATGATTTTGAGAGGCCCATATCTCAGCAGCGGCTTGAGTGATTGTCTTGCGGTCATTTTTATAGGGTAGCTGCATCCCTTCTACCAAAGGTCAGATACTCTTCATCTATGTGAGTGACCCCCACTGCACGTGCAAAATACAACAATAAGAGGTGCCAAATTTGTTCCCATTTCAGTAACTCGGTAATTACTGGGACGATTTCGCTGAAACTTGGCATACAGGTAGGCACCCACCAGGCAATGCATTCCCATGTGTTGCGGTTAGGGTGCTACTGCACGTGCGCACGTGCAGGGGGCGTTTCCAGATCTCGAGAACGGCTGGGCCGATTGCGCTCAAATTTGGTACACGGTTGGGGACCGGTTAGTAGGATGCCGTGCAAAAGTCATTTTGGACCCCGTTTGCACGTGCGCACGTGCAGAATGCCGCTTCCAGATCTCAGGAACGGCTGGGCCGATTGCGTTCAAATTTGGTACACCGCTAGCGACCGTTTAGAAGGGTGCTTTGCACAAGCCCGTTGGAAGTACCCTCTCGCCGTTCTGCACGTGCAGGGCTCACTATCTCGCTCGCTCGTTCTTCGACCAAAAGGCGTTTTACTGGTCAGTTGAAGAGAGAGAGAGGGGGAGAGAGAGAGAGAGAGAGAGAGAGAGAGAGAGAGAGAGAGAGAGAGAGAGAGAGAGAGAGAGAGAGAGAGAGAGAGAGAGAGAGAGAGAGAGAGAGAGAGAGAGAGAGAGAGATCCGGGCCGGTCCGGCCGCTGGACAGAGCAGAGAAAACGGCAGCGCCGTCTCGCTGCACCAGAATCACACATGCATGCCTACCAGGCAGCACGCTACAAATGCCAATTTCGCCGTAACGCAAATGAATGCTTTCTCCTGGATAATTACGGAGCGCTTGCACGGGAATACGTACTGTAGACCTCTCCAGCATCAGGATACCGTGTGCTAGCCCAGTGGCGTGACACCAATCGCAGCAACCGGAAAGTCAGCAGGTGCCGGTGAAGCGGAAGCAGTCGCAATCAATCTGCACTGTCTTACTGCAACATCTCTGGAACAGGCAAATTTCATAATAAAACGTCCAAGTTACCTGAGCATACTCATTGCTAACATCCGAGGTGTTCATCTCCGCCTCCGAGGTGTCTCATCTCCGCCACTCTTCCCTCCCCTCTCCTCTCCTCTCCACCCTCTGCCCACTCAGCTCTGTATAATGGACTCGCCCCCGTCCCCCTCCCCCTCATCTCCGGCCGTCTGTCCACCCAGTTCCGTGTAGTGGACTCGCACACGTGCGATCTGGGTCAGAGGCCGGCGGCCCGCCTGTGAAAGCTGACCACGGTGCGGCCAGGTGCCGCACCGCCGCGCGGGGAGCGCGCCTGCCTCTGCCGTCCCCGAGCCGATACTGGCGGACGGACACGTCAGTCATGACGATAGGCGTCAGATGTCAGTTGTAATTGAATCGGTGACGTGTTTACACACCGGAGGGACGGATTTGGTGCGCGGGGAAGGCTCCGGCCGAATGCAGATCTGTGAGGCGTGAGAATCACTTTCTCTTTCATCGATGGGGGTCGTTTGTTTTCCTTGCGCCCATATAAATAGTTGTAATGATACAAATAATCATATGTGAGTCGCCTCCTGGCTCCTACGATATCATGACCCGGATGTTCAGTACCTTTTATAAAGCAGCGCTAGCATAGCAAGGAACTGACCTACTGGACCTATTCATTTATCTAAGAAAAGATCCAACAGCGAACCACGCCACCGTGGGAAGTTGTGAAACCGGTAGACGTTGCTGACGGCTGAAAGTTGATCGCTGACCGCTCCGACCAATGACCAGCGGCAATGACCTGCTGACCAATGACCAGCGGGAGTGACCTACCGACCAATGACCAGCGGGAGTGACTTACCGACCAATGACCAGCGGGAGTGACCTACCGACCAATGACCAGCGGGAGTGACCTGCTGACCAATGACCAGCGGGAATAAGCCGCCAACCAATGAACTGCGGCCACATCCCAAAGACTACTGACCACTAAATACTACGATAGTAATGGTTACTACTCATGTTGGCAGCTCAATGCTGCCTATCGACTACTGGTTACTGAAGTGACTTTTGATAGCTAGCCGTTGAAAATCAATAACCGTGCACCGCTAACTTTTGACCGCCAACCAATAACCAGCACCCACGGCACCCACCCCGCCCACACACTGCCCCACTGTCTGTGCATATAGCCACACTGACCTGAACACACTGCGGTCGTAGCTTAGTTTGACCCTCAGCTGCTGGTCCGCTGAGCGGCGCCTCATCACGTGCGCCGGCTCTATGTGCACGCCGTGGATCACCTGTGGACGGGCGGACACAAACGACGTCAGTGGAGGGACGGGACCGTCATCGGTGGATGCCAATTTGGTGAAATAAGCAACATTGTCGTGGAATATTTGTACAATTTTACCGCTGGTTATGAGCGAGCAAAAAACGATCCTTATCAATCGAAAAAAAACGTACAGGAACGAGCAGGCCGGCCCTGCCTATATATAACGCTTTTAAAAGGTGAATATCTCAGCAACCGTTTGATCTATTGACTAGCGGGTTTTTAGTGTTATTTACTACGATAATTACTCTAGATCAATTTGGATGACTGTCGCGGCAAATGTGAAGTGCCAAAGCAGTCGTAACAAAATTGTTCTTCAATTACTGTGACTGGAACCGCTGGACCGATTGGGCTGAAACTTTACCTATCGGTGGGCACCCTCATGGCACAACGAAATGCATCCCCATGTGTCACGGTCGCGGTGCCAACTACTAATTCAGGTATTTACGCACGGGCAGAGGCCTCTTCTACATATAACGGCTGGACCGGTTGAAACACAAATGTCACAGGGTCATGGATTGGATAAAATGGTGACCCATAAAAGTCAGCTGGGGTCTCACATCACACTTGTGCAGTGTGTACGTGCGAGGCTCATTCCATATAGCACTCGCTCGTTTGTTGCTACCGCAAGATGTCTGGTAATGGTTCAATCTCCATAAAGAGCACTGGGTTACGCATTGAAATTGGAGAGCAGGATATTTGGCGCCATAGGCGCGGGAGCCGGGGGGGGGGCAGTGGGGGCAGCTTGCCCCCCCCCAACTCTGGGGCCGTGGGGGCGGTGCCCCCACAGCTTTGAGACGGAATACCATACTTTGTTTTGCAAATGTTTTCTTTTTTTGTTGAAAAAGCCGAGGGGTGGAAAATAAGTGGCCTAAAACCGGTGAGAAAACTAGATTTGGGGGTACCCTAGGTTAATCTCTATTATGGTGTGCCCCCCCAGTCGGAAAGTAGTTCCCGCGCCCCTGTTTGGCGCGGGCAATATCTGAACAAACCGCCTTACATAATCACCACCCTAGCTGCCGTTAGAGAGATAAAACATATAAGGAACTCTCTTCTCTAATCGGCAGGCACAGGGCAACCTTACCACGGCAGATACCTAGTCTTTAAGTTCGACACCGAACTTAGCTAGAATATTAGACGGCACCGCCAGCCATCGGCCAAGGACCGGTCGTAAGATCGTAATGAACAACAAATCGGTAATGCAAAACAGAGAAGCAAATATGTTTTTGAAACTGTAAATACGTTTTCGTTTATCATCGTAGGCCAGGCGTGAGAAATCGCCTCGATCCCAGAATAAGCTGACATGGCGGCGACAAATCAAGTCCCGGTGCTGGAGATCCAAACCGTACATAAGCAGCATCTCTACCATGCAGATGGGACGTGGGACTCTGAGCTTTTTGAGCATTCATACAAACATGTACATGTATATTTTGTGTTTCATGAAACAATGCCTTCAAAACTATGACAAATAACGCGGCCGGCCCGTTTTAAGTACGTGCGATGGCCGGTCGTCTGACGCGTGCAGGGAGGGAGCGCCTGCTCCCAGCCCACTGTTCAGTGCTCACCTCGTCCGGCCGGGGGTGCACGTGCACGCAATGGTCTTTGTGCGCGCCCGCCATGTGGACGACAATGCCCCAGCAGAGATGCCACGCCAGGGCGGCCCGCGGCGACCGCATAGTGTCCGACACGGGGCAGGCACCCTACAGGCAGGTCACAGAGTCACAGCGCGCCGGGCCGGTCCTCATCGCGCGCCGGCCGACAACAGACTGGGTCGGTTCCGGCGCCCGGGCGACGATACCGGCCCGGCGATCGACTGCCGGGCGAGTCCACTCCGACACCGGGGGGAGGCACGTCGGAGGCGTGGAGATGAGCGCCGCCGTATTAGTGGGAGGCGAGTCAAGCCGGTTATACCTATATAGCGGCGGACACTCCACTGACTCCCCACCCATACATAGGGTATATTCTGTAAGTGTGTGTAGGGTGGGGGGGGGGGGGCATGCACGGCACATACGCCGTAGGGTAGGACCCGTGGCACATGTACGGTAATATATGCTATAATAATAATCCTTCAATACAAAACTGTCAGACTAAAGTGACCATGAGCTTTTTTCACCGTTTAGGATGACTATGAACAGTTGACGACTTCGATTGAAGTAAAAATCTTGCAAGCCACCATCACGAGGATATTGGTAAAACTGCCGGCAACGGACCTCAGCATTATTTTAAATATTGAATTGTTAAATATGACCTCGGCATCCACAACAACCCAAGACTACACAGTACACACTCACTTCATAAGATGCCTCCACGTCGATCACCCGAGCCGATCACACAAGAAGTTCTGCTTCCAGACGGAACTGACAGCTATGTAGTTAGGCTAGCCCAGAAGATCCCGCGGCTGCCGTTGGCCCGGAAACGCTGATATCCGCTGGTCCATCAAAGACTGGAGTCGCGTCCCCTTCAGCGATGGCAGTCTTCTCTCGGATATTCCATCGGCATTTCGCCAGGACGACCGCGCCTGCCCGAATAACAGAGCGTAATAAATAAGAAATAGGGAGTACCTATTTCTTAGCAAATTAGACATACCCGCCTCCGAGATTACAATACGTCATGCGTATCAATATTCGTAGAATGCTTTATAACAGCGCCGGTATTTACTAAATGGCGCGAGAATATAAACACATAATACCTATGCGCGGTTTCGGATTGGGCATAGACATCGGACTGTGCGGACCTCCCACGGTCCACCAAAATGGCAAAAGCCAAAGCTAAATAAACCGCAAGCTGCCAGGGTGGTACAGCCAGGCGCCAGCACAATATACCCGCTGGATGCAGTCCAGGGTATACCCAAGATTCTTACAGATAGGTATACCCTGGATGCAGCCCTGCCACTCCAGACGAAACGGTCACCCGGAGAGGCTATTTTCTAAATCAGGGCGGGCACTAAAGAGTCGTCTTAGCGAGAACTTGTCCTCACCGCCGGTTGCCTCTGATCGGGACGACCGCCAGCTCGGAGGCCGGACAAGGTGAAGATGAAGAAGGACAGTGAGTTGGTCCTGAGGAAAGAAAGGGCGGATGTTCACACTCACGCTCAGATTCGTACATCCAGCGGTAGTATTCTATTAGCAGCGCTAATGATGTTAGTCGTCGTTTACTTTGAGCAGGAGCACCGTCGCCAGGGCAGGGCACAGAAGATGCTATACGCTAACGCCGTCCGACCAATCCCGTTCGAGGTCGGCGGGGGCTGGGCTGCGGTTATCGAACGTTATTGGTCGGACGATGTACAGGGTGTTTCACAATTACCGTTACAAGAGTTCCCACTCAATTTTGGTGCACTTAAAGGTGGTTTTTCTGAAAACACTATACACCATTGGAAAGAGCACATAATTCTGGTCTTGGTTAATTGCATTTTGAATGCCCTTTGGACAGATAATGGGTGTAGCAGATGATGTGAGAAAATCACGGTCGCGGTGGGCGCGACCGGCGCCGCCACCTTCGGTGACCGTGCCACGATCGCGGTGGATGTGACCTGCATCACTGCCTCTGGTGGCGCAAGGCTCGCTGCAACACCACGCAGCGGCGGCGTGGACCGCGGCCGGTGCCGTGGTGAGACCGTACCGCCCACACGCACCGGCGAGGCGGCACGGTGTCGCAACCTACGCACTGGCCACTGACCGACCTTCGCCCGACCCCTCGGGACGTGACGGTGAACCCGGGACGGAGCGCGAGGAGATGACTTTCGCCCGACCCTGGGGGCGCGCTGGCGAGACCGGGCCGGAGCGCGAGGTCACGACTTTCACGCCGCACAGCCGTGCCACGTTAAGTACACGTTTCTCCGACGTTTAGAACATGTAGTTTTTATATTTATGTAATTAGCCCTGCAATGGATTGGAACAGGCTTTTTCTCCTGTAGCTCAGTATAGCTAACAAAGAATAGATAGGAGCAGACCTGGAATACGGATCAATCGCATTATTCCTTGTGTGAAATAGATTACGACGCATTACGGTAAATACGTGCGTAATAACTTATTGCAGGACCGACCCTCACGGACTGCATGATTTATTGTACTTTACAGTGTTCGATATGCCACGTTCTAAGCTGATGTATGTCGCCCAATTTGATACGGGTTGCATGGTCTATTGCACATATAAGATAAGATACCTTAGAGACAAAACTGACTGTGTCACGGAATGTTCACTATTTTACGTGGTTTCACGGGTTTTCCATGAAAGCAGAAAACATAATGCTAGTTTCATTGTTTGTCGGTTGCATTAGGTACGTTTAAAAATTGGCAATGTAACATTACGAGAAACAATACGGGCCTTCTGGTACAATAAACAACGATGAGGTACCGGGTCGCATTGTTTATTGTAATGATATTAACTGTTGACAAAAAGTGTGTGACTTTATATCCTATCTGGTATTCTAGTTATATGAAAATCTGACATCTTGTGAGTTTGTGAGTTAGCGCTTGTTTCGCTGGTGGTGTCGTCATTCGCGAATAAGGACGGATTCTCACGGCCATGCCTGTAACGTGCGTGTATGTGTATTATTTCTATATGTTATACTGTGGCCCTCGGATTGCGTGAAAGTACGCGGGTTGTGACGTCACACTGCGTGTGACGGTATAAATACGCGCGCGTGGCGTAGGCTCGGGGCTCGCTCTACTGGCTCGCTTCTGGCTCTCTCTTGTTCGCCTTCGCGGGCACTCGTCCGCCCCGTCACGGACGGAGCGGTGCTCCTCCGCGGCCTCGCCACGCAGTGATGTGAGTACCGGTGGGTCGCCGGTCCAGTCAGGACCTGTTGAGCCCGAGTGGCGCGGCAGTGTTTTCTTCACTGCGCGTGTAGCGGGTAACATTGCGCCTGTCTGCCTATTGCCTGGTAACTGTGCTATTGCTTTACTCGAATCTAATCTCATGTCTTTTATAGCCTGTAATGTAATATACCTGTTCCAGTAATGTAATATACCTGTTCCAAGACAAAGCAAATTCTTTGTAGTTGGTAACGTTTACATCCAAAAGGGACGAATGCTTTAGAAGTTGGGCTAAAAATAAAACTTTCATACTCCTAGACAAACGACCTGCTCAGCAGACACTTCACGCGTGAAGCCAAGCTGGCAAAGTAAAACATAAAATTCACAATGAAAGACTGATCCAAATGAGGTCCGAGTCTGCGATTATCTCGAATATCACTATTAGAGCCTGTGTGATAAGCTTGTTGCTCGCGGACCTGTTTGAAGACGGCTGTACATGGCTGCGTGGTGTAGTCAAAAGGTATCTATTACGCACCTCCTGTATGAATTTCAAGTCTTCAACGCACAGGCTTCAATGGCAATGACGTCATTTCCTACCTCGTGTCAGAAAGGTGACTTGCGTGCCGGCCGGCGACTGGCGAGCCGACCTGGCGGCTGGGATGTGTGGGTGGATTAACGCGTGCCCCCTGCGGCCCGCCGCGATGCGGATCGGGGGCACTAGTGCATGAAGCTCCGCAACAGCTGTCGGTCGCCAGGGGGCACAGACCTTCCGGGTCTTCCGGACTTCCGGGTCTTCCGGACTCAGAAACCCGCTTCAGTGATGGTCTGGGCGGCCGTCAGCCAGGCCGGCAAGTCGCCGTTGGTTTTTGTGCCCGAGGGCGTAAAAATCAACAAAGAAACCTACATCGAGACCATCCTTGAACAGACGCTGAAGCCGTGGGCCAAGAAGACGTACGGAGACAAGGGCTGGACTTTTCAGCAGGACGGCGCAACAAGCCACACCGCGCGCGTCACCCAACAGTGGTGCGAAGACAACTGCCCAGGCTTCATCACCAAGGACCAGTGGCCCCCATCATCCCCAGATCTGAATCCGATGGATTACACGATGTGGTCCGTGCTCGAAAAGGAAGCTTGCTCCAAACCGCACAAGAAGATCGACGATCTCAAGCGATCTCTGATCAGCGCCTGGCAGAAGATCCCCGACGCGGTTGTGCGTGCCGCGGTCCGTGACTTCAGGAGACGGTTGGCTGCCGCTGTGAAGGCTGGAGGCGGCCACTTCGAGTAGGCTCTCGAGTAGGCTCTCGCGATGTTGGTCTCTGTGGTTTTGGGTGCATATGGTGCAATTTTGGCGGAAATAAAATAATTATGCCCAGAGATATTGAGCTTTGATCTTGTAACGTTAATTGTGAAACACCCTGTAGAATCCTCTGGTAGAATCTTCGAAAGAAGTGGGTTACTGGGTACCTCCGGGTGTAGCGCCTCTCCTTGGTTGGAAAACCTTCGTGTGACGTCTGCTCTTCTGATACCGAATCTTCGTTCTTCGGGAGACTGCGAACACGAGGTGGAATAAAATCCAGCGCCGAAAGACTGGGCAATTTAAGGTTTGCCAACTGTCACCTAGCGCAACTACCTCTGTCTCAAGTCTCAACCTACCTCAACATCAGGAGTCAGGCTCAGCACCTCGTGTAGCCCACCTGACTCAGACTATAGCAAAATGATAGGTATACCTAAAGAAGTGAACTATGGGTAATGTCCATCGACCAAAGCGCTGCACCGCACTTGCACCGCACCAGGGATGCGGAGCCGGAGCCGGAGCCGGAGCCGGAGCCGCCGGAGCCGGCATATTTTGCCCGGAGCCGGAGCCGGAGCCGGAGCCGTGAAACAATATAACCCGGAGCCGGAGCCGGAGCCGGAGCCGTCAAAAAAGGGGGCGACTCCGGCTCCTTTTCTTACGAGGAAACAATTATTTACCTAGTTCGGTTTGACAGTACAAGGCGTAAAACAATGTGGTATTCAAAATAGCCTTGTTATACAAATACAGAAGCAACGTGTACCAATCCCATCGCCTTTTTTTCTTCCACCCGTATTTAACCCGCGCCCCAGTGGCGGTCTCAGCCAACTTCGCCCTAGTGAGGGGGGGCATATGTTACCACCCACCTTTAACTCAAAAACTAAGAGGGCTAGAAAGACGCGGTAAAAAGTAGTCGATAGCTCTCAATGCGTACGTTTGAAAGTATTTCGGTCATTTTTCACCTTAGAGCAATATTGGGGTCACCAGAGGTCATCAAAGGTCAAAATTTGCCAATTGTCATGATATTTTTCAGAAAACATGCCGCTATCTCAGGAACTATGATAGCTAGGAAAACGCATGGAACAGCAATCGGTAGCTTTTGAACTCTTCTTTTGAAAAGGTCATTATCAATATTGACCTCAGGTCAACGGTTTAGCCTCCAGAGGGCAAAAACTCCAAAAATAGCCGTTTTTACGAAAAGTGTTTTTCGACAATAACTTTCGACTACAAAAAGCCACGACATTTCTATTGCCAGAATCGTGTTCCCCTCGCCGAGACGCGTCGAATGAACTATAATTTGACCTTGAAAGGTCAACTTGAAAATTTGACCTCAGGTCAAGGTCATGACCTGACCGGAAAAGGTCATGTTGCATATCAGTCGATGCGTCTCAACAAGACTAACACAATGAAACCATCCCCAGCGTTCTATCTCTTTCCAATCGCGAGTTATTGGCAAAAAACTGTTTGTAGCCTCAAATGACCTCGAATGACCTTTCTAGAGGCTATCAGCAAAAATGACCTCTTGGTCGTCACGAGTGGACTAAATCATTGTGATTCTGAAATATTTGGACTGTTCCTATGCGTACACACGGATCTAGAGGCATTTTCATTTTTCTCCATTGACTTGTAATGGAAAGGTCACGCCACTGACCTGACCTTAGGTCACGGATATAAAAAATCCGAGATATACAAATTGTAGGTGCCCATAACAGCATGCAATCCACCAAGTTTAAAACCTTTCTGACAAACATTGCAGGCTGGACATGATTGCAAACTTTTTTTTAGGCTTGGTCAGTTAACTTGACCTGGTGACCTGACCTGACATGACCTGGGGTCAAAAATTTCACACATTGTCCAAAATTGATGTACCAAAAGCTACCCCAAGCGGCGCGGCGCTACGCGCCGCGGTTTTTTATTCACACGCAAAAAACGCGACAGGGTAGTAACATATGCCCCCCCCCCCCACTGGGGCGAAGGTTAATTGATCGCATTGTGGATGTACTGAGTAGAAGCCGGAGCCGGAGCCGCCGGAGCCGGATCATTTTACTCGGAGTCGGAGCCGGAGCCGCCATGATATTCACCCGGAGCCGGAGCCGGAGCCGGAGCCGATTTTTTCTCCGGAGCCGGAGCCGGAGCCGGAGCCGTCTGAAATTTCCACGGCTCCGCATCCCTGCACCGCACTGTTCCCTGATGGCCCTGATATAGCCTTGGCCCTGATACACGAGCACGACACACGTCAAGTTTAGACTTCAGCTCAAACTTGTCTTGCAATGACTTGTCTAAATAATGACTTATTGTTATTGATGTTTGATATATCAATCACGGTATATAAATCAATTAGCATTAGGATTTCAATTTAGGCTTCTACTTACCAAAAAAAAACGCGTTGTGCTCAACAAATCGACATGCCTCCTTCACCTTCGAACTTTGATGCTATAAGAATACCGACTTATCTATCTCAAGTTCAAGGCCTCCATTTTTTCCCATTCATAGATTAGATCTTGTTCTCAAATTCGAGGTCGTGCTCGAGATTCTCAACTTGTTATGGCTTAGGGCTACTTAGGACAAGATACCTATAGGACATAGGCTTCAGACTCGTCAAAAAATTCGGTATAAATTATCGAATCGCTTGCGGCCGGCCGCCGGCTTTCAACAAGCGCGGCATGAGACCACGGTATATAGAGAACTGCATGAGACCTATTCTGACGTCGTTCTGACGCAGCTGCGACGATAGAAACTAAAGTGAGTTTTATATGTCGTAGTTGCTACCAAATAGAGTAGGAGTTTTTTACTTTCAGCTGAGCTAGAAATTTAGCAAATGAATAGATGTTAGTTGTTTAGCCTAATGATCAAGCGATGAGCACCAGAAGAAGTGTTTCTGATATTTTGTTACACTCTGTTTCGAACAAAAAATATTTTTGTTCTCAAAGATCACAAAAAATAATAAATATTGAAAGCAGCCAAGGGTAGCGAAGGGGTACTTCTGCGGAAATTGCTACCATATGTAACTAGTTTGTGTGTATGTAAAGCGAGCTTATCGTTATCTTTTTCCCAAGCTTTTTACCGTTGCCGAATGGTGGAAAGACACTTCAACTTGGAAAGACATAGGACATAGCAAGGGGAGGAATAGATAATCGTGTAGATAATGAGTTTCGTTCTCCAATAATTGTGGTAAATATTTTTTTTTTATTTTCCGTGCTGCTAATAGCAATCACTATCACTGATGTGTCTATGATAGTTCGATGTTAACTGACTTACTTGGATGCTTCTGCTTGGACATTTATTTTATTCATAGGTAGGTAGGTAATAGGGTGGCACTTAGCAATAGGGCGAATTTCATTTTATCCGATTTTTAGGCGTGCGGGTGGTTTTCTGGTTCCATCCCCGTAGAAAATAATGTGAAAAATGATTTTGATAAATATTGATATTTAGGGGTCGCGAATTGAGGTCAAAGTTAACAGTTTTTGGGGAAAATCAACTTTTTTTAAACTGTTTGAAACCTATTTGGAATAACATATGCGGTCATCAAACGTCATTTCCGACGTATTTTGGCCTTTATTTGTTAAGCAATTGCTTATCCCATCACTTCCGGCCGGTCGTAGCCAGTCCAGGTCAGGCCAAAACAGGTCTGACCTGGGCTGTTTTACCCATCCCAGGCCTGTTTTGGCCTGCGACCGGTGCCCTATGCGAGATATGTCCCTTTTCTGCCAAAGAGAAGGTGAAGAAGAAGTTGGAGTCAACCAATCGCAGACGGGCGAAAGCAGAGGCGAGAGTGTGCATTGAGCTGCACCGGTCTATTGTGATTTCGGGAAGTTCTTCCGTGGGCGCTTCTTCCGTCTCTAGAGCCAGTGCCAGCAACGGACTTACCCGGCCGTTGCGGCGCGCACACGAAGAGAACGTCTTCGACGATGGCGACCATTAGAGAGTCTAAACGTCGACTCACAGTCCTAAGCGCATGGGGGCGAGCGGGCGTCCCCAACAGTGAACTAGCCTCGACTGGACCCAACTGTCCAACCGTAATGTGTGAAGCACACGTGAACCTGCTATCAACTGCGGCTCGGAACTTAGGATACGTTTTCGGCTGAACCGCGAGTCCTGAACCGTGAGGGAAGGGGAGCATCGACCGATTATTCGTGCTGGTGTTGGAGAGGGGGGGGGGGTCAGGGTGTCGAAGCTCATCGCCGTTCCCAAACTCTCGTCCATCCAAGCACAGGTCATGTGCTCACAGCACTGGGGGACTAGGAGCTGGAGAAGCGAATCTGCGGCCTTTTCCTTCGACACCACGACGGCGAACAGCATGCTGGTGAACGGAGATTTAGCCCTCATCGAGCAAAAGTTGGATCGGCCCTGGATCGTTTCGCCGTCGACGACGTCCCGGAGTGGGACGAGCTGCTGGTCAGCTTCCGACGCTTCCTCGACTACGCCCAGCTCCGGGAAGACTACCAAAAACTCCTGGAGCTCTGCGTAATTGCTCTCGGTGGAGTTCCAAAGCACGGCATCCGCTTCTTCGCTGCAGAGTACTCCACTGAGTTATGTGGATAGCAAAGGCCATCCGTCCTGTGGATGTCTTCCTCTTCAGGGAGCAGTTCCGGCTGACGGCGGCCGAGGCCCAGGTCATCAGACGCTGTGCGCTGTCGTCGTCTGCACTCTGCACGTACGCCGCCGCCGCCGCCGACGCCTGGTCTCGGACTCTACTCCCCCTACTGCGCCGGCTCGGGACCTGACCTCCGTGAATGCGCTCTGCAACTACCCCGACAAGGAGCTGTCGAAGGCGACAGTCCCGGTCTTCGGCCGTCACCTGTAGTGATCGACTGGTGACTGGAGCTTTTCGACCCAGACCCTCGGGATCAATCAAGTCATGGTGTGGGTAATAGTCTTGCAGGAGAGAGAGGGGACGAGGACCCGCCCCACAAGCCCTTAGTGGACACCATGAACGCCGCTCTCGCCACCAAGACGTTGGCGAGCTTCCTCACACCATCGTTCAAACAGATCTCAAGGATCCACGACCTGGACGCAGGGCTCATCATCAATGACCAAGACCACTGGGAGGACAGTAGCTACCAAAGCGCCGCTCGTGTGGTCCGGGAGCTGCGGGTGGTGAATGACTTCACCAGGCGCGGTGTGGCACTGATGTAGGCCTGGCACTCATGAAAGACACAGATTAGCGCCAGTTCTTCCTCCATGTCGTTGAAGATCACAGACAACGCTAGCCTGAAGCCCGAAGATCGGCTGCAACTGCTACCCAGGCCACACACAAAGGGATCTGGGTATCCACTGCCCATGATACCCCTCCCTCCAATGAGGCGCCAATAGTCTACAAAAGGGGGGAACTGGAGTAGCGAAGTACAGTCACCAGCAGTTGCTACCCATCACCCCCGGACGGCGGGGGAGCAAGCTACCACCGCCCCTGCGAGACTAGCGCCGCCATGCGCCAAGAAGTGGAAACACCACGTGACTGAGGCCACGCGAGGGCAGGGTCACGTGACGGAGGGGCGGAGCATAGTAGCTTTTGCGCCCGACGCTAACTGAAATGCGGCGCTGTGATTGGGCGCCTTGGCATGAATGAAGCCTCGGCGCCAGAATCAGCCGTTCGCCTTATATGGAAAGTGAGCCTTTGCGTTTCACTGTTCTGTATTGGTTTGAGAGCCACGGCACCATACGAATTGTGAGCCCCTTTGAACGGGTCACCGCCCGAGGCACTGAGGCGACGGCTGTGCCGGGCAAAGTCTCGCCTGGTGGGAGAGGTGGGCCAGGAAAAGTGCGATCGAGCAGCCACTGGGACGTGGATTGGTATTATCCAACCGCGACAAACGATGTCAGCAGCCTCTTCTCGTGTCATAGAGAATGTCTATGACACGAAAAGCTAGACAGACAACGTGGGCATGGTGCCCAATCAAAAGCTACTAAACGATCCAGTTAAGAAGTTGGCGAGGTAGCCAGACCAAATAAAAAGTTTTTAATTCGATTTTGGTTGACAAATGCCATACAGGCCCGCTGTGATGGACCAAAAAGGAGCTGAACAGTTCATACAACTTCTTAAAAGCTCAACGGTTTAAAAATTCAAAAGTTAAATGTTAAAATTCAGCCTGCATGTTTAAACTCTGGTCCGGCGCTGGCAGGAAGCTTATATTGCCACTTGCAATTCCACTACGTTGTAATATAACCAAGAGTTCTGTGAGAGCAGCAACTGAAAGCCCAGTTGAGGGAGAGGGCGGCGCGAAACGGTCCCCTCTCTCCTTTTCAGTCGATATCTCCTTAAGTATAGCAAATGTCGCCACCAAACTTTCAAGACCCATCCGGGCATCATTTTTACACCTTGTGACCAAAATTTTCTAGAGCTCTTATGAAAGATTAGTCACAAATGACGTCAGAGGGATGCCATGTTGTCATTTTCAACCCAATAAAAGGTTTAGCGGGAAGAGCTGTCACGCTTACAGTTTTGAAGATAACGAAAAACATTCAAGATCAAAAAGATGTAAAATAAACAGCGCTACCAACCTGCTAACTCTTATTTCCAAACAAAAATTGATTTTGACCATCAAAACTATAGATTAGAAGTATAACACCCCGAAAATACCAACAACATTCAAAATTAAAACTGAAATATATGTTATAGAACTATCTGCTCTAGATATGCCAAACTTAAACTCGATAGCTCTATTTTTAGCAAAGTTATGGCAAAAAAAAAACTACTCAAATTGATTACGTAAAATTTTCAAATTCAATTTTTAGCCGTCACAGAACACACAAAGCAAGCCAAAGGCCACCATTGGATTTCCTGTGACGAGCTGCATCGAATAGATACCCCTTTTACGCAAAATATTAACTTTGAAATTTGACCTACTTTGACCTGACCTTGACCTGACCTCCACCAGAATGTAATCTTACCTGGCCCCAATGGCCGTCTAGCTCACACCATTGAATTTTAAATGTAAAATTGGCCATAAAACATGCATCACACGACCCTAGCATAGTTGGGTTCATATTGTGAGCCTTAGTGACCTGACCTCTGTGAACTGACCTGGCATCAATGACCTCTTTAGGCAACATATGTATTAGACAACCAACGCTCCATCGATGTTTTTCGATAACATGCCTTTTATTTGATGTGTTAACTGACTGTAACGGCGTAACGCATTCCTTAGACTAAATCGGTGAAAAAATGCGACCTTTGACCTGCTTTGTGACGTCATGGGTTGCACCTAGGTCAACGAAACCTGGTAACAAGGTAGTTCCCTGGTGGGGCTATCGAACGCTCTTTGAATGTTTAAAATCGGTCGGTAACTTTCCGAGATCTCAGGTGGAGGGCGAAACGGCTGCACCACCCGATCAGGTGGTAGGGTCCGCCAATAGCCCAAGGGGGCGCGGAATATTTATTCACTCATACAGTGTCATTTATTTTGAGAACACCTTTCTCACGCCATGACATGGTCCTCTCGTAATAGAACGAGATGAGGAGTGTTTTCACGCATCCTTATGCACGGCTCTAAGTGTCATTGAGCTATCAACTGTCAGTGGTTTTCGGACAATGAAGTTCTTAGTTCTTACTGAATCCAATTTTATTTCAAACGATTGTCACTGTGCTAGTTTTCTTCTTATACGTTTTTGAAAAAAGCGCTGAAGAAGTCTTTGATAGACGAAACCGGTCCGCTTATTCTTTTTCTAATTGTTTTTTTTTTTTTAAATATATTCGTAGACTACTGGCTCTTTACTACAAAATTTGAGAATGTTTGGTATTACTTTGACCCGAACGATGTGCAGCTGAATTTTCCCTCCTGAATGATTATGGACAGCTCGCGAAATTAACTTCAACCTAAACTACCGACAAGCAGAAGAAAATCCGATACAAGCCTACCTCAATCCTCTCACTTTATTCAACCGTTGAAACGTTAAAGGGACCCTCCCACCTTCAAAAAAGTTAATTAATTGCCATGGAAGTAATGTCGCTCGGTTCAGAAAGAGCAAAAACGAATATCTACCAAATTTCATCGAAAAATATTAACCGGTTTTCAAGATATTAGACTTTTACTTTTGTTTACTTTTTGGGATCCCCGCTGTTCCTAGCGACTTTATTTGAAAGTGCGGCATTTGTTGCTCGCAAAGCAGCCTATACCACCGCGTGCTACAAAACGTTTTAGTCAAACATTTAAAAATCGTTAGATATCTGCGATGACGTCACACATTCAGAGGGGTATTCCTATGCATTATCCCCTCTGAATCAAAATGCTGCCATTTTGAAATTCAATATTTCCGATTTAAGGCATTTCTCGATGTTGTGAGTGCCGAAACCGGTAATTGTGAGCCAGGGACCCCATTTTGGTTATCTCAACTCAAATCTAATGTTAAGGTGGGAGGGTCCCTTTAAAGGCATTTGTTCAGTCCGAGTCGCTATGTCGACCACCCGCGCCTTGCTGGGGGGGGGGGGGGGGGGGCTACGCCCTTCCCCCTCAGGTTTTTCGCGAATATCTCAAAAACGGCGACGCGACGCGTAGCCTCATTCAAGGTCAGGTCACCAGGTAACGTCAAGTGACCTTACCTCAGAAACAATTCGAAAGCTCGTTGTAGCTACACCGACTGAGTGATCATTTTAAAACTTTCAGTAATTGCTTAGGGTAACAGTATGTATAAAATGGATACCTTGGATTTTTTATGTCTGTGACCTAAGGTCAGGTCAGTTTTGCGACTGCTCCATTAGGTATAAGTCAATGGGAGAAAATTGAAATGGGCCTCTTTTGGACGAATTTCGTTCTACACCCTCTCAAACATCAGTCCATAGGTAAGCATGACACACTGAATCGGAAAATTGCACCTGTGACCCCTGTGTGTGCCCCTGAGGTCATTTTAGGACATAAAAGGTCTTCAGCAGTTTTTTGTCTTTTGACAGAGACGTGCTAGAGCGGTGAAAACACCGTTGATCTGAGGTCAAATTTGAGGTCAATCAGAGCGGTGCCCTCTGGGGGCTAAACCGTTGATCTGAAGTCAAATTTGAGGACATGTTGGCGAAAAAGCGTTAAAAGAGCTATCGAATGCGCTTTTCCGCGGCGCTGTAGCTCTATTGGTTCCCGAGTTAGCCGTCGGGTGTTCGAAATCGTTGAAATCAACAAAATTTAACCTTTGATGAACCCTGGTGACCTGACCTTTGCCCTGACCTTAAAATGACCGAGTGTTTTCCTCCTTATTTTTGACGCTCTTTCGATTGTCGCTTACCGCGTGTCGCTACGTGGCCCAGGAACCGAGTTAGACGGAGCCCCCCCCCCCCAGCACTCGATGGAAGACGGAGGGGCGTAAAACGCCCCCCCCCCCCCCCAGCACTCGATGGAAAGTTCATGCCACCAACACGGCGCGGGTTAATTGTTATGTTAGCTAGCTCCTGTTGTAAGCTGTGGAGTCGTGGACCTGATCTTGAAGGAACTGGGCCTAACATTTTCATAGCAAACGTAAAAAATGTTTAATGGGATGTGCAAAAAAATAGCATCTTTTATGACACATTTGCGAAACCTTCAACATCATCCCCAGATCCCATTAGTGCCGAGCTCCCAACGACGACCATAAAAGCGTCCCCATCCCGTAATAGGCGACGGAACGGGGAGAGCACCGGGGCACGAGGCACCGTGCCCCCGTTTGATTTTGGCATTTCAACATTAGCCCTATGAGCGTTGCATGGAAATAATAGGACCAAAAGTCGGCAGTGCCCCCCCCCTTAATTGAAGGTGTTCCGCCGCTACTGCATCCCGTCAACGTGGGTTTATCACAAGGATGGCATGCTAAGATTTAATTTCCAATCCGAAGCTGTAATGATGGAAAGCCAATTTGCATTTTACATGTGAAACAAGCTGACACAACTAAATATTTCCTCTCTCGCTCCCTCTCACTGATTTACCCATTGCCCTCTTTCTCATTTTACCCTCTCTGGTTTTCCTTTTCAGTTTTTTTTTCTCTCTCTCTCTCTCGCTCTCTCTCTCTCTCGCTTTCTCGCTCGCTCTCTTTCTCGCTCTCTCTCGCTGTCTCTCGCTCTGACTCTCTCTCTCCCTCTCTCTCTCTCTCTCTCTTCGCTCTCCATCTCTCGCTCTCCTTATCTCCCTCTCTCTCTCTCTCTATTTCTCTCTCTCCCTCTCTCTCTCTCTCTTCCTCTCTTCTCTCTCTCTCTCTCTCTCTCTCTCTCTCTCTCTCTCTCTCTCTCTCTCTCTCTCTCTCTCTCTCTCTCCCTTCCTCTTTCTCTCTCTTTCTCTCTCCCTCTCTCTCCTCTCTCTCCTCTCTCTCTTTCTCTCTTTCCTCTCTCTCTCTCTCTCCCTCTCTCTCTCCCTCTATCTCTTCCTCTCCATCTCTCTCTCTCTCTCTCTCTCTCTCTCTCTCTTTCCTCACAATATTATCGACTGTCACAGCGTTGTAGGGCGTGTTTCCAGACAGGTCCAGGCGCTCCCCACTCCGCAGGCCCCAGCCCACACGGCCCAACCGCTCAAACACCCTCCGGCGGATGACCTCTGACCTCGGCGACCTGACCCCAGCCGACCGATCGCGTCCCTCTCCACGCCTCCGCCCCGCTTCCCCCACTATAGCTGCGTAGTAATTGTAGCGTGTGCAAAGGTCACGTGACATTATTTACTTCTGCGGCTTGTTCGGCTGACAAGAGATGGCACTAGTGGTCTGTGGATCAGAGGCGGGGCTAGGTTCTACGACTTCTTGGGGCACACTTTAGGGCAGAAAAGAGGTTTTTGGGCTCCCCATCCCAAAATGCTTCGAATATACAAAAACAAGCTAGATATTCGAAAATCGGAGGACCAAACGGATCGTTTGACGTATCTTGCGCGACTGACAATTGATCGGTCTTCAAACTGCTGAACAAAAACGAGGTGATTAGTAGCAAGTGCTGGTGACTGTACATAGATCAGTGGTCCGGTGTGACCGAAAATGCGTGGAATATCGATAAACAATATGAAAATGACCAAGAAATGCCTTATTATCATCCAAATACAGTTACATAGCAAAGTCAGAAGAGAATTTGATGATATCGAAATTTCTTACAAAAATCTCAACTTTGACCTTGATTCGCGACCTCTAAATATCAATATTTTCCCACAAAAATTTGCCTACCTTATTTTTTACGGGAATGGAACCGTTAAACCACCCGCACGCATTAAAAATCAAAAATCGATTTTTAAGTGCCACCCTAGTAGGTAAGTTTACTCAATATACCCTGGGTAAGTTTGTATAACAAGATGTGATTCTACCAGCTAAGCTACAGGTCCAGGACCAGCCTGGCGGTGCTTCAACGTTACGCTGCCAGCGTATTTTGCGAGCTGACGTTTCACTTTTGTCTTGTGGGTTGGAGCAACGGGCTTGTTGATGTCTCCTTGGGAAGCCCAAATCACCATGTGTGCTGGCAGCGGCTGGCAGCATGCCTGTGAAATTCTGCCCCTGTTTCCTCCCCATGCTGACAGTTTGGATTTTTTTCTTACAGGCTGTACAAGAATCATATAGCAACGACTCAGCTTCTTTGTCAACTTATGGCTGCAACTTGTACTCGTTCAGCATTTTCGTTTGCATGCAAAATCACAATAAATAATTTGAAATGCAGATATCTTCTTGGATGCCAACTCAACCACACATCCAAACTTTCCATAAGCCAGGGGCCTATAAAAGTCCTTTATTTTGGTTCAGATGATTTTGCAATTCCAACTTTGAAAATGCTTCATTCAAAAAGGTAAGACCTTAATCATAATGTGTGCCCTAAATAATGTTGAGATAACTGTTGATACTTGTCATTGTTGGCTGACAACAATGACAAGCATTGACATGAGGCGTTATTAACATAGCCTGCTTGGTGATTGTGATGCAGATATCACTGTCGGACCTGCCTCTGATCTGCAACTGATGTGGCTGTTTGATTCTGGTGGTCAGGGACGCCGGTCAGCTGTCTGAGCTGGCGGTCGTCTGTGTGAGGCTCAAGGCCGGTAAGACGGCCGCCCGCCGGTACGCCGAGCGGCACGGTCTTCCCGTGCTCGACTGGCCACCGACCGGCCTCACCGCCGGGAGGTACCACCTGGGCGTGGTGGCCTCCTTCGGACACCTGCTGCCGAGCAGACTCATCGACCTGTTCCCTGTGTGAGTACCGTGGCTGACACAGAGACTGCACCTTATTCGTGTGCTGTGACCGTGCATTGCATTCACAGCCGCTATTCGGTCACATTTTAGTGATACCCTATTTACCCTAACCCATCATCCCCGTATGGCCCCATCGCTGTACAGTGTTTTACCGTCATCCTTTAAATTTTACACCTTCCATATTTTACTGTTGTCGCTAAGTCTTCTTGAGGTTGTGTATGTCATGTTTACCGACGTTCCGTGACTTTTTCCTCCGTTGTATCGTGTCTCACGTATGTCCGACATATACCTACCCTCACGGTCTCACTGTTGTGCTGCGTTCCCAGGGGAGTGCTGAACGTGCACGCCAGCCTGCTACCGCGCTGGCGTGGCGCGGCCCCCGTAGTGCACGCACTCCTGGCCGGCGACTCGGAGACTGGAGTCACCATAATGACGGTGAAACCGCACAAGTAAGTTCGAGGCCCGCCCTCAGTCAGAGAATGGCACAGCACACCTCGCGCAAAATAAAGTAACGAATAGTGGTGCGCACTCGCGTATCAACGCACGAACGAAGCTCTTTTTTATCACATAGGTGGCATTCCCGGTACACTACCTCTATTTGACCTGGAATTATTGAAAAATGCCGATTTTCACGTAGAGCTCTAGCTCTATTCGGGGTGAAACGTCGAGGAAGGAACGCACCCCTCCCCCCGGGTCGGGGCGTATGTAGAAGACCGCCATGTTCAGCGAGGGTTAAGAATATTCTGTCTGATCTTTTTCTTACAAAACGGATGTCACTTGACAGAGAAGTTGACTGATATCGCACGCCCAGAGGGTGAATTCGAGCTCTCTCCTCGTTCGGCAGATTTGACATCGGCGACATCGTGGCACAGGCGGCGGTGCCCATCTCGCCGACGGTCCACGTGCAGCAGCTGACTGCCGAGCTGGCGCAGCTGGGCTCGGAGCTGCTGGAGCGCTGTATGGAGGACATACCGGCCGCGCTGGCCGCCGCCCGTCCCCAGACAGAGGAGGGCGTCACACTCGGTGAGACTGGGTCGATGGGTCGCGTCGCTCTGCACCCGATAAACGAGCTGAGGTTCCCGGTCTTACTGTCTGGGTAGGTCATCTCACTACACTGAGTATGCTTGCCTCTGCTGTCATTCGATATGGCGCCGAAAGTCTGCTCGCCTTGCGATGAGTATGATGCTTCTTTCACTGTTCCACCTCTCGATATGACCGCTGAGGGACGTCTGGCTGTATGCTCAATGCTCATACAGTGACCGCTGCGCTCTGTCTGTGTGCAGCGCCTCGCCTGACGCCGGCCGACTACCGGGTGGACTGGGACCGGCCGGCGGCCGCCGTGCTGCGCCAGAGCCGCGCCCTGCCCGGCCCGCTGCTGACCGCCCTCAGCGGCCGGCGCGTGCGTCTCCTGGCGCTGTCCGAGCCCGAGGCGCCCGCGGGGCCGCCGTCCGGCGCTGCAGCGGCGCCCGGCCGGCTGACGCGGCGGCGGCGCGCGCTGCTGGTGCGCTGCGCGGACGGCTGGCTGGCGCTGGACCGGCTGCAGCTGCAGGGCAAGCCAGTGATGAGTGGCGAACAGTTCTGGAACGGCTACCTGAGTGGAGCGGCCGACGACCAGCGCTGCTTCGACCGGTGACGGCCGGCCGGCAGTGGCCCGACCGACCGACCGGCCGGCTAGTGCAGATACCACTGTGATATGAGACGGGCGCCAGCGGCAGGCGGGCTGGGTTCAGCTACTAGTCTGCGGTGCACCGCCAGCTACGTGCAACTTTGTTATGGTGTTTTATAAGCTGTTGGCATACGAGAACGCGATTCAGGGCGAAATATCGTTGAAACGGATTTTGATTTCTGTTCTATTAGTTGAATGACAGTCTTTCTTAGAACTTCTGAAGTCTATTCGATGTTCGGAAAGTGATTCAAGTATATGAGTGTTCGGTTCTACCAGCGCTCTTGCAATGGGCTCTCGATGTTTGGTTTCGGTCGACGCCGGCGCAATACCTCAGTGTTTTATGTGGATTAGATATTGATACGTTTTCGTGTCATGTTTGTGGAACTGTGAAACTGCAGACCGACTCAGTCAACGAGACGTGTCCGCATGAAATGGAGCGGATCTTCAGTGTGTGAAGCGCCAGCTGCGTGTTTATACTGCGTGATGAATGAAGAGCTTAATAGAGCTTGAATCAAATGCAAGACCTTCGGCAGCCTGTTCTTAGTTATTTTCGCTCCGCATGATCACCGCAATGCCAGAAACACACAGCGAGACTCGCGCTCTGTAAAATTAGATGAAAGATGAAACTCCATGGGTCATTCTCGATATTGATCGACAGAATTACTGACCATCCTGCTTCCCCAACAAATATTGTGCAGTGGAGACGCATCGGGCGGCTTACCGCTCGCCGAACTAAAAGCCATGTGGTGATAAGAGCAATGTTGAAAGAGGACCGTCTCATTAATCGCGCACTGTCCCACAGGGCGTCGGTAACCAATGACCGTCCTAATTCCTTTCAGATCTGCAGTTATGTATTTCGCACTACAAATTACACTGTTCGCCTTTCGCAGACACATCACGACACTATCACATATAACAAGTGTTCTTTCGCAACAATATTGCACTTTGCCGTTAGGACATCGACACCAGGTAAAAACGCTTCACAAAAGCAAAACTACACCTCAACCATTCTAACAAAAATCTTCCCACCCATCGCTTTGTAAAGAAAGTCAATTTTCACTGCCAACCGTTCCTGCCGCAATATCAGTGAGGCTTCCTTCAAGGGTCCCACCGGATCCTGCCGCGATCCTGCGCCACAATAACAGCCGGCACTGGCCTGACCTGACCTGTCTCGGACGATGGCGGACTCATTCTGAACCGGGACGAGACAGTCCAACCACCGGACACCCGTTTCGTAATTAACACGACAGGCCCCGGTAGCTATGAAGTCGTAACGCCTCGTAGGCTAAGTCCACACCGAAACAAGTCGCATACCACGCCTTGAGCTGATAGTTCCTAGACGAGGAGATTCCCGCGACAATACGCAAGAGACACAACCGACCGCGGCACCACTCGTACCGGCCACCTCAGACTATTTCATCTGGAGCAGCATGGCAGCCGGCTGCTCGAGGAAGGCTTTCATCACGTTGGAGAATCTGGCCATGGTGGCGCCGTCGATGACCCGGTGGTCAGCCGACCAGGAGACCTGCATCACGTGCGCGGCCACCACCGAGCCGTCGGCCGCGAAGCGCGGCAGCTTCTGGATCCTGCCGATGGCGCCGATCGCCACCTCGGGCGGCACGATGACCGGCTTGGCGTACGTGCCGCCGATGGCACCGATGTTGGAGAGTGAGAAGGTGCCGCCGGCCAGGTCGGCGGCCGTCAGCTGGCCCCGCGCACCCAAAGCCTGCAGCCGGTTCAGCTCCTGCGCCACCTCCAGCACCGTCAGGTTCTGCACCTGCTTCACGTTGGGCACCACCAGGCCGTTGGGCGTGTCCATGGCGATCCCGATGTTGTGGCTGGCCTTGTAAGTGATGTTCTCGCAGGCGGCGTCCACGGAAGCGTTCAGCACCGGGTACTGCAGCAGAGCCATCGAGCACGCCTTGATGATGACCGGCATGTAGGAAAACTTGACGCCGAACGCCTCTGCGCTCTTCTTCAGCGCCGGCCGCAGGTTCACCAGCGTCGTCATCTCGATCTCGTCACAGTAGCCAAAGTGCGGCACAGTCATTGACAGCTTCATGGCCTTCACCATGGCCTTGGTGAAGCCGGAGACGGGTGCCGTCTTGTCCTCTGCCAACAGTACTGTCTGGGCGCGAGGCGCGACGGTCTCAACCGGGGCCTTGGGCGCCTCCTTTGGCACCTCCTGCACGGCCGGCTTCTTCGGGGCTGCGGGCGCCGTCTCCTTGGGCGGCTTACCCTTCTCCTTCTCCTGAACGTAGCGGAGGACGTCCTCCTTGAGGATGCGGCCGTCCTTGCCGGTGCCGCGCACCTCGCCGAGCACCACGTTGTTCTCCATGGCGATGCGCCGAACGGCCGGTGTGGTGAGGACCTTGGTCGGCGTCGGTAGCACGTAGTGCTCGCCGCCCACCACCGCGATAGCGTCCCGCTCCTGGACCTCGTCCTCCGAGTCGGACGAGCCCGGCTCCGACTCGATGTCCACCAGCGGCTGGCCGACGCGCGCCATGTCGTCCACCGAGTAGTACAGCTTGCGCACCACGCCGTCGTAGCGGCTGGTGATCGTCACGGAAGCCTTGTCACTCTGCACCTCGCACAGACTGTCGAACTGGCTGACCGAGTCGCCCTCCTTCACGTACCACTCCTTGATCACCACCTCCACGATACCCTCGCCAATGTCCGAGAGCAGGAACGGCACCACCTTGCCCGCGCGGCGGTCGCCGGTGTGAAGACGTCGCACGGCCAGCGCGGGAGCCGCCCCCGGGCGGCGGCACACCCGCCGGCTGTGCTCATCGCAGAGCGGTGATGGCAGCGGCGCCGAACAGAGTCGAGCCGAGGAGCTCCGCGAGAGCGCCCTTCCTGCCAGCTGCAGGCTGTGTGTGGGCTGCAGCCGCCTGGACAGATGCGTGAGTAGCAGTGCCATTCTTGGCAACTGGACACTGTGAATTAATACCGTGTTAGATAAGTACCATGACATATAGCTCTCAGAATGACACAGATGTGAAATTCTAAAACATTTAATCAAATATATGTTTAAGTCTAGTTTTCCAATTCCACAGCATCTGGTCTGTTTTGAACCCAGTTCTAGACATGAAATAAAGGAGAAGGCTGGTACCTATTTAACCTTCACAAAATCATGTCTGGTAATATCACATTCAGCTAGGTCTTTATGGACCCAGAGTAAGATGTACTCAATGAATGTGTACCTGAACCCTGAAGCAAAATATTAAAATAACTTCATTTCTAAATTATAAAAAGTTTAGCAGCCTCTGGTGCTGTCTAAAGAGATAAAAAGGAAATCAAAACTGAGATGCAGTGGAGCAGTAGGTAGGTCAAGGCATATTAAACCAAAGGCTCTGTAATTAATGTGCATTCCATTGTTATTAATGTGTATTACCATTATTACCTACAAATCTGTGAAGCATAGCATATAATGAGGAGTGTATATTCTGTATTCAGACTGGATACAGGAACAGCATGTTTTCCATAATATTTTTCACAATCACTGTAATCATACCACCTGTGCCAGTCAATACTTGATGATGTATGTACCTACCTAAATATGCCTCTACATTTTCAAAGTGCATGACAAACATTTCACATTTGCTAATTAACTGGCTAATATTTTTCAAGCTTAAAACTGCAGGCTGACAGTCTACAGACAACCTATGACCATGAAAAATAAAATCGTTAATAAGGGCATGCATGCCATATTCATATTAGACAAAGAAGCTGGATTATCATTATTGCTGGTGAAAAAACCAGCTTAAAATAAAGCTGATGCTTGATGAATATGACACCTACATCCTGTTGGAAGTAGTATTTATCTTTTATGGCACCATAGCCACGAACAATTGATGGTAAGGCTGAGGCAAGGACTTTGACTTGACTCAGTCTGCCCACTTGGCACTTGCACACTCAATCCATAATCCATATCAATATACTGTTGATCAGGTGAAATACACCAGCTCAGCACTTGGTCAAATATCGTGAGCGAACGTATCACAAGGAATAAAAAGATTGGCATAATCGAGATAAAGTACCCACCTAAGTTGATTCATGTTCTATATTCCATAATTATTCCGTAAAACAATCAGCTTTTGAGGACGTTTGAAAATACTGTATCAGTATTGCAGTTTCCTCAAGCAAAACCTGATGAGCAATTGTCTCTAAGATTTATCTTACCTGCAATAGATGAGTGACTTAAAAAAATACACAAAATATGATTATTTTCCTAATCCGTCCAAATAACCGGAAGCATTACACAGTTCACAGTTCACACTCAACCACTACTGAACTCTATAATGTGGAATGCGCGAATGCGCATCGGCCGCCAAATGGTGTCCAACGGTGCCGCCATGTTGCGCAGACCAGAAAGCGGCCGCCGCCTGTGCTGGGGAATAGGGAATTCGGGACCTCGATTTACGTTTGCGGTCGCTGCATCCGTTACGCTCAAGCTATGTGGACACGGAACCCGGCATCTTACGCAGAATTGAGTGGAGAACAAGATGAAATCCTAAAAAATCCTCAGCTACAAGGAACTAATACGTTAAACCCTTATAAGTCAATGGGGAAATATGAAAATTGCTATTTTGGCGCCGAGAATGATCTGAAACTATCTCAAGCATATAGAATCATGATTTCATGCACTTTTTGCAAGGTTCTATGCTTCATATTTGCATTGTTGCCCTTGCGTGACGTCATCTGTGACGTCACAAGGGTCACAATTTTTCTTCAATAACTCCCGATCAAATTGAGCTAGCGAGTCGGGAAAGCCACCAATGGACTCAGGAAGACCTGCCGAATCGAATGATATGCGACATGACCTCTTTCGACCAACTTCGTGACCTGAGGGTGCTGACCTGACCTTGACCTGAGGTCAACACCCTAAGTTGACCTGACCCGAACAAAAAGTATATCACTCGATGCGCCTGAGCTAGCTGAACACGATGATGCCAAAATCGCGGCTCTACGGCCATTTTTGGCGAAGCTATTTACCAAAAACCGAACCCGTGCCTTAGATCACTTGACCTGACCTCAGAGGTCACCGGTTGACCTGAGACCCTTACAGCGGGTTCCTACCATTCACTCTGCATTATACTTTGCCGCATACGACCACTTTACCGCTTAATTCTAGTTTAATTAGCGCAGCGGCGTATTTAGAAAATCGCGAAGGGGGGGGCCAAGGGTTTGGAGGGCGCCACCTCACCCAAGGAGGGCGCCATACGGTCGCGAGATAAAAAATCACTCAACGGGGGGGGGGGTTGGGAGGCGTTTTTTACCATGCCACCAGTTTTTTTTTTTGCGTAACCTCGTATAGGTCGTGCTGCATTGATTTTGCATCGTGTGTATTCTTTATACTCCAGGTCACAAAAGGTCAAGTGGTCTTGAAATGCTGCGCCGAAGGCGCGCGAAATTTTTGAAAACAACCTTTTCCTCCGCTTTTTAGGCACGCCTTTTATACGATCACTGTTCAAAGCTCCTCTCGCTCTTTTACCAAATTTGAAGGTATAAAAAATACCTAAGGTTTGGTCGGGCCGCTGCCACACAAACTGTATAGAAAGCTTGGCTCATGGGTGTCGATGTATAAAAGTTTATTGGCGGTGGCATATCTACGCACCAGATCACCGTATCGGATTGATACCGGAGCGCGAGATGCGTAAACATCATCCAAATTACCTCAGACCAGCCTTCATAGCCTTCTCACAGGTGCATACAGTGTACCCACATAACCAGTTTCAATCACCGAAACTTCAGATGCCTGCTGTTGCGGCCGAACCTGTTGACAATACTTAATCTTAATACATATAGATGCCATGATGCACGTAAAGTAGGATCAATCCGTTAAGACCAAAGACGTGTTTTATGCATCGTAGAGCGTAGATAGTTTTGGTAGGTATAGGTACTTCATTCATTGTGCTGAATGCACGTTCATTTGTGGCAGTTTTCACAGGCAAGACATCAACTATGTGCAATAGAACGACTAAGTTGAAGAACATGCCAAAGGAGTAAATAAATGATAGGAGGGCAGCGATCAACGGATGTTGCCAATAGGTAGAAGGGCTGCGATCCACAGGAGGGCGCTAATAGGTAGAAGAGCCCCGATCAACATCCCGAGTTTCGACAGTAGGGCACCGATAGGTAGGAAGTTGGCGAGCAGCAGGAGGGCGCCAATGGATAAAAGGGCAGCGATCAACAGGAGGGCACCAATAGGTAGGAGGGCCCCGATCAACAATCAACAGGAGGGCGCCACCAGGTAAGAGGGTGGCGAGGAACAGGAGAGCACCAATAGGAGGGTGGCGATCAACAAGAGGTCGTCAATAGGTGGGAGGGCGGTCATCAACTGCAAGTCGCCAATGAGCGGAAGGGTGACGATTAAAATGGGGGTGGCAATGGTGAGGAGGGCGCCTTTGCTCAAGAGGATGACACGAACAGGACGGCGTCTGTGCGGAGGGCGCTGGTCAACAGGAAGGTGCCAGTAGATAGGAGGGCGGTGATCAACAGGAGGGTGCCAGTGGTTAGGAGGGCGGCGATCAACACGAGGGCGCCAATAGGAGAAGGGCCCCGATTAGCATTCAACAGGAAGGACTAGGGAACCAATAGGTAGGAGGGCGGCACTGAACAAGAGGGTGCCAAAAGGGAGAAAGGCGGCCTTCAAAATTTCACATGAGGGCGCAATAGGTAGAAGAGCGCCAATAATTATGAGGACGCCGATCAGCAGAAGGGCGGCAATGTGTAGCAGGGTGGCGACCTACAGGAGGGCGCCTTCGGGTGAGAGGGCGCTTATTTACAGGACAGCGGCTTACATAGGCGACCACCGTTACGCTTAGAGAGCTACAGCCTACAAATGTGGTTGGAGGGCGCCCGAGGGAGCCCTCCAACCGTATTTGGAGGGCGTATTTGGAATGGGCGTCCTCCGAGGGCGCCCTCCATCCGTATTTTCCCTGTAAACACATTCGCGATTGGAGGGCGCCCTCCAGTCGCGATTGTTTTTCGATTCGATTATATCACAATTGCATTTGCGATTGGAGGGCGCCTTCGGCGCCCTCCAATCGCAAAGGGCGCCTTCGGCGCCCAAGGGGGGGGCCATGGCCCAGTGGCCCCCCCCCTGCCTACGCCCCTGAATTAGCGGTGCATTAGCGAGGTGGGTTCAATCAACCCCCTCCACCTCGGCCGGGGCAAAGGTAGGTCAGGCGAGTGAATTTGAGGAATTCCGAAGATACGATCGTGTTCCCCACTCAATTCTACGTAAGATGCCGGGTTCCGTATCTACGTAACTTGAACGTAACGGATACGGCGGCCGCAAACGTAAATCGAGGTCCCGAATTCCCTATTCCTCAACACAGGCGGTAGCCGGTTTCTGGTCTGCGCAATATGGCCGCCACCGTTAGACACTACGGCCAATAGGGTTGAAGCGGCATTGCTCCCCTGTGCACTCAACCCACTCAACATCCGACAAAAGAATGTAACTGATGCGCATTGAATGTAACTTTATTGGCTACCATATTCCCTTACAATTTTCCTCTAATTTCCTGCCAAATCAGATTTACATTTGTCAAATAGTTTTTGTCTTGCGGGACCAAAGTCTAGCGATTTTCAATAGTTGTCTTCAGAATTTTATAATAAAATAATGATTTTTTGAAAAATTTGCTTTCTTAAAACTTTTCTCTGACTTTCTTGTTTCAGAAACACTACAATTATCCAAAAATTTATCAAAAAACACCAATAAGACATCTAACAATCCTAAAATTTTACCCCTCAAACTCCGAGATTAATGGTCTTGCGATAAAATTTCACTAAAATTTAAGTTTTTTACTAGTATTAAAATGCGGCAATGCTGCTTGCCGAGAGAGTTGTTTTTTGTTGTGTGTTGTTGGGTCTGTGGGGTGTCGCCGGGATTGAGATGGTTTTACGCTGTGAAAATTCCGGCCCCCATGACTGTAACCATCAATGATATGGCTCAATTGACTCACGTTGAAATCGACATCAACGAAATCCAGCTAAAAGAGGTATGCTTTGTTTTATCGTGCCTAAATGAATTGCGACGATCGTGGCGTATTTTTCTCACGGATGCTTATGTGCTTTCTGCTACCTTGAAAAGCTAATATCTGTCATAAATCGCAATCAATTTGATAAAATTTTACCCTGCTTAGGCCTGATTTATTTTCCTTATTGATGTTGGTACACAATTTGAAATCAGTGCATAGGAACAAATCAGGTTGTCTGGTTTGCATATTTCGGCCATCAGTATTTTTAATTGTTTGTGTTTTGTTTTCATATAGGTAGGTACATAGGCGCGGGAGCCGGGGGGGCAGTGGGGGCAGCTTGCCCCCCCAACTCTGGGGCCGTGGGGGCGGTGCCCCCACAGCTTTGAGACGGAATACCACACGTTTTTTGCAAATGTTTTCTTTTTTTGTTGAAAAAGCCGAGGGGTGAAAAATAAATGGCCTAAAACCGGTGAGAAAACTAGATTTGGGGGTACCCTAGGTTAATCTCTATTATGGTGTGCCCCCCCAGTCGGAAAGTAGTTCCCGCGCCCCTGGGTAGGTACTTCTCTTGGTAGTTAGTCGTTAAGCAGAGGACTGTTCGCAGGCACTGTAAACTGCTGAGTGTGGTGTGTGCAGCAGGCGTAGGGGAAGGGGATTGGGGTAAAATTACTGAAAGAGTACGTTCCACTTTTCAGACATAAATTTTGCACATTCTTACACTATTTGACAACCTGAATCCAGATATGATACTTACACTCAGGAGGTCGAAATGTATAATGTGATATGACTTTTATGGGGACATTCCTGATTGTACTCTTTCTGTAATAATACCGGGGATGGGTAGGTGGTATGATGCCAGACAGGCACAGCTGCTCGTGGTGGCTGGTCCGGACTGACCACAGCGGCTGCTGTCAGCTGTGTGCAGTGACGGAAGGATGACGTAGGGAGGCAGTGGGCTGAGCTTAGAGCCTGTGTGCGGCTACCGCTCACAGGTCCCATGAACAGCCGTTAGGTATGTCATACTCCTGTGTGTGGGCCAGAAAGAAGCGGTATCAGCTGCACCATTAAAATGACTGCCAGTATTGTCATATTCAAATATGTCACACTTCTGTCAATGTGAATGACAAAATGATTTAGATAAGAAAATCATGGAAATGGGGTTTGAAAGGAAAGAAAGTAGGGAGCAAAGACAGCTAAGAAATACTTGAAGCTACTATGAATTAGAATATTTATTTAAATCATAGAAGAGAAGAACAAATTAAGTGACATTGACAAATATATCGATAAATAGGATCCAGAAAATGGGCTTAAGAAGTAGATGCCTACCAGTTATAGATGCTTACCAGTAGATGTGATAAGGGACAAGTGAGCATAGGTTCACAATGGATGCTTCCCTTTCATAATAGGTATTTGTCATAATTGTGTATGAAAGAGTTTACATTTTTTTTTTTACTACTGTTTCTGCCTATTCCACACATTCACAGCTCTGGATGAAAAGGAAAACATAAACCAGAGTAAGTCAGTAAAACAAAATTAAGTTATGCAAAACAAGCAAACAACATATAGGAGGACAAGCAACTGATGACAACACCCCAGCAGTGGTCACTCTGTTTAGAGCAAGGACGAAGGTGGCATACTAATGAGAATACATTATGTCAACTATATGGAGAGGAAGATGAAACATTGAGTACTTTTAATGGAATGTAAGACTAAGAGCCTTATGGATGTAAGAACCAATATCAAACTGCTGCAGCAACCTTACATAAAAAGCAAGCAAGAGATAATTGTATGACTCCCCTTTCATTCAACATGAGTGGGAAAAGGATGTAGAAGAGAAAAGAAGAATCTGTATTGTCTGTGGATAATCCAGAAGATGTCTGGCTGGACCATGAAGAAAGGTTGTGAGACATGCAGTTTCCATCCTCACTTTTTCCCAGTATTTCTATAAGCCAATAGGGTACCCATGGGGGTTACAGGACAATTTGGCGAACTGCATTTTGCCGAATGCTTATTCGCCGAATGTCAATATGTCGAATGCATTTTGCCGACGTGTCTTTTTGCCGACGTGTCAAAAGGGCGAAGGGCTAAAAGTCGAAATGCAATTTGCCGACATGCCTTTTTGCCGACGTGCAATAAGTCGAAAATGTCAATTTGCCGAAATGTCAATTTGCCGAAAAGTCAATTAGTCGAAATGTCAATTTGCCGAAATGTTAATTTGCCGAAATGCTAATTAGTCGAAATGTAAATTTGCCGAAATGTCAATTTGCCGAAAAGTCAATTAGTCGAAATGTCAATTCACCGAAATGCTAATTTGCCGAAATGCTAATAAGTCGAAATGTCAATTTACCGAAAAGTCAAGTAGTCGAAATGTCAATTTGCCGAAATGCCAATGAGCCGAAATAACCTAGCCTAACCTAGCCTAACCTAACCTAACCTGACCCTTAAGTATTAACTTTAGGACCGACTCGCTTTTCAAAGGTAAAGAAACCCACTTACATGTCACCAAAGTATGAGAAAAACATAACCAAACCTTACCTAACCTGACCTACTGATTTTTGCCTACCCGTGGATAAGGAAGAAGATACTCACATGAATAGATTGCAGACAATGATAAGTCAATTATTTTTAGGTTAAGTGGTTGTGCATCAGGCTTCAGGCCTTCGGCCAGATGCCAGATAAACAACAATTTAACCCTCACTGGACCTATTGGTTTTCTAAATACCCGCCGGCCGAGGTGGTAATTGCTGAAAGGCGATTTGCCGAATGTCATTTTGCCGAATGCATTTCGCCGAAAGTCATTTTGCCGATGTGCTTTTTGCCGACGTGTCAAAAAGTCGAAATGCCATTTGCCGACATGCCTTTTTGCCGAAATGCCTATTTGCCGAAATGCTTATTAGTTGTTTCGTCCCTGGTGGAGCTGGCGCGTCGCAGAAAAACGAGCGTGTGCGCCGTTACGAGACGCAGAGATTGATACCCGATTTTAAGGTCCTACGTCAACCGGTGACCTCTGAGGTCAGGTCAAGTGCCCCAAGGTACGGTTCAGTTTTTGGCGAATAACTTCGCCACAAAGGGCCGCAGGGCCGCGATTTTGGCAGCATCGTGTTTGCCTTGCTTAGACGCGTCAAATGATATAATTTTTGTTTGGGTCAGGTCAACTTAGGGTGTTGACCTCAGGTCACGGTCAGGTCAGCACCCCCAGGTCATGAAGTTGGTGGAAAGAGGTCATGTCGCAATCATTCGATTTGGCAGGTCTTCCTGAGTCCATTGGTGGCTTTCCCGACTCGCTAGCTCAATTTGATCGGGAGTTATTGACGAAAAACTAATATGACCTTGATGACGTCATAAATGACGTCACGCAAGGTCAACATTGCAAAAGTTACGCATCTAACCTTGCAAGGAAGGCGTCAAATCACGATTCTATGCGCTTGAGATAGTTAGAGGTCGTTCCCGGCGCCAGAATAGCAGTTTTCATTTTTCTTCTTGACTTATAATGGTGAAGTCACGAAAATGACCTGACCTCAAATAAACTTTAGGAAAATCTGAGATATACAAGCTATGAGACTCGTTATGGATATTGGTCCTGCATGTTTCATTTCACTGTGAATGCTCCTCTGGCCGTGAGGGCGTTGTGAAGTTGCGACACCTGAAGACCGTGCAGAGGTTCACTTATGACGTCATAGGTCGGTGACCTGACCTGACTCGAAAATGCGGTTGGTGGAAAAAGATCCGGCTTAAATCAAAGGTCAGCTATGCCAAGTTTCAGCTCTCTATCGCCAGAGTGGTGTTCGGAGCTATCGCGAAAAAAAAAAACCTATGGGGGTGCGGCACCCACACACTCCCCTCGGCCGGCGAGGGCTAACCTAAAAATATTTGACTTACCTTTGCCTGTAATCTCTCCTAAGGCATTTCCTTCGCCACTGCACTGCTTCGCCACGAGTAATTTGATGTTTATTTCCACATGGTATTGGTGCTTTTAAACTTGCTTGTGCCATGAATAATTATTAGTTATGAAATCAGGCGGTCAAAGGATACCTACCTATCATGTGATTTGCTTCTTACTTGGGGATTGCACCAAAAGTAAATTGGTGATCGGTCCTAAGTAAATAAACACCACCTAACCTAACCTAACCTAACCTAAGTTTGCAGATTGACATTTCGGCAAAGTTATATTTCACCTAATTGACATTTCGGCAAACTGCCAATTCGGCAGATTGACATTTCGGCAAATTTACATTTTGGCAAATTGACATTTCGGCAAATTGACATTTCGGCAAATTGACATTTCGGCAAATTGACATTTCGGCAAATTGACATTTCGGCAAATTGACATTTCGGCAAATTGACATTTCGGCTAATTTACATTTCGGCTAATTTACATTTCGGCAAATTGACATTTCGACTAATCGACATTTCGGCAAATCGCATTTCGGCAAATTTACATTTCGACTAATGAGCATTTCGGCAAATTGGCATTTCGGCAAAAAGGCATGTCGGCAAATGGCATTTCGACTTTTAGCATTTCGACTTTTTGACACGTCGGCAAAAAGCACATCGGCAAAATGACATTCGGCGAAATGCATTCGGCAAAATGACATTCGGTAAATCGCCTTTCGGCAATTTGTCCGGACACCCCCATTGGGGAGCCATTGCAAACTAAGGCCATTCCCCTAAGATTCCTAGCTTCTGCATCTGCACTCTGCAGAGCAGAGTGCAGATGCAGATTAAACCATCAAAGGATCAAATCCCACTGGCATCGAGGAGACACAGAGAGGGAATAGCCAATTCCTAAACTCAGTGTCAAGATTGCAGTTTGAATTATCACTGGCAGAATATGATGACACTCACGGACATGTGCATGAATCGGAGGAAATGGATCTGGGATCCAATCTCATAGTCTACTATTCAGATCTGGGACCATAGATCCAGCTTTCTGATTTGTGGAGAGATCCATGAGGATCATAGATCTTAACTATTTTTTTTTTCTAGAAATCCAGTGAGCTCATAGAGCCTTACTTTATTTTTGACCATACAATTCCTCAAAGAACACTTGTTGTAATTCACAATAGTTCTGTTTTAGGGACTTCATGTGATAGCACATCACAGTCGATAGTTTATGATAGTTGTTACTTGTTGATGTGGAGCCACCAGGCTGGAAACATGGTTTAATCTCACATATAGGGTCGAACGACTCCCCCTCGGTTTTTCGCGAATGCCGTCGCGTAATACCTCGAGCGAAACACTGGGAATGTGTTCAGGTCAGCAATATGGATCAATTGGTATGCAGCATGACCTTTTCTGTTCTGGTTTATGTTCTGGTTGACTAGAACAGAAAAGGCCATGCTGCATACCAATTGATCCATATTGTTGACCTTGGCTAAAGGTCAGATTTTTGTGAAGTGAAGTATTCTTACATTGCCCTTTTGCATACACTATGGTGTATGTGTCCAGTGAGCTTAAAGGCATGATTTATTGACTGGTATGCAAGTCAATAACAGGCACATTATAGTTGGGCTTCCTTCAAGAATATTCACAGGCTGTAAACGCAGAATGATATTGTTTGTAATTTCAAAGTATACTCACTGGATGGTTTATGCTGGAGTAAACATCATTCCAGACCAGAGATATTCATTGAAGTGCCCCATCAAAGAGAGGCATCAGTGACGATTCTGGTTACAGTCACATATTGGCTATTGCGAATGCTACTGCCCACTGCCCAGCGCTCAGTTACCAGCCGATGTAGGCCGCACTCGATGTCGGCCAATGGCGTTCGGTAACCGCAGCCCAGCCCCGCCGACATCGAACGTCATTGGCCGGACGACGTAGAAGCTTCGTCGTCCGGGAGACATCGAACCTAGCCAGACACATCCCTGACAGTCACCCGGACTAATTTTCGGGTTTGCATGCGTCCTCCACTTCTAAGCACGCGTCTGGCCGGCGAGGGAGCACTAGTCATTATCACTGAATTCCTACTAAGTGAATCGCTTCTGACCCCGCACCCTTCATCGCCAGGGCGTGGGTCGCGGTGCGTTCGGCGTGGTAAAGAAGGGCTTCTGGCGGGGCCGCGACGTGGCCGTGAAAAAGGTCGAGACTGAGCAGGAGAAGCGCGCCTTCCTGAACGAGCTGCACCAGCTGCAGAGAGTGAGCCACCCCAACATTGTCGAGCTGATCGGCGCCTGCACAAAGCCCGACTATGTGTGCCTGGTCATGGAGTATGCCGAGGGAGGCTCCCTCTACAGCGGTGAGTGGCCGGCGGGGGGGGGGGGGGCGGGGGGCTGCACGGTGTCTTATGTCCGGTAGATTTGCCCACTACCCGCGGAACGTTCTGTGAATGTGCTGTTAATGAAACCGATCGTCCGTTCATGCGACTTTTTGTAATCGTTATGTACGAGGTTGGATTTTCGGCAAAGAGATAAATTTGTCAGGATGCTGTCATATCTCATTCTCATAGAAAGGCAGCAGTCTGCCTATGTGAGCCGTCATCAGCTGGCCTTGACGTTGTGTCTCGTTTCGCCCGCAGTGCTGCACTCGGATCCTAAGCCAACTTACAACGCTGGCCACGCCATCTGGTGGTGTCTGCAGTGCGCGGAGGGTGTCCAGTACCTCCACGAGATGCGGCTCGTGCACAGGTCAGCGGGGAGTGGATAGGAGTGGGCAGCTGCCTCGGAGCATTTATGTCTCAAACCTCAAAATGCTTTCTTATTAGATTTTTTTTCATATGTTGTATGATTTTGTAGCTATCAAATAACTGATACTGAGCAATGAGTATCTAGTGTCAATCTGTTTCAGCTCCTGTGTGGTCCCAATCTAGTGACTTCAGTCCAATTATTGATTATGATGGGATCCACAGTCGTGGATCTTGGTTCTTGGGCAGCGAGCTACCTCACCACTACCAGGGCTATCAGGTGTGTGTGACCCCAGCGGCTCGAATTTCACTGGCCCTGGCCGCCCTAGCTCCCCAACCCTTCCCGTTCCATCCCACACCGCCTGTCTCGTATGTTCTGTTATCACTCTCCCGTTCGTCTAACTTATTAATAAGTATGCACTGACACCGCTCCATCCGGCTCCGACAGAGACCTGAAGCCCCCGAACCTGTTGCTGCTCGACTACGGCCGCAAGCTGAAGATCTGCGACTTTGGCACGCTCTGTGACGTCAAGACGCACATGACCAACAGTCGCGGCAGCGCCGCCTGGATGGCGCCGGAGGTGTTCGAAGGTGGGTCCGACGGCTGGGATGAGGGGACACTAGTCACTCCATTAGCTTTGGTTGTCTTTAGTCCCGGAGTCTGTGCCGTCGAATGAAGGATAGAACAGGGCTGAGGACTCCTCGGCTGGGCATCCGAAGCAGTCGCTCACCGCATTGTCTTCTTCTCGCATCTGCTATCAAGTGGTTCCGTAACTTGACCTAATGCTTTTTATCGGTGAGTTGTGCATTTTAAAACTTGTTTGTGCTCGAATTTCTGGTTTTAACAGTTTCTGTCGTATTTCTGACGACGCCGCCTGTCACGCCCGCAGGTAACAACTACACTGAGAAGTGTGACGTGTTCAGTTTCGGCATCATCCTGTGGGAGGTGCTGGCGCGCCGGCAGCCGTTCCAGCACATCGGCGGCCACGCGTTCCGCATCATGTGGGCCGTGCACAGCGGCAAGCGGCCGCACCTGATCCAGGGCTGTCCAGAGGTGCTCGACTGCCTGATGCGCCGCTGCTGGGAGAAGGACGCCGTCCTGCGGCCCTACATGTCCGAGGTGGTGCAGATTCTCAGCACCATCCGACCGCTGTTCCCCGGCGGCGACGAGCGGCTCCGCTACCCGTCCAACAGCTCCTCGGAGCCCATGGGACTCGGCTACGGCATGGAGAACGAGACGGGCGAGCTGGGAGAGCCGTGCGAGCCGCTGCAGCGGCCGGCCGGCGCCGGTGTGGCCTACCACCAGCCGCTCAACATGGAGCCGATCGCCGAGCGCACGGAGGAGGGTCTGAGTGGCAGCAGCGAGCGGCGCCGATCGGTACCGGCCTCGCCGCAGCCGCCGGCGCGGCCGCGGCCCGACTCGCTGCTGCCGCGGCCGGCCGCCAGCCTGGAGGAGGACCCGTACCAGGTGCCGCCGCTGCCGCGCCTGCCGCCGGCGGCGCCGTACCGCCTCAGCCCGACGGCGGCGGCGCCCTACCTGGTGGGCCACCGGGGCGGCGCGCCGCACCGGCCCTCGCCCACCAGCATCCCCGAGGAGCCGGGTGGCGTGCTGCCGCCGGCGCCGGCCGCCGGTGTGCCCTCGCCCACGGCGGCCGCGCTGCCCGGCCAGCTGGGCGGCGACGAGCGCAGCAAGCGCCACTCGGCCGACCTCAGTCAGCTGGAGCGGGCGGGCGCGCGGCCCGGGCTCGCCGGTCCGCCCGACGACACCACCCACCTCACACACGAACAAAAGAAGGCGCTCGGTGAGTGGTCCGGCGGCCGACTGACGGTGGTCACCGCCCGGGAACGGGAGAGGGTGGAAGGGTTTCATATGTGGGACAGGTTCTTTGCTGTTGAGTTTGTTCAACCTTTTTTTAAGGCGCTGAAGGTCCACTTGGCAATGTAACTGAAGGCTATTTGTTGTCAATATAGGCAAAACACTATTCGTAGAGTTGCGTTTTGCTATTGAAAAACAAATCTGAGTTCCCTGACAATTTTGCAAAAGTTCCCTAAGATCATAACCGAAGTTTTGTTGTCATTAGTTAAAACACTATTCTTTAGAATTGTGTTTTTCTATTGAAAAACAAATCTGAGTTCCCTGACAATTTGGCAAAAGCTGAGATCAGTACAACTTGTATGGTAATTAGCACGCTGGTACGCTGGTGTGTATTGTGTAAGCGCTTGTGATGTGAATTGTCTTGCTGATGTCTATTACTGGGTTACTTTTAACGTTCTTATGTAATTTATTTGTCACATTTCAAGTCGCATAACACATTCAGACTGTTGGTACTACGATATTTACAAAGTTGACCTCTGTCTTAGCGGGTTGCTCGGCTGGTACGGCCCGCAGTAGGTGTGTACCGCCCTCTGCGGCACTGGTCTCAGAGGCTCCCCTGTGTCGGCAGGCCACCGAAGGACGGCTTCGTACGGCTCCTCGTCGGGCAGTGTGACGGCCGCCGAGACGACGGGCGTGTCGGCGCCGAGCACTCCGGTGGGCGCCCAGTCTGTGCCGACCGACCTGCACCGTCTTCCGCAGCGTCAGGGCAGCGCGCCGCCGGCCGTCAGCGCCTCAGGTACCGTCCGCACCCGCGCCCCACTGCGGTGAACAGACACACTCGGAGGCACAGACTATCTGACCGCGGGAGGCAGAGGCACAGACTATCTGACCGCGGGAGGCAGAGGCGCAGACTGTCTGACCGCGGCACACAGACACACATAGGCGCAGCCTATCTGACCGCGGGATACAGAGGCACAGACTATCTGACCGCGGGAAGCAGTGGCACAGAGGCGCAGACTGACCGCGGCACACAGAAACAAAGTGTGCCCGCTGGGCACAGACTCACACTGAGGCAGAGATTGACGCCGATACAGACACCGAGGTTCAGACTGTATGAACTCGGAGCGCAGTATGTACCGAAGCACAGAATCCTTTCTTAGGGAGCGGTACTAGCCGTTATTTTGATTTCAGCCTATATTGGTTAAGGTAAACAGCTATTCTTGCACTCCTAGAATGCTTAAAGCCGCACTTTCGTCGCCACTCTAGGCGTGAGCCGAAGTGTTCGCCGTAAATCGCCTGACCAGTCATCCTCGTTTTTTGGACATCAAGCGCGACTGTGCCGTTTGGTGCTGCCACCTATGGAATGGATAGCGGCACTTGTAGTCCTAGTCCTCCTTCTAGATGGCACTATTCCTCGAGAGTCCAGACGACTCCCGAACCGACGTGCTTGTATATTTGTGGCTGTCTTGTCCCCCAGTCCGGCCCTATAACAGCGGGAGGGTAAAGTCTATCGCTGTGCGGTCCTTTGTTAAAGACCGCAGGTTATTGGTGGATTCTGGACCGCAATGGCTAGCTGAGGTTTTCAACGGCGATGATGATTCTCCCAATACCTATATAATTGACGTGATATCTTGGCGTCTCAAATGGGCCAGGCTATTGTGTGGCATCATGTAAATTCCGTCCCATCATTCACTTCACCATCGCAGGCTTCCCATCACACGTTGACTGTTGCGTAGTTCGCATCCGTCCTCGTCGTGGGTCGGTCCAACGCGGCCCTCATAATGAACCCGCGCCTAATCTCAGTTCAGGACGGCTGGTGGCCGTCCCTGTCCAATATATCCGTTGCATGTGTCGCGTGTGACCCAGTTTCCGGTAATGCTGGCGGCCACCGTGTGTGCCTTATCGCCATGGCGTGGCTTGCTGCGCCGACAGGGATGATCGCTCTTGGTTGCTGTTTCCGGATATTTTATGGTCACGCAAGTATTTCTCGACTCGCAAATTCGTCATGCTGATTGCGTAGCAGGCATCCGGGCAGTCAGAGTGTTGTGCCTATTTTAATTTATATAGTCTGTGCCCTGTGGCAAGGGTAAGCTAGTAAGACAGGGGCCCACCAGTAGTCCAATTATTTGGCCGCTGGCAAGCAGTAATGCATTCTTATAGTAGCCGTTGTTCGGTGTTTGTGTCTCTATTTTGGGATCGCGCTGATTGTTGTGTCACAGGCTGGCTCTGGTTCCTACCATCCCTGCCAGCTGTGCATTGCTGATGAAACTGCCAGTGCTTTTAGTGGGCATCCTTACTGCGTTCAAACTTCAAGTGCACAGTTAATTTTAACTGTGCTCTCTTCTTGCTGTGTGTGTTCTGTGCTAACTGTGTGTGTAACTGTGCTGTGTTCTTGCTCTCTTTCAGTTCCGTTGCCTTCAGCTAATACTCATAGCAAACATTTGCTTCAAGGAGCAGGATACAGGATGCAATATGCATAATTCGTAATAAGTGCATAATTTTCCCGTATGAAGAAACTCTTAAAGGGAATGTAAGGTTTAACGGTCGCCTATCATCTCGTCTCCCGTTCCATGACCCGCGTTAGTGTGCTCGGGAGGAGTCTGTCCCTCCGCTGGGCCGTTGTGCTGGGTCGGAGCGGCTCCCCAAATCTGCCCCCGGCCCGCGGCGCCGCTGGGTCGGCCGCTGACGAGCCAGGCCTGCTCGGCTCCGCTGGAGCGCTGGCAGCGCGCCCAGCGGCGTTAGTCAGAGGTCCCGGCGCTGAGTCAGCCGCCAGCCGCCAGTGGCGCTGTATCATACACACACGGCAGCGCCGACCGGGCCGCGGCGCACCGACCTCCCACGGGGCACGTTCCGCCGCCCGGGGTGACCGCGGGGTCGGCCCGCAGCGCCGCACCGCCGCGGGGTGGGGTGGAGGCTGAGCTGTGGCTGGTAACGATGCAGTGAGATGAAACCCGCGCGGCCCCCGCCGGCGGTGCGACGTTGGCTCGCTGTCGCCGCCCGTCTTTTACTGCGCTCTGTCGTTCTGAGCGGTCGGTGACCCGGCCGCGGCGGGCTGGTGGTCCCCAGAGTCGCCACGGACCGCGCCGATCGGCGTCCAGCAGCGGACAGCTGTTTACTGGCACCTCTGGGTCCGCCACGGCCGGCGCCGCCAACAATAACCGCCGAGCGAGCCGTGATCGCCGGCCCACGGCGCCGTCCCTCGGATGGGGTAGTCGCCGTCTGATAGGTGGGCACACTCCCCAGGTGCCCGCCGGCCCAGGTGACACACTGACAGGCCGTCCGCGGCAGGCGCGAACCTGAGCGTGCTGGCAGTTATTTCCAGGGCGGCTGAGTCAGGCTCGCCGGGCGTTCGGCGGTCCGGCACGCGTCCAGCGCGACCGCCGAGTCGGGCGAAGGGACCGGGGAGTACGGAGGGCACCTGGGTTCCACAGCACGGGCGGAGGGCACGGCAGAGTGCGAAGGGCGGATAATATATGTAGTCGGCTCCGTGGTTGGACGGTACGTTTGTAACTTGTAGGGCACCGGGGCTGAACGTTGCGGTCGGAGGGCGCTCTTGGCTGCGCGGCACGGGCGTGTGGCGCCCTAGATGAGGTGGTGCGGATGAAGATTGAAGGGCCTTATGGGGTCGACGGTACAGGTGCAGGGGGCCCTGGATTGGACGATACGGTCGTAGGGCGCCCCTAGCTGGACGGCACGACCTGGAGCGCCGGCCATACGCTGTCCAGTAGGCCGCTTCTGGAACCAGGCCTGTGGCATCTCCAGCCGTTCTGTCCAGAACGTACTGGTGCCCTGACGGACCGCCTGGCACACGGTCACCGTCTCCGAGCTGCAGCAATCGCCGAGCGGCCGGGCCAACTGTCAAGGCGGGATCCTCTCCAGCCAGCGGATATGGCGGCCGGATCGTTACGGCGGACCACCCGCTCGGTGGTAGGGGAAGGGTGGAACCATCGGCTGGGTGTGACGGACCGAATCACTGCCGCAGTCTGCCGGGCGGAACCTCCGGCTGATACTGGAATTCGCCAGAGGGCAGAAGGTCCGTAATGTTGCCGATTTACGCATGGGTTGTGCACGCGGCAAATTTGGAGATTTGTACCTCGGCGGACGTGGTGGCATCGTATCTCGGAGCTGAAGCTGAAGTTTTTAGCAGCCAATGCTCCATTTTTCTTCTTCACGACATGGAATATCAGAGATTGGACTGGGCTCTTTACAGTAATGGATAATTTCATTGACTTCTTTTTCAAGATAAGAGCTATTAGAGTAAGATCTGCGGACCTTCAGTGGCACTTGTTTTCGGTTACACCATGTGTGAGCGCGCGCGCATGTGTGTCAGCGACTCAGCGGACACTGCTGTTTGCCGGTGTGTGGGCGCGGCTCTGTTTTGTCGGTGTGTTTGTGTATTGTGCCGCGGCGTCGGCGGTATTACCTTCGACCGGACGTGGCTGCGGCTGTTAGCGGAGCGGTGACGCCGCCGCCTCCCTGCCCGTCTGATCCGCTCACCATTCGAGCCTGTAAATACGCCTCCAGTGACGTCCCAACGAGCCTTGTACACAGCGCCAGTGACGTCATCTCCGGCTGAGATCAGACCCGGTGACGTCAGCGGGACGTCTCAAGTGGTTTGTGATTTGTGCCGAAAAATATACCCGCGCTTCAGAAGTCGGTGTGATGTTACACCGCTTCCAGAGTTGTGAAGAGTTCAACCTGACAGCTGGCCGACTTTATACTGTGAGCCGTCTGTAGTTCCGGCCAACGCGTTTTGATATCGGCAACGGATCATTTAGCTACATTTTGAGGCTAATGTATTCCCTGTCAACGCCCGGATACATATTCAGAGCTGGTGGATCGTTGTGACGTTTGTGCAGCGCCTGTGACGTCATCGTGACGCCACGTCACCGAAAGGTCAGCGGTTCCGTGTCACGCTACTATCGATTTCGCCATCAGCGGATCGAGACAAATGAGCCTCGGGTGGTGGGTCCGCTGCCGACTATCGGTCGCTCAAAGCTATCCGTCGGCGGAACCATCGAGACGATGAAAATGTCCGATTTGTCTTCTGGGGTCCAAACAGAAACAGCCCCGCTGATTAAAGTCCGACCGTGTGCCAAAACAAAGCCATGCGGGTGCCATTGTAATATTTTCGGCTGACGCATCGGTCGTATAGGGGGCAATATTGTGTTTGGCCCGCGGTCAGGTAAGCCTGTATGACGCCGTTCTCGTGGTTATGAGTCCGCTCCAGAAATTCCGCGCACCTCACCTGATGGGGCTGCTACCGACGCAGTACCACGCGTCTTCTGCGTCGGATAATCGAACGACCCTGAGTCGGCACTGGAGTCTTTTCGGCTCTAGATAGGTACTACTGTAGTGATCAGTCAGCGGCAATGGCGGCCGTCTGCCATATTTTGTCCGTGGTGAGCGGATTGATTAAGGTGTGTGCCTGTTTGTTTCCACTGTAGTTGAGTTGGCGTGGGTGCCCGGTCCGAGATCCGAGTCGAGCCAAGCAGCTGCGACCCGCCGCCGCTTTCGACGGCCGCTGTCGGCGGCGGCGGAGGGCAGGAGTGGGAGGCAGAGTGGGAGCGGCGGGAGAGTGAGAGACAGAGGGCCGTGGTTCGTCTCTGAATCAGCCGTGCCGCCGCGCTGGCAGGTGGACGCGCCGAGAGACGGGCCGGCGCCAGCGGCTTGTCACAGCGCCGCGTGCCTTATATTTCAGCAGCGGAAATAGGCGGCGGGCGCGTCTGTGCCGCGGCCGCCCGCGCCGGACCACTTCCGCGGCCCTCTGATGTCCAGCCCGCCCTCCGGGAACGC